CCTCCTGGAACACAGAGAAATAATAGCATTTTGTCACATGCTCAGATATTGCATTGTTTTATTAAGTTAATATGAAACCTGGTTAAAAAGTAATGCAATTGAGTGTACAAGCCTCACTTTATTCTGTGTAAAGTACTTTCATTTGTCATTTTAAAAAAGTAGCTGACATCTAAATGGCCACAAATAAAAGTCTGAGACAAAAGAGTCCTGTGAATAAGAAACTCTGTTTACTCGGTCTGTTGTGCAACAGCAACACAGTGATTTTATTTACGCAAAGTTGTATGAATAGCACACATGTTTTCTATGGGAAAGGAACTAATAAGCAGAGGAACAGGCCTCAGCTTGCATTTTTGGAAAGGTGCTTTTAGTTACTTGGTGACCCAATATTTCATATGTGGTTCTCACAATACAGCCTTCGCCTCTGGTAGCAAAGGAAAAAGGCCAAGGCCAAGCCTCACTTTAATCGATATCATTATTTTCTACTACTAAGTGCCACCATGGAGTCTTCTGTTGTTTTAGATTTGCATTTGGAGAATCTGAGCATCTCACAGGAGACTGGAGGGGGTGTTACATGATCCATCTCACTCCAGTTCCTAGCCACCATTATTTCAAACTGCTGTGGCTGACAGTCACAAATCCACCCACAGAGCTTGCAATACTTTCTGAGAAGCACACTTAGAACATCCTGTTCCCTAGTAAGGATGGAAACTCCAATAGAAGACCAGTCGTATTTTGCACCCTAACTTGACCTCTCTCCTCCCTCCCCACAGGACTGAGTTCTCTACTGAGCACAGTGTAGGAACCTTTTTCCACTTGGTTCGTGAAAAGTGGTGGATCCCCACAAGGCTGTGGAGGGGGTCAGTTGTCAGAGCTCAGACACAGCCTGACCCAGTGCACAGAGGATGCCATCGTATGCCTGGGTCGAACTTCCCTTACGCAAAGTCAGATGATCTTACAGGACGAGTTTCCCCCGTGAGTCAAGCCCTTCCACCAATAGCACCTAGCGCTGACATTCTGTCCCTGGAAGTCAGCCCACTCAAACAGGTGTGATATTTATCTCAGTCCAGAGCATTGATCTAAGTGTCAGTTCCTGAAGGAAAAGGAACTGGGAGGCTTATTTTTGAAGGGGAGGGGGGAGGAGAACTTCCTAAAAAACGTTGTTCACAAACACAACATTTCAAGGACAGGAAATAACAGAAAGCGCCTCTTGTTGACCCAAGAGGTCACCGACCTCATTCTTAAGACTGCCAGGAGACCTGAGCTACCCTGCCTCTCTGAGATAAATGATGGGTACATGGTCTTCAAGCTCTCAGGTGCAATTCCCAGGAATCTCAGCCTTGGGGTCAACAAGGCATGCGACAACCAACCAAGAAGCAAAAGGAAACAGATAAACCACGTGGTTTGGAAACAAGATTCCAGAGTTGGAAAACTGGCTCTGACATTTGGTTTTCTGAGCCTTGATGGCCTTAGCAAGAAACTGGGAGGAAATGAACTTTTCCTTGAATGAGCATCAGAGATAGAAATAATAATGGCTAATACTTTCTGGGTTCTGCATTTATGCCGGGCACTAACATGACATGCTTTTTAAGTGAGTCATCCACATTTCAATGTTCTGAGGCAGATAGTATCACGGCCTCCATTGCAAACGTAAGGACACTGAGGGACAAAGAGGTTATAGAATCTGTCCAAGGTCCTTGCCCTGGATGGTTCTAAAACCAGGTTCTCAATCTTCAGACCTAGGTTGATGCGCTCCTGAAAAGTGCTGGCTACAGGCACTTGGCAGAGGGATGGGTGGATGAGAGCAGACAAGCGGCATGCAAAGGGGAAGAAGAAAGACCCTTCGTCTATGTTTATGGCCTTTCAGGTCCCCCCCCCCAACTCAGTAATCACCAAAGCAGATAATGAGGTCTCTAAAATACACGTCTCTCCAAATTACCCCAAAGTTGTCCTTTTCCTGGCCCCTTCCTGTGGAAGAATGTAAAATGTCCACTTAGGACATACGATGACACACATCCTGCCTGGTTCAAAAATATCTGCCAAACAATGACAAGCAAAGGTCTAAAATCCACTCACCCATCTCCCCTACAGACTGTATTTCAACTCTCTCAGTTTAGAGTAAACTCTCTTCACTGCTAGAGGACCTCTCCCTCTCTCCAAGAGCAGCGCTGGGCTTAGAACTCAGGACTTTGAGCTTGTAAGGCAGATACTCTACCACTAAGCTAGATTCCCAGCCTACCTTTTCTTTGAAACCTAGGTGTGTCTTGGGGGCCAACAAGCTCCAGAATCCTGATCACTATTTCTGGGGCATCCATGGGGACCCCTCAGTGTTGTCACTGCAGAGTTCTTGGTATTGTCAAGGTGATGATAAGACACCCCCCCCCAACTCTTCAGTCATGTAAGGCAAACCTGGCACTGCATGACCTGTGCTGTCTTGTGGCTGCACAGGCTGAATGAGAGGCAAAGATGAGTGGTGACCAAAGAAAGCTATTGATTGTGACTGTGCCCCAGCAGGGGATTTCCTGGGTATAGACAAGGAGGGGTGGTACTTGACTATGGGCTTCAAGGCATTTTAAAAATAAAGACAAGGAATAGAGCGATGGTGTTAGTTCTCAAACTTGGGGCACATAACTAAAGTACATATTTAACATATCCAAGTGGACCTGGCCACCAGGCTCTCCCAGTATCCCTCAGTTCCTACTGTTATAGGGTTTGGCTGGCATACCCCACCCCTACCCTAAACTTCTTCAGCCCAGCTGCCCTCTCTATATAACCCACCATTTTGGTTGCTTGGTCCTTTCCATCTACCCTTTACCTTCCTGAGGTCTGGCTCTCTTCTCTCCACTCCCCCCTCTTCTCAACTGGCCCAGCTCCTGTTCACTCTGGACTCTCCAGATGTCTCTGCCTTGGCTATGCTCTCCCTTTTAGCTACAATAAACTTTCTCCTCCACCATACCTAAGACCAGTCACGTCCTTCCTTTTTTATTTCCATTTTCTTTTCGTTCAGATGGTTCAGTGGGTTATCATTGTTTATTTACCAGCATGAATTCCTAAGTTCAACTCCTCAGAGCCCATCAAAATGATTTGCTTTGGGTTCAATAAGAGACATTTCCTCAAGACAAGAAAGTAATAGAGGCAGACATTTGATGTCCTGCTCTGGTTTCTGAGTAAGCACTTACATATGTACAGAATGCCACACTCCATGCATGCACCATATCATACATATCACACATATGTAGTGATACTTTGTTTATAATCTAACAAAAGCTTGCTTGGAGATCAGTGATGATATGAACCACCAGTTAGACATAAAGGCCAGGCAGTGGTGTCACACACCTTTAATCCCAGCACTTAGGAGTCAGAGACAGATGGATCTCTGTGAGTTAAAGGCCATCCTGAGCTACACGAAATTGAATCTGTCTCAAAGAGAAACAGAACTCACACAAAGGAGATCCCAGCTTGGGATTCCACACCTTTGATCCCAGTACTAGGGAGGTGGAGACAGGAGTGATATGACTGGGCAGAGAAAGGAATATAAGGCGGGAGAAGACAGGAGTTCAGAGATAGTCTGAGGATGAGTCTGAGGTTTCATAGAGATGGGGCAGTCTGAGGTTTCATAGAGACAGCAGCAGTCTAAGGATTTGTAGAGACAGGATGACCCCTTTAGTCTGAGAATTGGTAGAGGTAAGAACTCTCTAATGAATGGCTGCTCTGCTTCTTCTGAATTAACCCCTATCTCCGGCTCTGGATTTTTATTATTAAGATGAATTAGAATTTGTGCCACATACACAAACATAAGAAAATCAGGTAGGATATTATACCTGCAATAGTAGTAGGTGGGTGGCAGAGGGAGAAGGGTCATGACCATCCTACATGAACAGGGAGAGTCTGCTTCAAAAACTAAGAGCAGGAGATGTGGTTGAATACTTGCCTACTGTGAACAAGGCCCTATGTTCAGTTCCCAGAGCTGTTAGAAAACAAAGAAAAATATGGACTTAGAGAGGTTGATGGAACATTCTAAAAGATACAGAATCACAAGGTGGAAATCTCTGTGATTGGACCCACTCACTCTGTGAGAGGTTCTGTCAAGGCATCCATCCTAAAAAAAAAAAAAAAAAAAAAAAAAAAAGACCCATTTGGCACACATGTGAACTCATTTGGACCCAATTCCCTACTTCTGAAGGTGAAACCAAGCACAGATTCTTTCCTTTGATGAAGTAATTTTACCACCATAATTTGGGATCTCCAGAGCCAGTGTGGATGGAAGAAGGGTCCCAGACCAAGAGAGTAGAGGCCACAGTTCTTCTCATGAAAGGAGAGAAGGCTCCTACAAGACCTGAAAACCTGAAAGTGGTGTTGGAATGGGTCCCCTAATCAAGAAGGAGAACAGTCCCATCTGGCAGTGCTAGCAGATTTGTGGGTCACAGCATGGACTGAAGGCATGTCCTGTTTGAATCACAGCAAGTCCCTTGGAGGAGCCTGGCTTAGGGCATAGGCACACGGAGAAGGGTCCCCAACATCCAGGGACTAAGCTGACCTTACACAGGTAACTCATCAAGCTTCTCCACTTAGCACCTAAAGGTCAGATATTATCCTTCATTCTCTCCTTTTTATCCTTGTTATAATTCAGAGCCTACTGGCTTCATCCAGTCTGTTGAGCAGAGAGAAACGGTCTTGCTGTAGACAGACTATTCTTAGAAGGAACGGGATCAACAAAGGATGCTGTCCCAGGAGTGTACGCAAACCCAAACACCATGAGATGCACTTATAAAATATTGTCCTGGATTTGTCAGATCTGCAACTTTGAAAGTCAAGAAAGAAATTATAAAGCAAAATATGACAGATAGAAATTCTTTTTCATTATGTTTAACGTTCTAGTCACTCTTTTATTGCTGTGAAGAGACACCATAACCAAGGCAACTCTTATAAAAGAAAGCATTTAATTTAATTTGGGGGCTTGCTTACAATTTCAGAGGTTTTTGTCCATTACCATCATGGTGGAAGCATCAACACACAATGAGCTAGGGCAGTAGCTGAGAGCTACAACCTGATTCACAGGCTGAGTCTCTGGGGTTGGCCACACCTCTTAACACTCCTAATCCTTTCAAATAGTGTTATTCCCTAGTGACTATGCATTCAAATATATGACCCTATGGGGAGCATTCAGACCACCACAATGACACAGTTCTCCCCATAGCAAACCAAAACCCCAACCATCACAAAATTATCTGTGCTATCATAGACTCCAAAAGTAAGATACCTGAACTTCAAACCTTGCCTCTGTAGGACTCCTCAAAGCTTCATAGTTCTTGAAAAATAAAAAATTAAAATAATTTTTTAAAATTAGCAGATCATAAAATGTGAAAGGGTCATAATTTGTTGAGAAAAACAAAAACGGGGGGGGGGCTTCATATAAAAATGAGCACACAAATGAAACACAAAAATCAGATTTATCAAAAAGAAACAATGAGGTTGTTGGTCTTTTCCCAGTTGTTTTATCAGGTTGTTTCCTTAAATAACCAACTCCCTGTTTCATGTAAGACAATTTTGTTAGAATTTTTAAAATTCTTTTGTAGGCAGGCAGTGGTGGCACATGCCTTTAATCCCAGAACTCAGGAGGCAGAAGCAGGCGGATCTCTGTGAGTTCGAGGCCAGCCTGGTCTACAAGAGCTAGTTCCAGGACAGGCTCCAAAGCTACAGAGAAACCTTGTTTTGAAAAAAAAATTGTACTGAGTCTTTCTCTGTCTCACCAGTCAGTTCCCACATAATGACACAGAGACTTACTATTAATTATGAAAGCTTGGCCTTAGCTTAGGCTTGTTCCTAACTAGCTCTTATAACTTACATTAGCCCATTTCTACTAATCTACGTTTTACCATGTGGCTTTTTACCTTTCTTTCATTCTATATACACGACTCCCTCCATGTCTCATTGGCGTCTGTCTGTACCTTGATTATCTCCTCCTACTTCCTCTCTCTGCCCCGAAGTCCCAACTATACCTCTTGCCTAGCTATTGGCTGTTCAACTCCTTATCAAACCAATCACAGTAATATATCTTCACACAGCATACAAATATCTCACTTTCATCTGACAGACTTCTATTATGTTTCCTATTTTTCATGCTTAAAATAAACACAAATTCTCCAGGCGATGAGCGTGAATGGGAGCCCCAAACAGAATTTAATCAACAAATCTTACCTTGGGCACAAAAGACTGAGTATAAACTTTGATTTAATGGGGGCCAGGCACCAGTAACTCAACCCAGCCAACAAAAAAAAAAATGTTCATTTCTCCAGGAATGTGTCAGTGTCTCGACGACTGGGCCCTTCATCTTTCTTTGGTTTTCATTCATGTTCCCCTGTAAAATTTAAAGATCACATCTACATGTGGTATTGAGAAAAGGGTGAATATTTGGCACGACCAAGGAGAAAAACATGAACTATCCTAGCCTTAGATCCAGCTCAGCCTCAGAACTGCCTGTTCTCCGAGTCCCTTCCCTATGTCTCTGGTTCAGAATAAGGCAAAGGATTTGATCTCTTTGTATAAGAGCAGAGTGAAGGCACTCTGAGCATCTTCCTCCCAGGGCTATGTGCAGAGTTAAGGAAGCCCTCGATTCGTGGCAAGTGTGCCCGCGCCTACTGGATGGTATAAAGTGAGAGTGTTAAGCACGTTCCAATCTGCTGTTCAGTAGTGCAATTGCTGAGCGTGGAAGGGGGTCGAGTTTGGAACTGGGTGATGGCTGGGTCTTGTGAATTTCCCATCCTCACAGCTGGGAAAGGTCTATGAACATCCTGTTGTGAAAGAAACCCATTTTCCAAGGCAGAATTGGCAATGGGGTGGGAGTCTAAACTACTTCCTTCCTAGCCCCCTCACACCAGTGCCCAGATATCAGCTTGCTGCAACTTGATTTTACCCACGTAGAAACTGAATGTAATTTGGCATTTGGTCACTCTGTGTGCTGTGATCCATGTAACAGCCCAATGAAAGCCTAGCGACTCTTGCAACAAGAGATTAAGTGCGTCCTAGAATCCGCCCTCTAATCTATCAAGCAGAACGTTCTGATGTAAAGCCCACGGAATGGGCAATTATCAAGATGTCCTCCTTGCTTGGTGCTGGAGGCAGAGAGCCCTGCCAGCCCCCTGGGCAAGGGTGAAGCATAAATTACCCTCAAGCCAGACTTTTGGGTGCCTGACTGGGGACCTCCAGCAGGTCACCCCATTATTCTCTTTTGTTGCCTAAAACCTCCTGCTCCTTTCTGTCTGATGGCCGTAAGATAGAACACGATTACTCCTAGAGGGAAATGTTCAAAGCCAGCCCCGCCCCCTCCGACTGCGGGGTGGGGACAAAGGGCTGTCATTTACACACGCATCTACCCCTCCTCATTCTGTTGTCATCCTCTAGCTTTGGAAAGAATATGGCAATTCAGAGCACGGTCTCTGAGGCTAACTGTGTGCCAAGGAGTCCCGTCAATCACAGTCTCGGTCCTGCCACTGACTAGCCACGTCACTTTGAGCTCTCTGTACCTCAGTCTCTCTGCCTTCAACTTAGTAGAAGCACTCCTCTCATAGGGCTGTAAGAATTAGACATTAATTCATTTAGTTCATGGGACGAACCTGGCCCGCTCTTGACCCTATGTTGGAAATAATGTAAGGAAGAGCGGAGAGCTGTCATCATGATGGCAGAACCCACGTTCCCCAGCCTCCCTCCCATTCCAGAAATCCAACCTGCAACTGCCCACCGTGCCACTTTCGAAGACTATGCAATTATTATTTGGGGCATGGATTAAGGAGGAAAACTAAGAAGTGGTGAGCCGCCACCCTCTGGCCAAGTACCTGACCACACATCAGCATTCCAGACCCACCTCAGCATCCATGCAGAAGCGCGCTTGCTAAGGGCCACGCTGGAGGGTGGACAGATGTAAGGGCAGTAGGAGGGTGAGTGTGGGAAGGGAGGATGTTGCTCAGGACCCCAGCCCAGGGTGCGTGATTGGGTTTCCTTGCACTGAGCTAAATGCTGGGTGTCTGTTTCTGTCTAGGATAAAAGATGGATTTTTAAGCACCAATAATACATTGTTTCTGCTTTGGAAAGAAACCGGCAGGGTGCTAACGGAGAGTCACAGACCAAAGGATCAACGGAAGGTACTCCATTCGAGTCAGGAAATAGTAGCCCAGGTAACACGTAGAGAGGCCCCCACGCGGGACAGAGGCTGTGGTCAAGGAACTGAAAAGCAGCTCAAGTGTCCTGTACATAAAGTGGGAGGGAGGTGCCTGAGGAAGAGATGTGAGACCTGGCATTTCCCTGAGGGGGGATGGGTTGGGGGATTGGGGAGCTCTGAGAGCTCCTCCCCACCTCCTCCACATTTCCTAGCTGCTTCAGAGCCAGCAGGAGACAGGCGGAAACTGTTTTTAGCAAGTCACAATAAAGAACAGTGCTTAAGCTGCTTACTTACAGGAGACAGGAGTTAAAAATATCTCTGTCCATGCAGTGGGAGTTTCTTCAGGGGGTAGCTTGGTCTTTCGCAGATATAATTTGTTTCAGGGATAAAATCTTCCTGTAACAAAACACATCCAGCCATTGCATCACCCAGGATGTAATAAGGACGGGTAACACCCAGACATGTGGCTTTTGGTGTGAAGAGGTCTGTGCCTCCCCTGTGTGTCATATAAATGGGGTCATGTGTGTATGTATGTATGTGTGTGTGTCCTTCCTTCTCTCCAGCTTATGGAGATTCATTTCCTTTAGATTGAGAAATAAGATTAAGTTAGAGAGGGAGCAAAGAAAATGACCTTTCCCATGAGTACCATGACCAATACCCAATGACAAATGTCATCCTGCCAGTCTGGCATAAGCTAGATTGTGTGGCATGATCAGCTCTAAAAACTGAGAACTCTTTTGACACTTCACTGGACTACCTTTAAATTCAGGTCCAGATCACAGAAGCTGCGTGCTTGCAGGAAACATCAAGAACTGGGTATATTTACCATAGGTCAGAAACCCTCCCTAAGCCTACAGAAAACATCAAGCAACCAAAACAGCTTATTAAACTATAGAAGCCACTTCTTCCCAATTGTGACCCTATAGGGACCCTCACATAAATGTTTTCTTCTCTGTGCTGAAACTTCTGTGAGCAGAGAGGGTGAGAGAGCCTGCGTGGTCCACTGGAGCGCACCAGGACCTCTGCCTGGTGAACGTTGTGCCGTGAACTGCCCGCATGAACCTCCTCCTCCTCCGTGTCTCTTCCTCTGGAAGCCTGCCCTGACTCCCAACCATGCAGATACCTGCACGGTCAGGCTTAGGACACCGCGTTCTCTACCGGGTGAATGTCACAATGTCACAGGGTTTCTACGGTCATTTCACTAATGTCTGCTTCCCTCACTGGACTGCGAATTCCAGGTCCCACATTTACCAGCAAGGGTCTGGTCTCACCAGAAGCCCTAACCTTCGAGTGAGCTCTGTGGGATGTCAGGAGGCTGCACACCCTCTCATGGATCTTCCTCCACGTGGACTGGGAGCGAGGATGGAACCTGCCCGACAGAGAAAACAGGGGAAGCATTATGCAGCTGCTGAAAAGGATGCTGACTTAGAGTACTTAAACATGGGTTGAAACTTAACCATAAGCTAAAGTGTCAGGATGCAAAATGGTACACCTATGATCTTAATGCTGGCATCAAATCTACATGCCAGGATCACGGGAATACATACCACCAGCATGGTAAAAACAAGCTGTGCTTGGTGTCCGCCTATGAGCTTGGTGTTCTTCTTTGGACGTTCTGGTTTTCGGGGAATTTGCGAATGAGAAAAATCCTGTTTTTTCAATCCCAAATTGTATTTTAAAAACTTAACCTCAATTGTTTTCTGCCACAAGGGCTTTATTTTACATCTCATCCAGTGTAGGCCACCCACACACTGTTGCTTTCTCTCTTCCGCAGACGCCTCTGTGCAGAATACTGCCGCCTTCCCCCGCAAGCCCCTGCCCTCACTAACTCCCAGCACTCTTCTCCGGGAGTCCTTCCCGAGGCTGCCCCTCTCCCCCCTCCCTGCCCCCAGAGGTCAGCTGGTCCACGTGTTGTTCATTTCACAACGCTTCTGACAGTGGACACTGGCCCCGTCCGGTTAAAGTGTCCCCTCGACTGAGACCCAGATGGAGGCTCTGGTTAATATCCCACTCCAAACTACATACACCTGTGGTCCTCGCCCTAAGGAGACTGAGGTGGAAGGATCTGGAGTTTGAGGGTAGCCTGGTTATACAAAAGACAGGTCACAGTAGGTAATGAATACCACAGTGGGGGCTGGAGTTGTTGTTTGAGGGCTTGGAGGAGTGAGCATTCGTGGCTCTGACCAGGGACCTACGTTCAGTTCCCAACACTCCATCTTCTGCCTCACAACTGCCTTTAACTCCAGTGCCAGGGCATCCACTCCCAGTCTCCACGGGAATGAGCACATGCATGACACCTGGATATACACTCAGTCCACAAAATAAGTCATTAAAAACCAATACTGAGTAGTGAATTCATTCATTCTGTATCTGGGTATCAGGTCCTAAATTCTGAGGTATCGCGAAGCTGAAGGTGCACACAGAAATGTGATGATGAAAAGTTCTGATCCTGATTCCTTGAGATGCTCAAAGAGTCTCAGCAATCCAGGTAAGTCATTCTGTCGATGTGTGAGGAACGCTAGAGTGGCACACGTATTTGAGATGTCAACAGGACGGCATCAAGGACATATCGAGAACTGTTCATGAGCAGACAATGGAAGTCTGGGGTGGTTGTTAGGGCCACTATGCCGCTGACCCCCTGCAGCTCCCCCATTCTTGGTTCATGCCCATTGACCTCCCATCACACCCTTCTCTGGAGCAAGAACATAAGGCCCCGAGTAGGACTGAGTCTACACATCTGTTATCTGATGTGAGAGTCTCCTCTGTGTGCTGTGATTGCCATGAATGAATAAAAAAAAAAAAAACTGCCTTGGCCTGTTAATAGGGCAGAAGTTAGGTAGGCGGGGAGGACTGGACTGAATGCTGTGAGAAAGAAGGGTGGACTCGAGAGACGCCATAGAGCCACCGCCAGAGACAGATGTGCTGAATCTTTGCTGGTAGGCCATGACCTGGTGGTGATATAGATTACTAGAAATGGGTTAAACTAAGATGCTAAGATGTAAGAGGTAGCCAATAAGAAGTTAGAGCTAATGGGCCAAGCAGCAATTTAATGAATACAGTTTCTGTGTGGTTATTTTGGTTCTGGGTAGCCGGGACGAACAAGCAGCCCCCTCCTCCTACAATTACCAACCTAGGAAAACAATAGGCAGCAAATGGCTGCAACCTCAATGCTCTACTGTGTTTAAGAAAACATTATACTCATAACTACTGCTCTCCCTGAGAATCTTATGAGAAATACAGCAAGACTTTAAAACTAGCCACCAGCGGGACACATAGGCCGTGAAGATGCTACAGCTGCATACAAGGAACAGAGCTGCCTAATGCCAGAATTCTCTGTGATTCTCCTTGTCTGAACACACAAGAGCAAGCTGCAGATGTGGGGGATGGAAGCGGAGGCTCTTTCCTTGGGGACTACATTCTTCATTCTGGTATTCAAAAGGCTTTGTCTACCTTCCATTAAAATCTTGGACTGAAAAGCCTAAAATTAGGTCTACCACACGACCCAGCAACACCACTCCTTGGCAAGGCTCAAAGCACTTCGTATCCTACTCCACAGACACTTGCTCAGCCATGTTTAGTCGTACCCTATTTGTAATCGCTATGAAACGGAAGCAAGCTACATATCCTTCAGCTGGTGAATAGATAGGGAAAATGCGCTACATATACACTATGGAATGCTAGTCAGTTGTGAAGAACAATGAAATTATGAAATGTTCAGGTAAGTGGAGAGAACTAGGAAAGATCGTGTTGAATGTTTTCCTGAACCCAGAAAAACAAAAGCCACATGTTCTCTCTTATCAGAGGCTCCTACCCCCAAATCTCCAGATGTGCGTACACAACATGAGTAACCACAGAAACCAGCAAATTATAATGCACTGTGGGAGGTGGGGAGTTGAGCGGGGAATGAGATACAAGTGATACTCAGGGGAAAAGAGAAAAATGGGAAGAAGTATAAATAACACCAAGGTTGTCAGATAAAGCCCCAAGGAATCATTTTATATTTACCTAAAATTATACACAGTGTGTGTGTGCGTGTGTGCGTGCGTGCGTGTGTGTGTGTGTGTGTGTGTGTGTGTGTGTGTGCATCTTAAATGAAGTTGTGCCACTTGGGCTCACAATGCTCCATGCAAGAACAACATAGCAACAGTACCAGGCATGAGAAACCTCCTTTTGAGTGGTTGGTCGAGGTAGTCCGAATGAGTCCCCAGACAATATGGGCTACTGATACTTCCCTGGGATGCCTCTCAGAGGTTAGTGTTCAGGCCCTATTGCTGAAGGCATTGAACACTTAGGACACAGGGCATGGATTATTTGAACTGGATTTAACATAAAAGCTTCCTCCCTGCAGTCTAGTTTACATAGTATCATAAACTACTGTGCCAGCTGCCAAGGGAGGGAAGCAGTTACTAGTCCTATCCAGCTGTAACACCTATGAACCACAACAATGGCTAAAGTAGCAAGATCTCCACACAGGTGCACTAGTGACACTCACATTTGTAGAGATCGACAGCTGTCTAAGAGTCTACTCAACAGGAGAGACGCCATGCCTAGTACTAGAACCTAGCCTACTACCTAGGGCTAATGAGGTTATAAATCTTAGAAGAGAATCTTCTATTGCCACTTTACTACACGAGCACAATTCTTTAACTGCATCTTAACCTTATACCCACAGATAAGTCTAGCTTATAAAAACCCTTATAAAAGAGAGCCCTCTCTACAACAAAGAGATACCATGGCAAAAAAAAAAAAAAAAAAAAAAAAAAAACCCTACAACTGACGTAGTGAAAACACCAGTGGGTTGTAGGGAGCCCAGCCCCAGTGGTTACATGTGTAGCATAGCTCCTCTCTCAATGGCTCAGGGAACATTTTGGAAGAGGGTGGGAAGCTTGAAAGAGCCGAACTATGAAGAAGTCTGTTGTTGTGTGGCTGCCTTCCCTAGAAATTGTTGTATAAACAGGAACTGAACAATGGAAAATATCAATAGACATACTAACATGAAAGGGGTAAAAATCTCACAGGCCCCACCCCTAAACAAAGAACTGTAGGCAACTGGTGGCTTCTGAGAAAGGGAGGACTTGCCCCTCCCAGGAATGAGCACATGACTGGTTATTCAATACAAAGTAGTCAGTCCTGAAACCAATGTGTGTGTGAAAAAAAAATATATATATATAATAAAAATGGACTCTGCAGGTTATACCTGTATATTTATTTATCTGTGTGCCTGCATGTGTTGTGTGTGCATACATGTGTGTGTATGTGTGTGTGTGTAACAATAAAAAAAAAGAGGCTATCAACTGGAGAGTGGGAAGGACACAAGAAGGGGTTGGAGGGAGGAGAGCGACGGGAGACAGTGATGAATTACATTAAAAAAACATAAAAAGTTAATTAATTTTTAAAATATTGGACTGACTAGAGAATGGGAGAAATTTTTGCCAACAATATATCAAACAGGTGATTAACATCTAGAATACATAAAGAACAGCAAAAAAAAGCACCAAAAACTAAAGCCTGTGGTTAATCAATAAACTGATAAACTAAATGCAGTCGTCAAAGAAACACAAATGTTTAACAATTGTTATTAATTATTTATTTAATAATAACTAATTGAAAAAATGTCCAGCATCCTTAGCTATCAGGGAAATGCAAATAAAATTGCTTTGAGAGCCCATCCTAGCATTTCATAAGAATAGCTATAATACCATTTCCTAAGAAGAATACATATGCCAGGCCGAGCGGTGGTGGCGCACGCCTTTAATCCCAGCACTTAGGAGGCAGAGGTAGGCGGATCTCTGTGAGTTCGAGGCCAACCTGGTCTGCAGAGTGAGTTCCAGGACAGCCATGGCTGTTACACAGAAAAACCCTGTCTTGGAAAAAAAAAAAAAAAGACTACATGTGCTGGCAGGAATGAGGGGAAGGAGGAGCTCTTCATTTACTGGTGGAGTATAAACTGAGACAGCCGCTATGGAAATCAGTGCAAAGTTTCTCAAAAATAAAAGTAGAGCTACCATATAACCCAACTATCCCACTCCTGGGCATATATCTGGAGTTTTCAGAGTCAACATATCACAAAGATATCTGCACATCCATGTTCATTGCTATGGTATTTACAATAGTAGGAAATGGGACCAGCCTATATTCCCATCAATAGATGAATGGATAAAGACAATGTGATAAAAAATATTCACAATGGGATTTTATTCACACACACACACTCACACACACACACACACACACACACACACACACACCGCTGACATCTAAATGAAAATGGACGGAACTGGAAAGCAAATAAAGACAGACTCACAAAGACAAATACTGTATGTGTTCTCTCATATGTGTACACCATAAAACTAGAAAGGAAACTACAGTGAATAGTTTTATGGCAACTTGGCATAAGTTAGAGTCATCTGAGATGAGGGATCTTCAGGTAAGAAAATGCCTCTATAAGATTAGGCTGCAGGCACGCCTGTAAATCATTTTCTTAATTAGTGATTGGTGGAGGAAGGCCCAGCCCATTGTAGGAGGTGTCATCCCTGGGCTAGTGGTCCTGGGTTCTATGAAAAAGCAGGCTGAGCAAGCCATGAGAAGGAAGCCAGTAAGCAGCTGATGTGGAATCTGCTGTATGCTGTGAATATGTGATGCTTTTACTGGTTGATGAATAAAGCTGCTTTGACCTATGGCAGGCAAAATATAGCTAGGTGGGAAAGCCAAAATGAATAGAGGGAGAAAGAAGACAGACTCAAAAGAGACACTAGCAGCCCCTAGAGAAGTAAGATGCAAGAGCATTACCTGTAAGCCACGGGCCATGTGGTGATACACAGATTAATAGAAATGGGTTAGTTTATATGTAAGGCTAGCTAGTAAAAAGCTGAATGGCCAATAGGAAGGCAGAAGAGGGATAAGCAAGGCTGCCAGGCAGAGATAATAAATAGAAGGAGAAAAAAGAAAAAGGAGGAGCAAGAAAAAAAGGAGAAGAGGATGTCAGGGGCCAGTCACTCAGTCCCACGGAATAAGACATGGAATAAGAAGGAAAGAAAAGATATACAGAAATAGAAAGAGGAAAAAGTGCAGAGGCAAAAGGTAGACAGGCTAGCTTAAGAAAAACTGGCTAGAAATAAGCCAAATTGAGGCTGGGTGTTCATAACAAAGAGTAAGTCTCTGTGTGATTATTTGGGAGCTGGGTGACAGGACCTCCCAAACAGCAGTGGATAAGAAGAAAAAAAAAAAAAAAAACTACAGATGGGCCTTTGGTCATCGCAGTCATCATCAAAATAAATACTGCTAAGATCACATGCCACTTAAAGACAAGCCTGCATCTCTAGGTCAGCACCAGTTCCCGTGTTCCAGGTCTTTGAATACTGAATAACACTCTCCTCACCAACTCAGGGAAAGCACAAGCCAGGGGAAAGGAGATGAGTCCCACGGCCGGAACAACTGTGACTCTGATCATCTGACCCTGGCAAACCTGGGGCTTTTTAATCTGTTACACCATTTCCAATACGGTGAATAATCAAGAATTGGCATTACATTATTATCTTATTAATATATTTTATGTAATTTCCCCAAATATTTAACATTTTAATAATTTTTGAATTTTATCATTTCTGAAAAATACTAAAAAATAGATTACTATTTTCTTACAGTACCTCAAATTCAAGTACAATTCTTGTTAAATTTCCAGGGCCATGTAGGTTCGGGGACAGTCTAAAGTGGGTCGCTCTGGGCGTAGCAATTGTGTCTTCTGGGGCAGGGAATGCCTGACTCTCATCACTAACAGTGAAGAGAAAAGACGACTGGCATTCCTCTCTGTCAAAGCTGCTTTCTCATTATTTTCGTGGTCTTTCCATGGAGTAAGTGACCAATCCCTTCTGCTGGTGTGCCTGAGTAAGCTTTGGCTAACCCTGGCAGACTTAAGCAGACCAAATGGCTATTCAACTTACTTGAGATGCTGACTGGTGAATATAGAATCCCCACTTCATCTTTTTGGACAGAGTCTTATGCAAATGTTTTCACTACTTACAATAATGTAAACAAACCAAGAAACTATGTCTATGCAAAAAAAATATATGCACATTAATGGTGTTTATTGTGGATTGGTGGGCCATGGGTGATTTTTCCCTCAACTCCTTTTTGATGGTATATAGCTTCTAAAATGTCTAGTGAACCTCTTCATAGTTAAAACCAAAAATTTGAGTTTTAAAATTTGTGACAGAAGAAAAAAATGGGTATGTGTACATGTGTGCATTCATGTATGTGTATGTGTGTGTGCGTACATGTATGTGTATGTATGTGTGTGTAGTGAAAGGCGGGAGATGTAGGGTGCCCCCGTCACTCAGTCTAGATTCCCTTGAGACAGGTTCTCTCACCGAAGCTCTGTCTTCAACCCAACTCACCCCTGCCCTCAGGACTACACCTGGCTGCTTTATGTGGGTGCTGGGATTCTGGGCTCAGGCCTTCATGCCTGAGCATCAAGAGTGCACGCACTTTCACTCACTGGGTCCAGCTCCCGCCTGTTTTTCCGTTGTTTGCCGTGATGGTTTGGTTTGGTTTTTCTTTTTGGCGGTACTAGGGCCTCATGCGTGCTAGACAAATGCTATACCATTGAGTTACACACTAAACCTACACCAGGTACCCTCAAACACTTTCCCGAGGAAAAAGAAGTTAACAGTACGTTTTGTATAGGTTTGAAAAGGAACGGTCACGGTCACCGTCTGAATAGCCCAGCAAAGCAAACAGACAGGGCATCCAGACTTTCTTCCTGACAGAGCACAAGGCTCATCAGGCAAGGGGATAGGCACCAGCTGCTGACCTTTCTCCGAGGAGAGGCTCATCCAGAGGGCTGGGAGATCTGGAATGCTGGGAGGTAGGGAGTGGAGTGTCCAGCAGGAGCTCTACATCCCTTACGTGATTGGGCGAGGGTTGTCCGGACTTCCTCGGATCTAAAGGTGGCGACGTCTGACTCCTTAAGACAATGCGCTCGTCAGGCTCTCTGGTGACCTGAGTGACAATGTGAGTTACTCTTGACTCGTAGTTTGGGTTTTGATTTGCCTAATTCAGAGGTAGGGGCAGGCTAGGACAAGGAAGCGAAATTGAGGTCAGATGACAGAACACGCAGCCAGAGATTACCCACAAATAAAAGAGGGGACCATGGTACAGAAGCCTCAGGAATATGGGTCAGGAAAACACAGTCAAAAGGCTCTGTGTTTGGCAACATTAATAAGCCAAGGTAAACTCACACTTAGAACTTTGTTTCTTTCTTTTTTTTCTGGTTTTTCAAGATAGGGTTTCTCTAACAATCCTGGCTGTTCTAGAACACATTTTATAGACCAAGCTGGCCTCAAACTCATTGAGAGCGGCCAGCATCTGCCTCCAAGGTGCTAGAATTAACAGTGTGTGCCACCACTGCCCAACTAGAGCTTTGATTTCTGAGGACACTGGCTTTTTGGTTCTGGGGAAGATGGAATTTTTCAACAAAGTGTGACTGTCCTGTACATAGGCAATGCAGTATACAGTTCACTTCCTTCCCGTGCCCCTCTCAGTTTGTAGCATAAAAGCTGCGGCTCTCAGTTGGGCAAACTGGTCAAGTTTGAGGACATGATTAGCACCTCGCTGTAGAGAGGGATCTGATTGGAGACAGGCAACTTAAGTCACTGGTGATAAGATAATAATCGGCCTATATAAACTCTCCCTTGGCAACAAAAAAAGGGGAGCAAGCCAATGAACCCCACAGTGAAGCAGACAGTGAAGCCTGAGCACTGGTCTGCAGAAACCCTACCGAACCCTTGTTGGCCCGTGAGCTGCACAGCTGGGAACATATTCTCCCCACTAACTGCACAGGGCTTGACCTAGACACTGGAAACAAATAATTTTACAGACGTTACTGCTACAATTACCTTTATGTTTGTTTCGAGGCTTTCAAGAGAAGATGCTAGAAGAGAGAGGAAGAGGAGTGTGAGGAGCTGGTTGTTACCAGTTAGCCATATAATGGCTGGCACATTTACCCCATAGAAGAAGCAAGATTTTAGACAATAAATGAATGACAAAGGGACAAAGGTTCCCTTGTAAAATACAAGTTCGCAACTGAGTCTCTCTTGGGGCACTGCAATTCTAGAGAACTTTCTGTCTTCTTGGGGTCCACAGTCAGGTTCTATTTTCAAGGACAGCCCAGTTGGAAAGGGGCTGGGGGCAACAAACATGCCATGGAGTAGAAGGTCAGCACCCTTACAGCCTTAAACAGAGAAAACCTATCTGTCCAGATGCTCAGAGCCTGGAAAAAGACCCTATGGATCTAATATAAAGCTCCTATGCTCTGCTGTGTGAGTCCTGGTTGGTTTCTTAAGATCAGTTAACATAGGAGCTTTTGAGTATACTTGTCTGAGGCAAACATGGCTGTGACATCAAGCCAGTAATACCTAAGAACACAGAGAAACCCAGCGCATCCAAACCACAAATCATCGTCATCGCCCTAAATGTCTATGAGAGGTAAGTAGATCCCATACTAGTGAGTGACAAGGACGACCAGAAAGCAAAGCAATAGCCTAACACATACAAGGCCCTAACTCTAAAATAAAACAAAATATTGCAGTACTAAAAAAAAAACTCCAAAAGTAACAAATACACATTTAAAAAAACTGCCAAGCAAGTGGATTTTTTCCTTAAGTTTAACGACAAAACGCTCTCCAGATTTATCGTCCCCTTACACCACCAGATGCAATAAGGAAGAACAGAGATTTTTTTACAGCCTGACACCGTTCCTATCTGGGCACACTTATCTGTGTGTGTACACATGGTTCTGGAAAAGCCGCAACCACCACCACACTAAAATGGACAGGGAATCAGCGATGCCAAGTAGCTGCAACTAATCCAGACTAGGGACTCCCTGGGCTCTCCCTTGCAACGAGATCAGAACTGCATTAACATCTGTTCTGCTGCTGGCCCTTTTTTCTCAAGGGGCAATCCAGGGCCCAGCAGCACAAGGACCCCCTGGAAGCTTGTGAGAAAAGTACCCAAGCCCCATGCCAGCACTTTATCAAGATTGTGCAGTTCAACAGGAGCCCTAACTGGCTCAGAGGCACATGGAGTCTTAAAGGGGTGGCTTTATTCTCCCATAGATCTGGGGGTGACCTAAGCATAGAGATGGCCTGGAGTCCCAGGGATTCCAGGACCTCAGTCCAGAGAGCTGAACATCCAGAGGTTGTAGCTCTGCTAACAGCTCGGTGTAAGACTCATACCCATAACCCCGGGAAACGTCCTCACCCACCAGGAGCAAAAGAAGCATGGTGTATGCCACCATTGGAGGCAAACGAGCACCAAGGAAGCCCCACTGTCCTTCCAGGAAAGGACATTTGCTGTTGCTTTTGCTGTGACAGGGAAGATGGCCCTGCTTTTACGGGCTGCACCAGTGATTTTCAATCGCAGCACTTAAATTAAATGTCAGAGGTGATGAAGTGCTTCCTCCTCCCAGCCCCACGCTGTCCGGGTCAGCGGTCATCAGTCACTCTGTCTGGTCTGAGTTACCTCCACAACACTCTGCAGTCCTTTCAAAGTACAAACCGTCGAGCCGAACACAGGGAACTCCACTGTAAAGCTATCCCACGTCTAGTCCCACCACAGGGTAACAGAAGGGATCGTCACCAGCCCTGTCCAGACTAAGAACTCCAGGCAAGCTGCCATGACCTTCACTGGGGACAGACTCACACATTTCTCCCGAGGTCAAAGCCCCCCCAGGAGTGCCTTACCCCAGACACTGTCAATTAGTAATGTAAAGTCCAGGAATCTTAATGGGGGTGGGGGTCCTGATGAAACCTCCAGGTTAAAACCTGCATTCACAATTACACGAAGACAGGATGCGTTCCTCCCGTCCTCCCACAGTGTAACAAACGCCAGCACAGCGCACTGTAACAGTATTACCCTAATGGCCAGCGACTTTCTTGCTGCTGTGTTACATTTTAGTCACTCAGTTTCCATTTCTAGCGTGCTACATGTGGCTAGCCATCATCCATGTCAATCAAAGCCCTTTCAGGTCCTCAACATCGTTCGCAAAGGGATCCCAAATGCTGCGAGAGCTGGCTCCCTCCTCACTAACTAACGCGGAATCCGTCAGCAAGTGTCATGACCACCATCAGTGTCTTGCTCCTTCGCCCTCGGAAAAACGGCAAAAACAAACAACGTGTTTGCTAACCTGTCAGCCATGCCTTCGCAAAGAGTTCACGCCGGGAGGAAGTGCTGCCTGTTTGCCGGCCTAGCCCTGGGTTGTGGCCACGTGCGAACAGTCACACCACCCAGCTCAGTCCCCTGCGAGTACTGAGGGCGTCTTGAAAGTAAGCTGCTTCTTAGTGGCCTCTGCCCATGGGAATGTCTCGGCTAGAGAGACCCAGAGAGACAGGTCCACAGTTTCCAACCTAGCCTGTAGTTCCTCAGAACGAAGGATGCCCAGTGGAATGCACTCGTGCTCAGTAAAGGGATGTTAGTAACGAGAAACTCGAGTACCTCTTCTCATTGGAAGAGCAACGTCTAAAAACTTCGATTTTCTTCTGGACTTCGGTAAGTGATGTTCCAAACTGCTTTCACCAAAGGGGTTTACACTGTCCACCTGAAAGTGAAGGAGACATGTTAAGACTCTTCCTGCAGTAGCTTGGACTACCTTCTCACTGCCTACAATGCCTCCCCTACCCCCATTCAGAGAGACACTTGAAAAGTAGCCTAATTCACGGTCTCAGACTATGGTACATTTTATGCCCACCATCTCCAGTGAGGCCAGATCTGAGGGTGAGTGTCAAATGTGAGCACAGAGAACTGAAGGTTGATAAAAGGCAGCACTGAGTTTTCACCTGCTGAGAGCTGGGATAAAGGTGTGAGCTGCCACGCCTGGCCCAGAATCCTTTGGACCACATAGAGTATTCCAAAACAAGAGAATCACCATTCAGATTCTCCTCCAATCTAGATTCTTTTAAAACACAGTAGAGCTGGGCAGTTGTGGCACACACCTTTGATCCCAGCAGAGGCAGGCAGATTGAGGTTCAAAGCCAGCCTGGTCTACAGAACAAGTTCCAGGATAGCCAGGGCTACAGAGAGAAACCCTGTCTCAAAACCAAAGCGAACCAAGAAAGCCCACAATAGCAGTGACTACTCTCTTACTTCAAGTGACAGGCCAGGCTTCCTAAGACAAAACTGGCCAACATGACCTGTAGAAGCAGGTCAAATGCTTGAAAAAGAGATTCTTCTACAGCATAAATTTTAAATTTCTGAAATGGGCTTTGAAATTTTTATTTTTTTCAGCAAAGCAGACTACAATGCTAGTGTTTATTGAAAGTCAAGAAACAGACTGATTATGTTTTTTTTTTATTTTTAACTTAAACTTTTTAATGTATATGAGTGTTTTGTTTGCATGTATGTCCATGTACTACATGTGTGCTGGTGTCCACAGAGGCCAGAAGGGGGCATCAGATGCCTTGGATCTGGAGTTACCAACAGGAACTGCTGTGTGGGTGCTGGGAATTGAACCTGGGTCCTCTGGAAGAACAGCCAATGCTCTTAACTGCTGAGCCACCTCTCCAGACACAAGTTCTCTAAATTTTAATGCTTCTATTAAGGATGTCTCACACATGATCAGAAAATCTGGCTAATCAAGTATGTATGATGACCTATAAGAGAGCTGAGCATACAGTCAAAACTGTAATGATTTGTTAAACAGTAGAAACGGAAATTTTCACTCCCTCAGAAATCTAACCATTGTTTTTACAAGATGAATTACTCCACAGTGGCAGAGACTGCATTTGATAAGCATGAGTATGGAATAGAATAAGTCACACTGTCCAAAATAGATGCAAGCACATCTACAGAGCCATATTTAATGATAGGTTACTACATTTTTTGCCAGGCATCTTTACCAAGATCAATAAAAAGAAAACAGCCATTTAGTATTTCTGTGTCTATGAATAGTTCTTATTTGGAGATTAGCTAGTTCGTGTTTTCTAGCCAGAAAGCTCAATTCTACCTAGAAACAAATTACACACAACAATCTCAACAGTGCCTTGACTGAGATTTACCCCATCTCACAACCTGTGTCAGACGCACGATCATAATTTCTAGTGACTTTAAGTGAAAATGTCAACAATTTACCCATCATTAACATTCTGAAGATAGTCACTAACTGGAAGGTGTGATAGAGTTCATGGAGGGTATGAAATAACAAAAACGTTAATTTGAATGTATCTATATATTGCTATGGGATAATCCTTCTGTATATTGTGAATATATGTTGCTCTCATTGGTTGATAATAAACCCAATTTGACCTATAGCAAGGCAGAATATATCTAGGTGGGAAAGCCAAATTGAATACATGGAGAAGGAAGAGCAAAGTCGAGAGAGACTGGAGCCAGTTGCCCAAGAAATAAGATGCCAGCAGACTGGTAAAAGCCACAGAAATGTGGTAATACATAGGTTAATAGAAACGGGTTAATTTAAATGTAAGAGCTAGTTAGTAATAAGTCTAAACTATAGGCCAAACATTCTGTAATTAATATTAAGCCTTTGAGTGATTATTTAGAAGTGGCTATGGAACAAGGCAGGACAGATAAACCTCCGTTTACTATAATTACAGACAGTTTCATGGAAAACATAAAGGCTATAAATACAAAAACTGAAGAAAATAATCAAATTAATGATTTGTGGTTGTGTGTGTGTGTGTGTATGTAACTCAGTAGCTCAAATTTTCCTGAAACAGGTTATGCAGCCCAGGCTAGCCTCAAACTCATGTTTATCCTCCTGCCTTAGCCTCCTAAGTGCTGGGATTATCAGGGTATATCGCAACACCTGGCTTTAGATATCCCTTTTATTACACTGATGAGCCAATGTCTATTTTATAATACAGTAATTAAAAGCAAATTTTCAAGATAGCCACAAGGACTACAGTGACTAACCATGCCCACTGCTTCTGGTGACTAAGATTCAGAAGGTTCTTTGAGTGAGGCCCACCCTTGCTTTTTCCCCCCACTGACATCTTGCCCTGCTCAGCATTTGGCTACTGAGCATCAGTCTCATGGAGAAGAGGAAAACTGTTTCTTATAAAGGGCTGGACCTTCACTTTGAATTGAGGCACCTTATCAGCCAGCCTTTGATTGACATCTTCAGTTCCTGGCAGTTCACAGGTGCCTCTGAGTAATGGTGAGCTATCTACGGACATCATACTCGATTAATAATGTTCTAAAATTAAAAATGGGGCGATTGAGCAAATTCCCTCCGAGATGCCTTTATAGACATTGCCTAAGAATGACGCTGGGAAATGAACATCATTTAATGGCAGCTATTATTCACTTGAATTCCCTCGGTAGTCACTATCGCCACGTGTTGGCGTGGCTCAACGCTTCTTCCACCCGCTCCTATCAGCATCCTCACTGCAGCAAGTTACTCTGAGAAATCGCTTCAAGCTCACATGTCTAACCACAAATGGAGGCTTTCTTGCTTCAGGGAGCCTGAAGCTCTTTCCAAGGTTCTGCTGAGTCGGCTGGTGCTGGACGAGACGTCTAGGGGAAGACGGGGAGGGGACCCGGGCCTGTGTGCCTTTGGGAAGTCGGTCAGGGCTTTTCTCCTTCTGCTTCGTCTTTCTGTTATTTGTGGGAGTTCTTTGCCCGTGTGATTTCGGTAAAGGCATTTGGGATTTACAGTTCTCCCCCTGAGAGCAGAAAACAAACAAACAGATTTGTCACGCTGTTTCTTCTCGTTAGGTCTTGACCATGCTTGGAAGGGACTCTGCCCGTGAGCTCTACTTCCAGCCAAAAATATTATTGGGGAAAAAAAGATAATTCAATCAAGACTATAATAATTAATTGAACATTTAAAAACTAAGAAGACTGCCTCAGATTTATAGAAGAAACCTTTAAAGAAAGGCATTCATTTACCTAATCTACCATTTAACATAATCAGTATGTGTAACTCACTAAAATCACACAGTTTAAGTAAAACAGTGAGGTTTATTTGTGCTGGGGAAAGTTTGAGAAGGCAGACGCACACAGGTACACTCCAAGCCCAGGTAGACCATAGACACCGAGAAGCATGAATGGCATGTACAGGTGGACCCAACCGTTTCACTTCAAGGAGTGTATTAAAGGTAATTAGTGTTGCTCTGTGCACAGAACTGAAGGCATTGTGTCTTAGAGTCAGAGTTTCACCATGGAGCCTAGACGGCCCTTCAACAGGAGCAAGCTCCCACATCAGTATCCCAAGGGCTAAAATTACAGATGTGTGTCACCATGGCCAGCTTAAAATGGATTTAAAAATATCTCTGTGAATAAACAACCATCTTAGCTGAAATCCCACCTCAGCTCAATGACACTGTAGCAAAGACTCTGCCGGGCTTCTTTTTGTTCTTCCAATTGTTCTGCTTGGTGATGGGTCGGGTCGAGGGTGTGAAGGGGAGGAGCTAACGGTCTCCCATTCTGTTTGGTGTGTCTGTGATGGGTCCAGGGTGGGGATAAGGAGGAGCAAAAGGTTTCCCATTCTGTTTGGTGTGTCTGTGATGGGCCGGGAGTGGGGGTGAGGAGGAGCTAATGGTCCCCCCTTCTGTTTGGTGTGTATATGATGGGTCCAGGGTGAGGGTAAGGAGGAGCTAACGGTCTCCCATTCTGATTGACGCCATCACTAACCATCATTCTCTTCAACAGCACCACTGAACACACAGCAAATGCACTCTAATGGGACAGCCTGCGCAAATGGTTTGAATACAGAAATTAACCCTAGCAAAAAACTGCCCAGGTTACTATGTTCAGTTTCATGTAAACTCAGCAAACTGAGCTCAGGCCAAGAGTCTTTAAATTGGGGGCGAGGGCTCTTGTCATTTCTGTCATTGCCCTTTTCATTGTACTTACAAAAAATCTGTTTCTGTGTGGGAACACACATTCTCGGATGGCTGTCCTTGTAGAAAATTCTAGTTTGGGAGCAATGCCCTAAAAAATAAGACAACATAAAGAGAAGCAAATAAAATTACTGGAAACAATTCTCTTGCCCATCTCTTCTTCATTGGAAATCCACTAAGAACCCAGATGTCCTTCTGTACTCAGCATAATCAGAAACCTTTTATAAAATGTACAGAGTAAAAAGAGCTGAACATGTATATCATGTGTCAGCTATACTAAGTCGAGGCCTAAACAACTTGGAATACACACTCATAACTCCTAACATAACCCTGTGAAGTGGGTCCTAATAAAATTTTCATTTGGACTTGAATGAGCTCAGACAGTTTATGTAGCTTGTCGGGCTGACAGTGGCAGAACTGGTCATTGGACCTAGGCATCTGCACTCCAACGCCCATGCTGCTAACTACTCTATCTGAAATACAGGAACAGGAAAATGAGATTAGTAAGGGGGAGGGGCAGGTCTCCTTCCCTGCCTACTTGCCTTGGAAAACTTGGCTTTCGTCTTCTATCAAACATTTATACTCATCAGGCCTATTCTCAAACTGTTTTATTCGGTGTGGTGTTTTATCATCCAAATGACTGCTGAGGTATAAAGTGAAGTAAAACCACAATGTATGGGAATACAAAGAAAAATCCCACTACCATTGGAAAAACCAATCTAATTGTTAAGGAACTGATAAGACACCGCTAGCAGGTGACTGGTGTGCCTGACCCATTCAGGTCATCCTTCTCATTTTCCACAGTCGCAATGAGCACTGAGAAGAGAGAACAGAAATAAATGCAAGAGAAGTAGCATCGTGTTTGGGTCTAAGACTGTAAATTCTGTCGGTCCAAGTACGTGTCTGATGCAATGCGATGGAGAAAGGAATCACAGTCTCCCCCCAGGATGACAGAACAAGAGGATCCATGCTGTGACCTCGGCACACGCCAGCCACGTAGCTCGGCACACACCACGGGCATCAACTGCTCCTGAAGCCCTGGCAAGTGGTTTGATTTTGATTTGTGAAATGTTCTGGAGGAATTGAACCACTCTCTCTTTTTGTCTATCTATCAAATTGTTCATAGAGCTTGATAAACTGAATTACAAGAAATGATGCTGAGTCCTGAAGGCATTTCAATACATTTTAAAGCTTTTTTCCTGACAATCCCCTCCATCTATAAACAACTATAAATACAACTTCATATAGGTTAGTCTTTCTATTCGTGCCCAGAACATTCAACAGGCTAGTGGCATTGGAAGAAAAATTAAGTGTTTCTCCTTGTTTTGATTTTGAAGATGACTCTTATTTAACTGGGAATTCTGAGCATTTCCTCAGGCCGGTTCCCATCCACTTTAACGCCCTTTTCAATTCTGAAGGGCAATATGCCAATAACATGAAGTAATAAAGGGGAGCATCTCACAGGTGCCATGGACTTAAATACATGAAGATGATGTCAGAAAAAGAAAATAAGTGATTTTAGAAATATTTGCCAGACCCTGAAAGATAACAGGCAGGGCTTAAAGTTATAGGCACTCAGAATTCTGATTGGGACCACTTTGGATGAATGTTTGTGCCTGGTGTATCAGTCATCAGTAGCACTGAAGGAACAATCACACCCTCTGAAGATTCTCAGCAGGGTGGGAACCATAACTTCACTACACAATAAAAGAGCAAAAAAGAAAGAAAGGAAGAAAGGAAGGAAGGAAGAAAGGAAGGAAGGAAGGAAGGAAGGAAGGAAGGAAGGAAGGAAGGAAGGAAGGAAGGAAGGAAGACCAGTGCAGAGATGCCTTTAATAATTCACAAGCACTTGGCCCTTAAAGAAGAGGTCATCCAAAGACATAAAAATCCACAGAAGAAGGAGGAGGAGGAGGAGGGAGGAGGAGGAGGAAGAGGAGGAGGAAGAAAAGAAAAGAAAAAAGAAAAGAAAAGGAGACAGAAATAATCATGGACCATAATATCAAAATGAATGTCTTGAATTTGGGTTCAGACAAATGCCTCGAGACTATCAGCTGCCAATCTGCTGCACCATGCATTGCTCCTCAATAGCATCCACCTCTATCAGTGCCCCTCTGCCAAAGGGAACCTGCTCAACAATACCAGCCTTGAGGAATTTGTAAATTATTAGGTAGAGAATGACTAAAAATATAGAAGGTTGAAGGGCATAAAACAAATGTAAGATAATATCATTTCTGTCATTAGCCTATTTAGTGAAAAAAGCTATGATCGAACAGATCTTCTGAAATCTGCAGTAAGTTGGAAGAGGAACCTTTTGGGACATTGTGAGACAACTGACTATTGCAATGATACCGTTTAGTTAGATAATGAAACTTTCAGCTTTGGGATCAATAGTGGAAATCAGTATAGTTTGGTGTCATGAGCTGGGCATCTGACCATGGATGAAAACAGAACTGAGGTAACTAAGCAAGACAAAGCTACCTGCCCGTCAACCCTAAAATATTCAGGGCCCAAGAAGTTCTTTCCCTGTAGAAGCCCATGGAGGGTCACTCCCTGGAAAACCTATTGGAGTCTTCATGAGCTCCTCCCTATACATGCCAAGGTATGAAGGGTCACTCACTGGAAAACCTATTGGAGTCTTCATGAGCACCTCCCTATACATGCCAAGGTGTGAAGGGTCACTCACTGGAAAACCTATTGGAGTCTTCATGAGCACCTCCCTATACATGCCAAGGTGTGACGATGTCAGCCTGGGCTCGGGGAACAGAAAATCTCGTGTGTTTTCTTCATAGTAGGCCAGCTCTTCCCATGCTAGAAGGAACGAAGAAAAATCATAAGCATATGTATTCTACATGCCTCAACTTTAACAAAATGGATGTTCAGATGGTGTGCTGGTTAGCTCTATGCCAACCTGACACAATCTATAGTCATTTGAGAGGAGGGAGCATCAGCTGAGAAAATGCCTCCTTGAGGTTGTGCTATAGGTAAGCCTGTAGGGGATGTTGATGTGGGAGGACCTAGCTCATTGTGGGTTGTACCACTCCTGGGTTGGTGGTCCTGGGTTCTTTAAGTATAAGAAAGGAGGCTGAGCAAGCTACGGAGAGAAAGTCAATAAACATCACTTCTCCATGGCCTCTATTAGCTCCTGCCTCCACCAGGTTCCTGTTCTGACTTCCCTTTATGATGAACAATGATGTGGAAATGTAAGCCAAAATAAACCCTTTCTTCTGCAAGTTGCTTTGGTCATGGAGTTTCATCATAGCCACAGTAACCCTAAGACCAATGGTATCAGGGAGGGCACTTAGGTCAAACAAGACATTTTAAACCTAGTATTTGTTATTCAAAATAAATTAATTTCTATTACTTTTTATCTTGTGAATAATTTAGTCTTCTTGAAAAAAAGGAAGGGTGTTACACAAAATTGAACAAAATGAAATAAATCTCTTCATCTTTCCACCCATCCATCCTTTGCTTCACCAAATATTTACCAAAGACAAATTTTGAGCCAGACCCTGAAGGCAGACAGGAATGAGACAGACACAATCCTGCTCACACAAAGTTTATAGTTGGAGTGGGCTCTGCATGTTTGCTTGGCTACAAGGGTGCCAATGGCCCAGAGAGCAAGTAGACTTGAAGTTCTTGGAGAGAATGTTATCAACCCAGAGATGCTCTAGACATTTGTTGAGATCATTTATGAGAAGGGGCCAGTAATGCTCCAGTGTCCTGGGGAGCTCAAGACACCCCGGCATACTTTCTCTATCATGCATGACTTTCTAATGTCCTACTAGACATTTCTTTAGGCTAAAAATAACCTAATGGTTATCTGAGCCTAAAATTATATTTCAAAGAACGGCTGTATGATTTTATAATACTAAAAGGAAAGTGGCTTATAATGAAACAGGATTCATTTTAGAATGTTAAGTACTGGCAATAATGATGTGTTTAGATGTGCTGGGATTTTCAAATTTCTCAATAGGTCTCAGTAGAAGGCCAAACAATGAAAAAGCAAAATTGTTCTTTTATTTATGGAATACCCATACTTTTCTAGAAAAGTCAGTGTATTGTAAAACACAAAATACGGTATTCTCTGTTTTTGTTCCTATGTCATTTCTTTGCACTCCTGCCTAGCAGACAAGCTTCACCACAGTAGACCGAAGAGGATGTCTTCCCTTCTCCACACAGCACTTCCACAGCTTGAGCTGGGCTTTTCTCTTGGTGGAGATCCTGTTCTTTCAAGTTTCCCTCTACAATCAACTTAAAATCTTCCATTAGAATTCTCTGCATATCAGACTAAAACCCATGTACCACTCGGCATGGGGATGAACAGTTTTAATACCAGCACTCCGGAGGCAGAGTCAGGCAGATCTCTGTGAGTTCAAGACAGCCTGATCTACATAGCAAATTCCAGGACTACACTGAGACCTACTCTCAAAACAAAACAAAACAAAACAAAACACTAGTAAGATACAACCTATTGCCTCAATTGGCCTTCAAGATTTTTATATAAATCAGTCCTTTAATCATTGCTGCTACTTCATTAATGACCTATCTCCTAATTACTTCATTTCATCCCCGATGCCATTCTTGCCAGACTGTAAACATATCAAAGTCACCTCTAGAGTTTTGGGGTTTATTTCTTTGTTTAGTTGGTTGCTTTTCTTGAGACAGGGCCAGCCTTATGAAGTCCAGACAGGCGTTGAATTGGCTACACAGTCAAGGATAGCCTTGAACTCCTGACCTGATGCCTCTACCTCCTGTATAGCCTTGATTTAAATGTGCTCCCTAAATGCTGCTCCCAAACCCGTGTAAGTATGCACATAACGGAGACTCTGTAAACACAATTCTTATCTCCACTCATGAAGAAACATGTTTGTGAAATTGAGATAACTTAAGTACCTACTTGTATCAGTCACTCTTAAAACAATCACTCTTTTTGAAATTCATTTTTCACATTAAAACAAGTTACAAAGACCAAACGCTCTCTAAAATCTTTTTAACTCTTGCTCACCATTCACTCCTCAATGATTTCTTTGCATTCACGCATTCGAGAAACAATCATTGAGAACTCACTGCATGCCCAGAGTGCTACACTGGCCTGTGGGTAAGCCTGTGTGCATTTCCTTGATTGGTGATTGAAGTTAGAGGGCCCAGATCACTGTAGACAGTACCCTGGGCTTGTGGTCCTGGGGGCTATAAGAAAGCAGGTTGAGCAAGCCATGAGGAACAAGCCAGTAAATAGGACTCTTTCACGGCCTCTGCATCAGTTCCTGCTTCCAGGTTCCTGCCTTGAGTTCCTGCCCTGACTTCCCTTCATGATGGCCTGTTACCTGGAAGTAAAATAAAATGCCATTTCCTCCCCAAATTGCTTTTGGGCTTGGTATTTTATCATAGCAATAGAAACCCAAACTAAAACATAGCCCCTTGGGCTATTGCATGAAAAATAGCCAAGAGAATATAAGTCATTTTCTGCCATCATCATGGTTGTTCCATTATACCATTCTAACAATGGTCTACATTAGCATCGCTACATTTCTGCAGGAACACACGCCAGGCCCGTGGCATATTGCACTCACTGCACATTAGGCTTCTCCTATGTTCCCTTTTCCTTTCATGGGTTTTAGGTTCTTGTCACTGCATGTAAATATTATAGCTACTCAATTATTATTCATTTATTTACCAAGAATTTAAATTTAAAAAGAATTTAAATAAACAAAAACAAGAAGCCAAGTAAGTATAGACAAACTAATTCACTGTCTCTAGAATAACAAGAACAGACTTATGAAATTAATTACCAATTCTCAGATTCCAGAATCACCTGGAAAATAGGCCTCTGTTTCTTCATGGGTAGAATTGTTTTAGTTTCCTTAATTGAGGAAGAAAGATCCATCCACTATGAATGACTCTATTCCCTAGATGGGATGCTGGGTTATATAAGTAAAAAAAAAAAAAAAAAAAAAAAAAAGGAACTGAGCAAGAGCATGAATAAATCACCCTGTCTTAGTCAAAGTTCCATTGCTGTGAAGAGACACGGTAACTACAGCAACTGTTACATAAAGCATTGGGTTGGTTTGCATTCAGAGGCTTAGTCCATTATCATCATAGTGAGAAGCATGGGGTCATGCAGGTAGACACAGCTTTGGAGAAGTAGCTATGAGTGCTACATCTCAGCAGGTAGCAGGAAGAGAGCTGCTAGGCCTAGCTTGAGCATTTGAAACCTCAAATCCCACCCCCAGAGACACACCTCCTCCAGCCAGGCCACACCTCCTCCAACAAGGCCACACCTCCTCCAACAAGGCCAACCTACTCCAACAAGGTCACACCTCTTCCAACAAGGCCACATCTCCAACTAGTGCCATTTCCTATGAACCTATGGAGGTCATTTTCATCCAAATAACCACACAGCCTTTGCTTCTTGACTGTGAATGTAATGTGACCAGTTGCCTTCCTTCCTTAGGTTGCCTTTGTTAGAATATTATCCCAGAAACAGAAAAGTAAGACAGGGCATTGGTACCAGAGTGGGACTGTTATATCATAAACCTAATCTGTGGTTCCTGGGTATTTGAAACTAATTTGCAGGATGGATGCAGAAGAGTTTGGAACTTTGGGCTAGAAAGTCCTCCAATACTATACGCATAGCCTAATGGACCATTATAGTGCAAGATTTGATGCCAAAAATGCTTAAAGAAATGCGAACAGTAGAGGCCCAATTCATGAAGCACTCAATACATTGGAACTGGAAGACGGTCACTCATGTGACATTTTGGACAAGAAGCTAGTTTCATTCTGCCCTTATCCTGTGAACTTGAAGTGAAGTTGTATTTAAAGGTAAGGACTAATTAGATTTGTGGAGGAAATGTCAAGACGGGAAGATTCAGGTTGGCGGTGAGAAAGCACTTGTGATCACTTCACTGAGACAACAGGAAGGATGCCCTAAGGGCAAAACCCCACACACTAGAAGATTTGTCTTATGAAGATGCAGACATAATCGAGGGAAGAAAGCCTAAACTGAAAAGGCTTCTAACTCCTTGAAAGCGTCTACCTGGAGGAATGTTTCCAAGGGTTACTATGTTTAAGTTGACACAGTTTTAGTCCAAGGGAGCCAGGTTTCATCTTGAGCTGGCTGTAATACTTGGAAAAGTCATCCACATGACATGGTTTTAGAGTCATGAAAGATGCAGGGCTGAAGGTGTCCTGATATTTTGTTCCATAGTTTCCGAGAGTAACTGAGACCAGTAAATGTCTTCTAGGATCAGAGTCCCTTGTAAGGAGGCCTTGAGAGGCCACTGGATCAAGCTGTGAAGGTAGGCCAGGCTCCAATGCAGATCCCAGGACACCGGAGAGGTCGTGACTGTAGGATACCCATCCAGGGTGTCTGTGGGCATGGAGTGGAATCAAACCAGCAGAGAAGTTACGTGTGCTACAGGTGGCATATCTGGAGGGATGGAGCACAACCAGTTTCATCGTGTGCCCAGATTCTGGAAATGGAGCTGCAGGGCCTGATGTTTTCCCTGTTGAACTTTGGTCTGACTTTGACCATTCCTTCCCATGCTCTGATTCTTTCACTTTTGGAATGGGAATATTTATTTTATGTCATTCTATGTTGGAAGTGTGCAGGGTTTTTATTATTTTATAGGGACTGATAGTTAAGAGATTGCCTTGAGTCTCAAACATACACTTTGGACTTTTAAAGCGCTGGAACTATTAAAGACCAAGGGAACTTTTGAAGATAGATTGTGTTGCATTCTGAGATGAACTTGAGACTTTGGAGACAAGGGATGGAAGATTATGATTCAAAGTAGTATTTTGGGGTGGACCTGAAGAGACTCAGTGGTTAAAATGGCTTCCTACTTTTCCAGAGGACCCCAGTTTAATTCCCAACACTAATGTTAGATGTCTCACAACTGCCTATAACTCCAGCTCGAGAGGATAAGACCATCTTCTAGCCTTCACAAGTACCCGCACACACATCCATAGCCTATATTTACACAGATAAATATGTACAAAAATAATTTTTTAAGTGATGCCTTTGGAGAACTGGAGAGATAGCTCAGTGGTTAAGAGCACTGCTTACTCTGCTCTTCTTGAGATCCTGAGCTCAATTCCCAGCAACCACATGGTGGCTCCTCAACCATCTACAATGAAATCCAATGCCCTCTTCTGTTGTATAGGCATATATGCAGTTAAAGCACTCATATCCATAAGATACATAAACAAACTTTTTTTTAAGTGATGTGTTTGTGTATCAAGTTGACTGGAGGGGGGTTGTGATGGTTAATCTTCATTGTCAGCTTACTGAGACACAGAATTATATGGGAGACTAATGTCTGGGCATGCATAGGGTGTTATCTGGATTGGGCTAATCCATGTGGAAAGACCTAGTCTGCTGTGGGTGGCACCATTCCCTGGGCTGGGATACTGGACTATATAAAAAGAGGAAATCTAGTTGAACACAAACACTTATCACCCTCTGCTTCTTGACTATAGATGAAATGTGACCAGCTGACCCCATGACTTCCCTTCAGTGATAGGCTCTAACAGTCATTCTTTCCTGGGTTGTTTTTGTTAGAGATTTTATTACAGCAGAAAAGTAACTGAATTAGACTGAAACGGGGTTAGAAAAACTAGTGAGAAAGCTAGCAAGTGTCTTAAAGCCGTTTCCCGAGTGTGGTCATTTTTTAGTAACCCAAATCATAGCCAACATGGAAACATCAGCACATACTGAGATGTTTCTGAGCCGAGGCAATAAATAATGTCAGGGCTCTGACTGCCTAATCTTATAGGCCAAGTAAAGTGGCTGAAAGCCCTCGGTGTTCTCAATGGGCTGATGACTTAGACAGTGATGTCATCGGTACCATCAGTGAAAGAAGGAAATGAATGAGTCTATAAGAAAAGAAATATAGTAGCAGCACCAGTTTGAAAACCATCTTGCATTTCTAGAGCATACAACAGTGAACACCATACTTCCAGACAGAGCTCCTCACTGGGCTCTCTTAGAGACCGAGGGTTTAACAAAGCTGTTGTCATTGTGCCGCGCGTGGCAAAGGAGGAACTCAAAGCCATGTCTGCAGGTCATCTTCCCTTGCTGCCTTCTAGTGACCATTACTAACCACGGTGGAAAACTGAGCTCTGACTAAGCACACAGGTGCCCAGGAAAGAGGGGTTTACAGTACAGTTATACTGACTAGGTATGATCTGCCAAAGAGAACGCATTAGCTTAGGAGCTTAATAAAAAGCAAGCACCAAGCTGATGGTCAGACAGTATTACACTGCCCCCCTGTGTCTGTCACTTTCTCACACCTTTGTAAATAACAGCCGGAGGCTGGTCTCCTTTGATTGGGAGCAAAGTCACTGTGTCTCTTTAGTCACTCCAGTAAGCTACAAACAGATCTGAGCATCACTACTGTGTCCCTGATCTGATGGTCAAACGCCCTCTGCCTGTGTGTCTGAAGATGCTGCAAAACCTATCACACAAGAATACACTGTCTAAGCTGGGCAGTGGTTGGTGCACACCTTTAATCCCAGCACTTGGGAAGCAGAGGCAGGTGACTCTCTGTGAGTTCAAGACCAGCCCAGACTACAGTGTACAGCTAGTTCCAGAACAGCCAGGGCTACAAGAGAAATCCTGTCTCCAAAAACAAAAACAAACAAAACAAAATGAAAAAAAAAAATACAGTATCTACAGCAAAACAAAGGTAATGGATTATTGGCTGATAGGCTAGTAAAAGAACTAGTGTCTAAGAATTCAAAAAGGGCCCATATGACCCTACATGAGACCTTAAGCGAATTTATTTTACCTAGTTAGTACCAAGAACCACGGCTGCTGGCATATGCCGTGCTGAAGTAATTAACTGATTAATATGCACAGTACCTGACACTGAGTGAAATTGCTGTTTTCAATAATTCAAATTGCGTGCCACTGAAATCACAGGCTGAAATTGGAGGGCTGTGGACGAAAAGCAAGCATGCACAACAAGGCTCCCATTCTGCATACAGTTAACTTGGGAGTTATAAACAGTACGCATGCTGTCAGTTTGAATATCCCCCAGTCTTCATGTCCAAGCAACTATTCTTATAACCTCACAGACAGATATGTGGTCATATGAAAGACTTGTAAATCTAGGGTGAGACAGGAGGATCACAGGTTCAAAGCCACCACGGGCTTGACTAAAAAAAAAAAATGCAATAATGTTTAACACATAAATTCTAAAAAGTACGTTACAAATGTTTATATTCAATATATTTACACACAGTATCCTATGTATAGGACAGATAATTAGATATAGGTAGGTGCTGTGTGTGTTACTTTAAAGTTAGGTATACACGCCAATACATCATATATTTATTAGTACATTTTTTTAAAGTCTAAAAAAATCCACAGCAAATTGCCAATTAAAGTATCTGTCAAGAATTGCTCATGAATGGGTTCTTTTTATTTTTAGTCTATATAATCATGTCTTAGTTGAAATTTTTGCATTGGGTGGTTTTATACTGAGTGTTTTTATTTTAAATAGTACAAAATTAAGTAAGACCAAAATAAGCATGCTCCTATTCTGTTAACATAAAATCTAACTTGCCAGTTCACAGGGTTGTATGTTTGAACATAAAATTGGGTCAAACAAGAAAAAAGTTATGGAAAAAAACTCAATGGCCTGGTTTTAGCTTGTCATATTTTTTTGTCTAAAAAAAAAGCCATTCAGTGAAAATTTCTGAATAGCAGATAGGAGGCATTTCTCTGTATTATCTACCAAAACAAGTAATTCCTGAATGGATAGACTCATACTACAATATTTAAGAATCTATCCCTAGATTCACACCATAGTCTACAAATTAACACTGTAGTATCTGAGTGTCTTGTTTATCCCTAGGCTGACACCGTAACATTCAGATGTTTGTCCCTAGATTTAGAAGGTAACATTTGCGTGCCCATCAATGTATTTACACAACAAATTTAAGAATTTTTCTCTGGATTCACACTAGTATCTTAATAGCTATACCTAGATTCAGACTGCAACATCTGTGTCCACGTTCAGAGCATTTATCCCTACATTCACACGATAACAGTCAAACATCTATCTATAGATTCAGACCAAAATATTTGAGTGCCTATCCCTAGATCATACCGTAATAGCCAGTTGTCTATTACTAGATTCACACTGCAATAATTTGAGGGTCTGCCCCTATATTCTCAGAGCCTAGAGTTTTTACCTGTTTCCAGAGCTACTTTTGCTAAAGAACCAAGGATCATGTGCCTAGCTCTACACCCTCTCTTGGGCCCCTTACCTGCCCCAGGTATCCAATTATGGGTAGATCTACAACCTTCATTAAAAATCCTCTACTCAATCACAGTCCCCTCCCCCAGCTTTAGCTGAGACATCTTCTATCCAGGTCAGTACTCTTTTCTCAGTAATTCTCACAGGAAAAAAGTAAGATCACTTGAGAAAACATCAAAATGGCACAATGAAAATGAGAAATGCATTCATTCTTATCTTAACTGATCTAAGACTTCAATAAAAATATAAATTTATAGAAAAAGGAAGTGCTTACATCATATAGCACAAATAATAAAAACCTAGAGACAGATATTGGGGTTCAACCTGAACATCAGAAAAGGAAAGCAGCCAGCCACCGGCTCTTACTTCTTCCTCAGATGAAAATGACGATCCTGCCTCCAGGAATCCTGAGACTGAGACTGAGAGCTGTCTCCTCCCATTCTATTTTCCTCTCTAGTGCTGGGATTAAAGGCATGCACCCCCACTGCCTGGCCTCCATAGCTAACGAGTGTGGTTACTGGGATTAAAGGAGTGTGCCACCACTGCTGGTATATACAGGCTGACTAAAGTGGCTGCTTTACTTTCTGATCTTCAGGCAACCTTTATTTATTAAAATACAAATGAAATATCACTACCCATCCAGACCTCATTCTGTAGGTAATCAATAACAATGACCAGAAGGAAAAAACAAATCATACTATGGGAAAACTTGAAACTTTGAAGAAGGAAAAAATTTAGGATTACACATCATATCTAAAAAAAAGGGGGGATCATAAAAATATGGCATAATATATCAAAACTAATGTACAATTCAAAAGTAATAAATTCAAATGATAATGCCCAGCTTAGCCAAGAAATGAGGAGCAGGCATATTCCACTGGAAACCAGTTTGTCCCAGGCTCACAAGGCACAGTTCAGTCTGGGAATTCTACTCTGTGAATATATTAAGAGAAGAAAGAAAAAGAATTTTCATGGTTACATGAAAGACAAAGAAAATATAACAATTAAGGATAATAATACTATGGAAATAGATAGCTATTAAAAATGACAAATACATCAATTCTGGTAACAAGGTTAAGAAAAAAAGCCCAAAATACAATATAATCACATTGTTCATAGTCTATAAAGACACACAAGTAGCTAGACAGGAGTGCATGCTTGTAATCCCAGCTACTTAGGAGACGGAGGCAGGAAGGTTATAAGCTCATAGTTAGCCTAAGTGATTCAATGAGACTTTGCCTCAAAATTAAAACCATTTTCTAAAAGACTAAGAGTATAGCTCAATGGTACAATGCTTACCTAACATGTACGATGGCCCGGGTTCAGTCCTCAGAAACACACACATTCATACACACATGTAAATTAGAAACTCTTTATACCTATCAACGATGATGGTCTAGAGTAGATGATTAGAAATGACTCATAAAGAACACTAAAATCCTGTCCTCCTTTCATGTTAAAATACTTCAAAGTGAATTGTTAGTTTAGGAATATGTTTACCGCTACGTTTACAGGCATATTACCTGGAGACACTAGCTGTATCAATTCAAACCTGGTTAGGAAGCCTAAAAAAGAAAAAAGAGAAAAAAAATGAGATTTTAATATTTCAGAAAATTTGCCTGTTTCTTAATATATGCTAAACTAAAATTATTGTATCTATTTTACACTCTGATAACAACAGTATTGACCCTCTATATCCACAGGCTCCCTATGTACAGTTTCAATCTTTTAACCAACTATAAACAGAAAACATTTACAAAGTGCTCGCATCTGTACGAACGCGCACTTTTTTCTCTTTATTCTCTGAACAATGCAGAACACAGCGGTCATACAACATTACAGTATACAATACAGAGATAATCCAAATTATGTGGGATACACACACATGCATACATGCACCTACACATATTCATGCATAGGTTACAAGCAAATTCTACATCATTTTACTTACGGTCCTTGGGCACTAATGTACTTTGGTATGTGTGGGAGGTCCTGGAACCATTGTCCCAAGGCATCAAAGAACAACTATAATTTAAATTAAGTGCCACAGCAACAATGAAACAGATTTTCATAAAATGAGGGGGTGGAGAAAAGATGAGCGTGCTACAAAATTAGCTTTTTACTTCCTGGAAAGTATAGTATATCTTGTCTCTTGAAGGTGTATTCAGAGCTGGAAAGAAGGCTCAGAGTCAAGAGAGCACACAGCTCTTGCAGAGGACCCAAGTTCTATTCCCAGCACCTACGTCAGGCGGCTAACGACTGCCTGTGACGCCAGCTCCACAAGATCGAATCCCCTCTCCAGCCTTTGTGGGCACCTATGCACACACATGGCACACAGAAAAACATAAATAAAAGCATTTATATTCATAGAGTACTAAAATAGCAACATACTTTTCATTTTAAGCTTGAAAAGCCAAGTTACCCATTAATGAAAAAGTTCAGCGTGCCTAAAAACCATGCTGTCTGACCATACAGATATGTCATAAAAATGTATCTTACTATGCTCCTATGAGATTTAAATATTTTTACAGAAGCTTTTCAGTTTCAGGAGGTCCCATTTATTAATTTTTTTCTCTCAGTGTCTGTGCTATTGGGGTTATATTTAGGAAGTGGTCTCCTGTGCCAATGCATTCAAGTATACTTCCCACTTTCTCTTCTATGAGGTTGAGATTTAACTATTTTTAAAGAGGCTATCTGTACTGTCTATAAAGACATGACTGAAATTTAAATCTTGGGCCAGGAGGGATGACTCAACAGATTAAAGCATGTGTCACTCAAACCTGGTGACAAATCCCCAGAACCCACAGAAGCAGCAGATAAAAAACTCCTAAAGTTATCCTTTGAGATTTACATACATACCCACACTCACATAGCACATGCATGCACACACTGTCATGTGCACATACATGTATCACACACATATACTAATAATAACAGATTTTAAATACCGGGAAAAACTGAAGAAGAAACCAGAAGATGAAAAAAAAACCACCCATGCTCACATGGATTGATAGGCTATAATAAAAATTACTGTAACAAAATGTGATCTACTGATTCAGCTCAATTGCCATTAAAATTTCAGTGACATTCTCACTGAACTATTTAAAGGGAAGCCACACACACACACACACACACACACACACACACACACGATAGTTAAAGCACATTACAACTGATCAGAAGGAGACCCACACACCTCTCTGGGGCAGCCTGCCTGGGGAAGCAAGATGCTGGGTCAGACTCTATCATGGTGAGCAAACACATGGTAGGTATGAGAGAGACAGGATAGTTCATGTCCTGTGGAGAGAGGCAGATCTAAAGGCGTGAAGGCAGTGAGGAGCAAGCTGAGGTGGGTGGCTTCCTTAATACCCAGGGCCATGGTGACATACAGGCCTGGGCTGCTGCCAAGGGCCATGTTTGGGTCTGTGGCCCTGTTACCCTGTGTGGTTCATGGCTCCTGTTACCTACCACCAAAGGCCAAGAGGATAGGGCTACTCAGAGTTGGCCCCACCCCTTACTGGCTGCATCACTAAGGAGAACTGGTCCTGACCCTCATCAGTAACAGCACTCAGAAGAATGGGTCCTACATCTAATCCTGGCAACGCTATAGCGTTGATCCTGTTTGCAGGGGCTTGGGCGAACTTTCCCTGAGGGCATGAGAATGGGGAATCAGGCCCTGCCCCTCATGTGATGGGTGGGAGATGACCCAGTGAGTAAAAGCACAGAAGCCCAATGACCTGAGTTCCATCTCAAGAACTCACGACGAAGGGAGGGAACCAACTCACCAACAGAGTCCTCTGTCTTGAGTACACATGGCACACTCATACCCATATTCACATTTGCGTGTGCACACACACACAAAATAACAATAATAAATTTTAAAATTTAAAGGTTATTGTGATGACATAGGCCTATAATCCCAGGACCCCGGATAGTGGGGACAGGTGGGAGTTCAAGGCCAGTCTAGACTACATAGCAAGATTATTTCTCTAAAAGCCAAACAAACAACAAATAAATCATGAACAAAATTTCACCCTAGAGTTTCCCTAAATTTAAATATTGATGAAACACAGAAATATCACACTTCAGAAGCGGCAGAATTCTGTACCTGGGAATTAATATGAGTTTTTTTTTTCTCTTAAGTACCTACTTTCTAAAATTTCTGCAACAGCTCCAGGATCTATTGCATTTTCAAATACCTACAGAAAACAAGGAAGAGACATTTTCAAGGTTTTAGTAAAAGGCATTTCTAGAAACCATAGTTTATGTTCTTTCAAGTAATCAGCATATAGAGAACCAAGCCATATAATATTTTAGGTTTCAACAGGAACATTTTTGGGAGGTGTGTGGTAAAAGTACAACAAATGATTGTAGCATAGGAGAATTAAAATGATCTGAATGGCAAGTACAAAGAAATTTGAGTTAGCTAACTCTATCGCATGCTTAGATGGCCATCAGTTTGACCTACTGTACAAGCAAACACATCTTGCATCAGCCTGAGTCTTGAGTGCATAGAATACTCATCTAGTGTTAGCTAGGTGATTCCTCTGCCCACGAAAGTGGTTACACTAAACAGGAAGGCAAATAGAAATTTTAACCAAGTGGCGGCAGGGGGTGGGGGAAACCCCAGGAAAACATTACTATATCACTTTAACACTGTCAGATCTGCATATTTCATTCTTGAAATAAAAGGTTCAGAGGCATCACTGAAACAGAACAGGCCTCCAATGACCTTTTGAAAACAAGAGATTTTCAGTAGCTTTTCGGTAGTACACTTAGCCTTTAGACTTCTGACTTAAATGATGTTTAAAGATAAGCATGGTAAAATTCTGTCTGAGGTTTCAAAGTCAGGTCTCTTTTAAGGGCAAATGAAGACACTGTTTTGCTGCTTGCATTTATGTAGTAAATGTGGACAACATTATTTTTGCCTAAACTATTTTGATAATTCCATCTTTTCATTTCAACTGTTATCAGTTGAATTGTGTCCCTGTCAAAATTCACAGGTTGACATCTAACCCCAGGATCCCAGAATATAACCTTATTTCCAAATACAGTCAATATAGATGCGCTTAGTTTAAATTTGAATGATGTCATATTGGAGTAGGTTGAGCACCTAACACAAGATTTTTTTTATTTAAGTAAGTATTTGAGCACAAAAATTCACGTTTTTAAAATTAAAAAGAAAACTAAAACAAATTCATGAATGTACTTGAGCAGAGAGAAATTCATGAACCAGACAGTGCTCAGAGGAGCCACTATTACAAACGGGCACAGTTTTCTACTCGGGCATGCAAAGCAGAGAAAGCAAATGCAGTTGATTGGTTAGAGCGGACAGACCGAGCCTAGATCACCTGACATTTCTCATCCATGAAGACTCTGCTGTTATTTTACTACACACACATATATTCTTTTGACTTAAAGAGCTGGAGTCTGTCTGGTCTAATGCTCAGAATGTTTTTTTAACTCCGTGAACTATAGAGAAGAAATGGTTACATGGTGTATATACTGAAGCTGTGGTCCTTCCCTTATGCCTTGGGAAGTACCAGGGCCCCGACAATATTCTGCTCTGACTTCTAGATCCCAGTACTGCCACAGCAAGTTTGCTGCCCACGGGTTACTTCAGTATGCCAGCTCTAAGGGTCTAATATGTCTCATGAAAGGGTTTTCTCACGTGTGATCGTGGGGCGCTTGGTGGAGCAGCTTGGTCCATTCAAATACAATGGCCTATAAATTTTTATGAAGAATTTGTTTACCCAGATGCTTTTAAATATTCAAATTTGAGTCATGCAAAGAGGCTGTGGGGAAAGAAACTGCTTTTGCTACTTGCTATAAAAGTATTTTCAGCTAAAGAATGAGACAGCGCACGAGACCTGGAACTAGAAGAAACTAGAATATGAACCTAAACAACTTCGTTTCAGAAAAAGGAAAAATGGTCCTGAGGTATGTCTCACTCGTAATCTCAAGACAACAGCGATTCTACACGGCAGCAGAGAAGCATCTAAAGTCTGAGTCTCAGACATTCTATTCTCCTTTTGAAAAACAAATGAGATTGGACTGGGTAAGTCCCCAAGATGATGGATGGATGTGTCGTTCTGTGCTTTCACAATTTTCTATCTATGAGATTCTTACTGCTGCATCTTAGAAATGTTCTACAGGTCTACCGAAACTGGTAAGAGGAGGAAATGCTGGGAAGGAAAACACTTCTCGCCACCACCTACTTCCACATCATGCCCATGGCCCACATGTGGCCAGAAGGACTGTCTGGATTCCGACTGCATTTCCCAGGATAATAACCATTTGCTCTTTTACCCAACCAGCTTGACATATTTTTAAGTGAATAGGCTGTACTTTTTTAAAAAATACTCAGATAATCTTCATATTTTCTCCCATCTTTGGGTCAAAAGAGATAGGCGGGTTTCTGGGCACCATCTTCCGGGCCTTTGAAGGCGATGTGGTGCCTTCCCTGGGCCCCCAACCCCTCCCCTCTCAGTGACACTGTCGGGGCAAAGTCATTAGGCTTACTAAAGATAACTCCGATTTCATCTCCAAATCCAAAACCTGAGGGGACAGTTGGTGGTTACAGATTAATGAAACGGAACGAATATTCTCCAGCATAGTGTAATGAGAAGCCCTGACTAGGGTTTGGCTGTATTTTTTTGAATCATGATTGCATTCATTGGAGTGGAATCTAGCCCTTACTACTTACTGCTACATGATACACTTAAGGTTACTCACAACATAGAAACAGCTTTCTTGTGTTTAGTTACAAGATTTCAGCCACAAGATTTAACTGATTTAGTTAGAGTTTTAAATTAGTTTTCTGGGTTTAAGAAAGTTTTTCTTAAGGTCTACGGTTTATTAATAGCCTTTCTCATAAATGTGATGCAACTGTCTCTAACACCTCAAAGAACATTCAGAAACGCTCCCTGCTCCAGTTAGAAAATGCCAAGGGAGCGCCAAGAATAGAAAGCATCCACCAGGGTGTTCAGCACTCGATTGATAGAACTTGGCTCGGACCTGCACAGCAAAAGCAATCTTCTAAACCTATGCTTTTGCCCCAAAGCCGCCTGTACTTTTAAACTATACTGAATCGCCTTAGGGTCACTTTTTTAAAAAGGAAAAAAAAATGTACAAAACCGCTATTCTTTATAAAAAGTATTCCGCTGACTTCAGACAGCCAAACTCATTGAGAAGTCAAGATCACCTTTTCAAATATCATGTTCTGTTGGATCGCAATAGGGAACACAGAAGGAAAGCAGTTTGTCTCCAGGTACTGATTCAGGAGGTAGACTCCAAGGTACACACCTTCCTTGTACGGCAGGAACACCCCCGGGCAAGAAATCTTAAAAAGAAGAGGAGGGCAATCAGTATTTGTTTTTGTGCAACAGGGCCGTGTATCTCCTCAACTCCCACAGCCTCTGAAATGACCCCATCATTGCATCCTTCACCTGTACCTCCCAGCCTCAGCATCCTCCGGGCTCTTCCTCTAGCTGGATAACCCGGTCCCCTCCCACATCTCCGCCAGGTGTCACAATCGCGCTCTGCCGCTCCTCGGCCCGCCCTCCAGGATGGCAGTGCGGAAGCGGAAGAGGCTGCGGGGCCGGGAAGCCTCTCTCCGGTCTGGCCGGGTCCCCGGGACCAGCCGCCCGCCGCGATGCCGAGCCCCAGGAGAACCATCGAGGGACGGCCGCTGGGCTCCTCCGGCGGGAGCAGCGTCCCGGGCAGCCCGGCCCACGGAGCAAGCGGTGGCAGGTTCGAATTCCAGTCGCTGCTGAGCTGCCGCCCGGGCACGGATTCAGCCTGCGCCCGGCTGCGCGCGTCCGATAGCCCGGTGCACCGGCGCGGCTCCTTCCCGCTGGCTTCCGCGGGCCCCGCACAAGCAGCCCCGACCCTGCCGCCTGAAGAGGACCGCATGAACTTGAACCCGTCCTTCCTGGGCATCGCCCTGCGCTCCCTGCTGGCCATCGACCTGTGGCTGTCCAAGAAGCTGGGAGTGTGTGCCGGGGAGAGCTCGGCCTGGGGCAGCGTGCGGCCCCTGATGAAGCTGCTGGAGATCTCGGGGCACGGCATCCCCTGGCTGCTGGGCACCCTCTACTGCATGCTTCGGAGCGACAGCTGGGCCGGGCGCGAAGTGCTGATGAACCTGCTCTTCGCCCTGTTGTTGGACCTGCTGCTGGTGGCTGTGATTAAAGGACTGGTCCGCAGGCGCCGACCAGCGCACAATCAGATGGACATGTTTTTCACCGTCTCAGTGGACAAGTACTCCTTTCCCTCGGGCCACGCCACGAGGGCCGCCCTGGTGTCGCGATTCATCCTGAAGCACCTGGTGCTGGCCATTCCACTGCGGGTGCTGGTGGTGCTCTGGGCCTTCGTCTTGGGGCTCTCCAGGGTCATGCTTGGGCGGCACAACGTCACAGATGTAGCTTTCGGCTTTTTTCTGGGCTACATGCTGTACAGCATTGTGGATTATTGCTGGCTGTCACCTCACAATGTTCCTGTTCTCTTCGTGTTATGGAATCATCAGTGACACCATCTCATTGATTGTTGGCCTCAGGAAGTCCAAAGGTTTCCACCTTCGAAGAATCTGACCTAAGCCAGAGCCATCCAGTTGTCCCCTCAGCCATTTCAAACACCTTTGGGAATTCTGGGATCACACTGTCTTGACCTGTTCCTAGGCGGGAGCACGTGCTGGCTCTTACTGAACACAGGCATACTAGAGAAAGAATGTCTATTGTGTATGTATTCAACAGCTGTTTATCTCCAAGACAGATGCAAAGAAATCAAGCTGGCTGATTATACAATTGCTGTTTCTTTAAAGTTGACAGATTAGTGTTAATTAGTAATCCCCCAAAAAACAATGTTACTACTTGTAAATTGAATATTAAGAGACATGCGCTTCCAGATAAACCATGTGCTTATTCCCAGCCCTTCCCCTGTGGTAGATTTTAAACAGTATTTTTAAAATTTAAGGCAGATTTTCCCAGTTTACTCTCTGAACATCGGTGGCCACAATTGGAGCTTTTTCTGTATCCTGGTTGCTTAAGAAGCTCTCCCACCTTGGTGGATTAGGTCATCAGAAGAGGTCACACACAGCACTTGCCTTTCTTCCTATTGCTCTCAAAAGGTCTTGAGGTGTTTGCTTTCCACTGCTCTCTAATAATGTCTTTTAGCATTCATAGAACAAGCCAGGATGTTAAAGAAGACACACTGAAAAAGTGGGCATGTCTAAGGGTCCCACAGAAATGTAAGTATGAGACTACTGTTCATTCCTGTTGACAATCAGTAGCCATGCATAGCAGGGGGCCAAGAAGCTGAGCTGCTGGGGAGACTGAGGGTCTGGAAACAGACAGACCACAGATGTCAATGACCAGGGGCAGGAGATGAAGCCCTGCTCCCCTTCATCTCTAAGGAATAGAGCATAGGATTCTCTATTAAGGGGGAAAAATGAAAAAGAGTTGTGGTGTTCAGTGTGCTGCATAGCTTCCTTGTGTATATCACAGAGATGACTGTATGCTATCCATTTTCGTATCAGCTCCACTTTGCTGTATCCAGCACGTTTTCGATAACAGTACTTAACTTGAAATTCTTCAGGAGAGCCTGTTGCCCTACATGAGCACCTGGTAAAACTCCTAAATTTCTGTTTACACGGAAAGCTGTTCGTCCACGCGCCTCCCCCAATCATTAGACCAAAGATGACCAAATAATGTGATAGGTTTCTGATTCCTGTCTGACCTGGAAAGACCAAAGGGAGTATGTGCTATATGAATCTGTAATGCTGCTCTGGCGGGAAAGGAAACCTTTAAATCACCCGTGGCAGTGGGGTCGTCAGGTAATCTTAGTGACCAATTGTTCTGGCGTTTATTTATAAATAGAACGGATTGTTGGATGTGATCCAATACGCAAGGATATGGACCAGACTGTGCAGAATGGCTGTGCTGAACGGTTCTCACTGGGAGGAGGCAGGACCATAGAGAGTGGGGGATAGGCACACCAATAGGATCAGCTCTTTCTCTGAATAAAACAAGTCATTGCATTTCCACAACACCCTGAACACTAACTACCTCGTTGCTTACCGACTCTGCCAAGCTGTGAGGTTCTAAGTGGTCTGAGTGTGTGGTTTAGATTTTCAGATTTTGGTTTGGTTTGGTTTGGTTTGGTTTTCAGGACAGGGTTTATTTGTGTAGCCCTGGCTGTCCTGGAACTCGCTCTGTAGACCAACCAGGCTGGCCTTGAACTCACAGAGATCTGTCTGCCTCTGCCTCCCACATGCTGGGATTAAAAGCGTGTACCACCACCACCCAGCTTCGAAGATCATTCCTAATTGTAGCATTCAGGCCAGGCATTTGAAGGACAGTGTTTTCTCTTACTGTGTCCCTGGGTCTGATTACTGAGGGCCTATCTTCTGGTTTCTAGTTACACTTCTGGAATTTCATGTTTTGTTTGCCGGGGCCTGAATTTGCCAGCTTTCTAAAGCACAGAACGGATCAGGTTACCTGACTTCATGGCTCATTCTAAATTCTCTCGAGTAAAAAACTGATTTTTTTTTGTTAATTACTTGCACACTGATTACTTGCCTTTTTAAAAACAAAATAAATTAACCAGTACTGTTGAATGACATGGGATGAAATCTTAATTTGTCTTGCTGTAAGAGAGTTCTCTCGGCCTTGTGGGGATTCCTTCCTCTTTCTGAGCACTTGAAACTGATACAGCACGACCGATAATGTCAGTAAAATGGAACCAAACCAGGGCCCTTTAAGGTCAACAAGCTCCATGAAACCCTAGAGTTTGCTGTTGTATGGCATCTAGCTGAATTTCCATGCAGGGTCCTGTTAGCATCCCCTGTAACTATGGCCAGTAGTGAAGCCTCTTATAAATCAGGAAGCCAAGCTCCATGCCAGTCTTGTTGCTATAGATGGGAGAATGATACAAAAGGACTGACTCCAAAATGGGAACATCGTCTCTGGGCTCCAGCTGAAGGAGAAGTTGGTGGGTAATTAGAAAATGTTTATTGTTAGACTGAGTGTCCTGTTGAAATTACCAACCCAAAGCCGAGGGAACGCGCTTTGCCTCTTGGAGGTGGCACATTGGTCAAGAGTGGAGCTTTTAAAATTCTATGTTCTCTGATTACTTAAAGAAACAAAGTTAAATCCTTTATCCTTGGAGCAAACGTTCTTCGTTTTAAAGAAGCCAAGAAACACGTTGGTCTTGCAAAGAAAAATAAAACTCGGGACAGATTGGGCTGAATTAAAGTCTAAGAGGTCCACGGATGACAAACGTGCAGAATCCTAGGGACAGAAGTGCAGTGTGTCCCAAAAGTGGTGTGTGTGGAGACAGTGGAGGGGAATGTGGGGTTAGCAGTGCAGGCTCGCCGATCTCTTACCGCCCGGATTTGGAGTTCCACCACCACCTCCAGAGGCATCCTTCCCTGTGTGGGCGAAAGCACCGGAAAGACAAGATCCTTTTGTGCTGAGCCTTGAACCAATTATTTCTTAGTTTACGTCAAGGCAAATGTTTCCCAGCTTCCCTAGCCCCCACCCCCACCCTTTTGTTCCCCCATCAGTCCCCCAAGCCCAGGTCCCTCCCACCAGGACGGGTATCTCACAAGCTATAGATTGTAAACTTCCAGAAGGCTGAAGCGTCGGGTTGCCATGGACACTCAACGCTCAACCTTCTCCCCTGGAACACTAGCAGGTTTAGGCGCATGCGCGCTAATGCTCTGCTGGGAACCGGAGTTGTTCTCAGCGTCCTAGCGGTGGCCTGGCCAGTAACTGCCTTAAGGGCCTTGGGAACCTGTCTGCTGAAGCTAGGAACTTCTGCAGTCTTTTCCTGGACGCTTGTTGACCCCCCAGTTACTGTGTTCAAATGTTTACCAGTTTCCATCCCCAAAGTGGAATGAGATCATAGCTCTATTGTGTAATCGTTTTTAGTGGCTGTTGAGACCCCAGACACTCAGATTCCTGTGACAATGTCTATTTAGCATAGTTGCCCATTCCCTAGGGGACTCCCTCATTAAATGTCTTGTCTCCTTTTGCCTCAGAAAACACGCTCACTGACGATAAGAAATCAATGTACTAACTAGAAATAGGTCATTTCTAAAGAGATAAGTTAGGAATCTCATGTCAAGAAACAATACTGACTTCCCTCTTCACTGAACAGTTCAGCCTTTCCGAGTAATTTAAGGCAGGCATTGACTTGGAGCATCTCCCAGAGGAGATCCGTCAGGTGGCAGGAGCAGAGAGTATGATTTCTCAAGCAGCAATGAAATGACAGGTTTTTTTTTTTTATCCATTTTATGTGATTTTTAAAACAACAATAGTGGACAGGAGGAGAATATGGCAGTTTTTAGCAGATTCAAAATTTCACTGAAGGCCAATGTCTCAAAAGGTTAAATAAGTAAATACATAATATTCTTAAAAATTAGGGCTGGGCCATGTGGTTCGGTTAGTAGTGTTTGCCCAGTCTAGTGGTCACCAGAACTACATAAATCTGTCTTTAATCGATGTTTTACTCTTAGCATGGTTAAGAGAATCAGAAATTCATTATTAGCCTGGAATAGATAATGAGTTTGAGGCCATCCTGGACTACATGAGACCCTGCCTCAATAAGACAGAATTTTAAAGACATTATCTTATAATTTATTATTAATACTTTACATTGAGATCTATGCAATTGGAAACGGCGCAAGAAGATATCCCTAAAAAGATACCGCTGAAGATGTTCACTTCAGTAGCTTTAGTAGTTCATATCTCTGAAAGAAAAAAACTCAGTGGTGAAGAATGAAGCCTTACGTCTATACCCAACTCCTAGTGTTCTCTCTCTCTCTCTCTCTCTCTCTCTCTCTCTCTCTCTCTCTCTCTCTCTCCTCTCCTCTCTTTCTCCCCAAAGACGTATAGAGATGGGTGCCCAGCTCTCTGGATGCCCAGAGCACAGATATGTCATGACAGCTAACTGGCACAAGACCTGTGATGTCACAGGGATACCACCAACGGATAACACTAACACTGTGCCAAACAAATTTATAGTTAAGTTTCCAGAGGTAAAACAAAAGGGGGGACCAATTCTTACCGAAGATCTATTTCAGCTGCTAGGAATTTATTCTGTGGATATACTTTCACATACACACACACACACACACACACACACACACACACACACACAAAAGAAAAAACCATGGCGATATATGCCTCATCATTAAGATTAAAAAAAATAAGAATCAAGCAAAGTTCACTAAGTAGAGTCATATTAAAGCTGATGGTTATTAAAAAGCATGAAGAAAGAATGAAGCAGAGCTGTGGATTTCAACAGTAAAGAATCTCTATGAGGAAAATAAATGCATGACACAAAAATTACATTTAGGACACTGCTATTCAAATAGAAGGCAATACAATGTATAATTATGCTTAAAGTGTTTCTGGGGCAGGACAGCACGGAATCACTACAGACTTAATAAAGCTGCACGTTTGGAAAGTGATGTGAGAGTCCCTTCTGTTTATGTGTTGCTTTTATTGGTTAATGAATAAAGAAGCTGCCTTGGCCTGTGATAGGGCAGAGTAGAGCTGTGTGTAGGGAGTGACTGGACTAAACTGAATGACTGGGGAAAAGAAGGCGGAGTCAGGAGAAGCCATGGAGCCTCCAGAGGAGAAAGACATGAGCTGCCAGCCTGAATCATGCTGGTAGGCCATGAGCCTGTGGTAAAATATAATAGAAACGGGTTAATTTAAGATATAAGAGTAAGCTAGCAATACTTATGATTGGCGAATCAGTGATTTAAATAATAAAGTTTCTGTGTGATTATTTCGGGAGTCTGGGCGGCTGGAAAATGAACAAGTGGCTTCACCCAACAGGAAAGAGACTCAGATAGAGTGATTGAAGGGAACCTTGCTTTTCACTTAATACTCTTTGGTGCTGTTAAAGAATATTATTCCCAACAACCTCTATTACTGAATTCAAAAATGGAAAAATTAAACAATTAAAAAAACAAAAACAGAAAAAAGAAGCCTAAAAGCATAGGAAGAGCAAGAGCCCACTCTTCTCCAATGGTGGGAGCCAAAGCCTGCATATCACATGTCACAAAACACCCATGAGCAGGTATCTGCCACTTTTACTTCCAGGGCAAGGGATTGTATTCTCTGATCCACAGGTGTTTCAGGAATCTCACACCCTGAACTAGTAGGAGACATTCCCTGCATGTTTAGACATAGATTGTTCTAGAAGAAACAGAGTTTCAAAGGACTGCTGGTCACATCAGGTCAAAGGATTGCTGCTGAATGCTTGCTGAGCTCCCGTGGAGAGGCCACCTGGGTTATCTGACACAGCGCCCATCAGGAGGGAGGCCGCCTCTTAGTCACCTTTATGCCATCTTATTACAGCTAGTGTCTCTCTGAAGGCGGGCGGCCGTGCTCCATAGTACATGACTGAAAGGCCTTTAAAGTCCTGTCCTAATGCATTTATTAGGCTCTCCCGTCTTCCATGCCAGCGAACTGTCCTTCAGCAGGCATGAATAACACCAGAAGATTGATTTCCAAAGTGAGTTATTTGTGAGAAATGCCTGCTGAAAAACAATAACCAAGTTTGTGGACAGTCCGGATTATCTCAGCAACAACACATTCCCAGGGCACTAATTTTGTTCCTGTGCACGAATGAAGCCTTCAGATAGAAAAACCTACCTCTTATATCCACCCTCCCCCCAAAGTCTTTCCTTAAAACGTTTTTTAACAATTTAGCTTTCTCAATATGTCAAGAAGAAATTTTACCTTTCTTTTACTATGAATAAAAATGAACTGCACCTGGCTCTTTCCAGTTTTAACAAACTGTAAAGCAGAAGTTTCTATTTAAAAAAAAAATATTTAAACTGCATCCTTTAGGGAACTCTCCAAGAAGGGTCAGGCTGTTAACTAATTCTGTCACTATGGTAACACTACATACCTACCTATTTTATTAAAAGGATGGATCTATAGAAAGCATGTGCACTAAGTTGAATCAGGCTGCTAGTGCCACATTATCAATATGGTGGTGACATATAACTAAGTTAGCTAAAACAAAGTAACGTTGAGTTCCTCAGTGGCACCAGTCACATTCCCAGTGACGACGCAAAGAGATCGTTTCCATCAGCAAAGACTGTTCTAGTGTGCAGTATTTTTCTAGACTTAACTGCTCTTAAAGGAGAGGTAGAAGGGAAATATTTTCTCATTTTGTTTCACAGTGTCGGGGTAAAACCTAAGGCTTTGTGCACAGCAGGCAAGTACTCCACCACTGAGTAACATGGCCAGCTAAAAACCACATTAATGGCCTCCCAAAGAAGCCATCCTATAAGTCACATGTAGAATGTTGAGCCATCTCCTCAGCAACTAAAACAGTCAATGGCATTGTTAGAGCAAAGGAAGTGTTGGCAGTAAGTGGTATAGATTTTCAAACTCTCAATAACCAAATATTGTATGTGTGCCATTTTTGCACCCTGAATTTTAACAAACCAACTCAAACGGTGTTTGGGAATTCCAGGCAATGTTGATTTTATTTGGAGTTATACAATACCCAGTGATTAATTTTGATAGGTATGATAAAGCCTTTGTGTCTTTGCGCAGACGCATTAACTTGGTTTAGAGTCACACATTAAGGGATTGCATTGTCCTTTTGTTACTCTGCAAACATGCCTGACAAAAGCAATTCAAGGGAGGTTTTCTTTTGGCTCGAAGTTGGAGAGTAGTCCATCATGGTGGGTAGGATGCAGCCACAGGAGACTGAAGCGGCTGTTCACTTTTCTTGGGTCCACAGTCAGGGAAGTAAGTAAGATGGATGCTGCTTCTTCGCTTGCTCCAGAACCTGTCAGGCTCCACTGGCAGCCTGCTTGCCTTGCCAGCATGAAACTTAAAGATTCATCCCCAGCAGTCCATTGGATGGGGTCACCCACCTTCAAGTGTGGGTCAACAAAGACTGATCATCACAGGCATGTGGCAGTAAAATTACAGAAAGCTGAGATTTTTCCTTTCAAGTATTCCACGAAATGAAGAAAAGGAATAAAGCAAACATAGCAAAATCCTGACAATGACTGAGTTGTGGGATGGTGACATGAGATTTCTATAGTCTAAACATTTGTGTGTTCAAAATACATGCCTTTCGATCTGTAACATGTGCTTAAATAGGAAAAGCTACCACCTGCTTACATGGACCTCCATCCTACACTAGCCCATTAAAAGGACTGCGGGCATCAGCCTTACATCTCCTTTCCTAGCCAGATCATATGCATATAAAAGGAAAATATGGTAGTAAATTCAATGAAGATGCAGACAAGATAAGTGCTATACAGTATAATTAATATCTTGCAATCATTTCAGAAGGAACACCATGGAAAGAAGACTGCGGCCCTGCACTTTAAGAACTTTAAGTATATGGCCAAGCCATATACTTCCTTACTACCAAGCACAAACTAGCAATTTTCATATTTCTTAATGAATACATAGCTCTCAGCCAGGGCTATGAGAGAGGCCTGTCTCAAAAAAAAAATAAATAAATAAATAAATAAAACCAACTAACCAAACAAACAAAGAAAAAACAAATACTCTGTGCTCCAGAATTTTCCCTTAGTTTTGGGAATGTTTCCAAAGAAAAACCAAATTAGAACCAAAAGGCCTGTAACCATCTTGAAGTTGTCATGGATCTGAGCCTACACATGGGATCTATTTTTTATAATGGCATTAGCATTTATGAGCCAGACTAGTGCTACACCCTGGCTTGAGCTGAACTCAGTGGCATTTGTGGGCTCAATAGTGACAACGATGACACACAAACCCTTCCTAGGGGACGGACGGCTTCTAGGAATTTGTCCTATGTACTCTGCAGTTGGAAAGTCATTTCCTTGAGAAAGGCGAGCTTTCTGATTAGTAGGCATATTACAATATAAATCAATTTCTAAAAACATAAGAAGATAAAGGGGTATGATGAAGTTCCAAAATTTGTTTTATTACTGTTGTTATTTTAAGTATTAGGAGTAGTGAGATGAATCTCTGGTCAAAGTACTTGCTATGTGAACCTAGCAGCCTGAGTTCAATCAATGGAACCTCCCTGGAAAGGTGGAAGGAGAGCATACATTCTACCTTTGACCTCCATGCTTGCACACCTTGGCAAGCACACACACACACACACACACACACACACACACACACACACACACACGCAGTAATAATGTGTAATAGTAAGGCACAGGCTTTATGTCCTGAAGTTAACAGTGGTTCACAATGAGGCTTCTCATGGTGTCATATTCATCTCTCTTCATCATTTATGATTTGAATATGAGATGTCCCCTGACAGGTTCATGTGTTTAAACACCTGAAATACCAGCTGGTCCCAGTGTTTTAGAAGGCTGTGGAACCTCTGGACCATATGGACTAGCTAAGAGAATTGGATTTCTGGGAGTGGACCCTGAAGGTTACGTGTGTGTCTGTTCCCAGGCCAAGCCGTATGCTTCCTGATCTGCCAAGATGCGAGCAACTGAAACCTCCTGTGCCCACCACCGTGGTGCTGGTCCAACATGATGGACTTGTTGCCTCTGAAACTGTGAGCCAAAATAAACCCCTTCTTCGTTGAGATGCTTCTGTTGGGTATTTTATAACAGATCAGAAAAGTAATAAAGTCATCTGTCAAAAAAATAAACTTCTTCATGCCCCTCATCTGCCCTCGTTCGCCTTGATTTAATCCCGTTTCCATCCATCCTTTGTCGTGTCCCATCCATCCATTCATCGTGTCTGTAGTGATCATTACTACGCATGTGGCGCAGTCCGGAGTATTGCAAGTGTGAATGAGATGCAGCCTGCAACCATGCGGTGCTTACATTCTAGTGAAGGAAGAAATAACAAATAAGAACCGGAAAACATAGTACCATGAACAGCAAGGAAAACTACACAAAGTGGTAAGATGAAGGGTTACAGGTTAGAAAGGGAGTAAGAACCCGATTTAGGCTTAGTGACTAGGCTAGCCTCATAGGAGAAGCAGAGAGGCGGGGTGGGGGAGGGAACAGACGGTGGCTTTTCTCAGTGTTTCCTGCTTTTATAACTTTGGGAGGCTGGACTTGTGACTTTCTGGGTCTTAGAACAGCCCTCCTTTTGCGGGGAGAGAGGGGAATGTTTAAATTATAAGGAAATAGCTCATATTTGGACACGTTAAATTTTAAATGCGCATCATCCATTTCAATGGGGATGTCCAAACTGCAGATACACAATATGAGGCTGAGGTGCTGGGGTGAAAGTCAAGACTTAGGTTCCAGTTTGGGAACGATCAATACCCAGACGTTATTTAAAGCTATGGTCATTGACGAGATCCTCCCCCACATAAAAATCTGAGGAGTTCTAAAATTAGAGGCCAGGCAGAGGAGAAGGGAATCAAGGAGAGCAACTTAGAACCTACAGTGAACTCTGCACCGACAGAGAGCTGGTTTCTTTGCCAGGCACCGCTCAAAGCACTTTGCGGTTTCAAATGAAGAGGGAAAAAAGTTTTTTTCCTTTTCTCTCGCCTGTCACACTTTCCCCTGTGGCTTTTTAAGCCTGACCTCAACAGAGGTCGAGTAAAATGCTTTTCAACTTTCATTTATGATTATAAAGTTCTATACTTGTAGGAAGATCAATCAGCACAATACAGAAATGCTAACAATGGAAGTACGATCCTCAGAAACTTGATTCCTGGCCTTACCCACCAAGGAAACAATTACATTTCTTCTATACCTTCCAAGAACTTTACACACACACACACACCTTTAAAAATAAATACACTCTCATTCTATATAGATTTCCTTAACTCGGTGCCCTGTCTGTGTAGCCTAGGGTGGCAGTGAACTTGATCCTCCTCACGCCCCAGCCTTTCTCAGGGTTACAGACATGCACCACCACATTAGTTCACTGCAGAGATATTTCCATATCAGCACACAAGATCTACTTTTCTCTTCATTTGTGAGCAACTCCACTGCTTCTAGTTAGCTATTTTTAGCGCTCTTTTATCACCCCAAAACATCTTTGTGGATAAATCTTTGGCTACTGCCGTAAGAATATTGTTGGGTATTTTCCTGGTCACGAAAAACACACATGCCTCTCACGTTAGTCCTTTTCCCTAGAGGTCATCACACAGCATTTCTGACTGCATTTTTCTCATGCAGTGGCCAACCATTAGGATTAACCAACCTTAAAAGAGTTTGTCAACCAACTCTTGCGAGGTGCAGATGGCTCAGTGGGTAAGAACGCTAGGTGTGCAAGCAGGAGGACCTGAGTTCAAATCCCCAACAATCATGTAAAAAGCCTCTGTGACATAGATCATGGGGCTTGCCTGGGAGTTCCCCAAGCCTACTCCTGTGAAAGTTTGCCAATCAAACACTCAACTATTGATGTTCTGTTGTCTAGTCTGACTGTGAGTAGACAACAGGCCTGGTTGTTAAACACGCAGGTTGTGAAGTTAGACTCCCTGAATCCTAGCTGTCTCTTTCTCTCTCTGGTCCTAGAAGTTGAAATTAGGGCCTTGCCTGTGCTAGGCAAGGACCTTACCACCAAGTTCCATTCCCAGGCCTTTCCCTGGGTCTCACCATGGTCTCCCTCCCTCCCTCCCTCCCTCCCTCCCTCCCGCCCCCTCTCTGTGTTTTGCAACAGAGATCCACCTGCCTATGGGGAGAGAGAGAGAGAGAGAGAGAGAGAGAGAGAGAGAACACGGATCTTCACGATTCTACAACAAGATACGAGGGGCAGGAAGCCCTCCGATATGTCTACTACTTGTCTCAAGTCTTCACAAACGTGTTTGCTCCAGTGTTTTATTTTTAGTGTCCTTCCCCGCGGTACCAGGGTTTACAGAACTGTCTTGTCATGGCTAACTCGAAGTTAAAGCAAAGTTGGCTGTGCCTCCTAAAACGCTCCCCCTCCGACGCCGACTTAGACTGCTGTACACGAAAGAGCTGCAGTTTTGAAACACGAGAGGAGGAGCAAGCCAAAACCGCCCTTTGATCACCGGGATCCGAACCCTTAAAAGCCCTAGCCTCCCTGGACCTTCGCGGCAAACCTCACCCCGCCGCTCAGGCGAGGCCACGCCCCGTCTCGCCCGCCGGAAATGACGCCCAGGCCGGCTACTTCTTCCGCAGTCGGCCGGCGGCACGGCCCAGGCCTTCTCCCGGCGTGCGTCGGCTCTGCCGGCGGCAGAGGAATTCTGGGTAACGACCGTGGCCAGCCGGGCGGCTGGCTCCGCCCAGCAGGTTCTACTCACGCCGGAGCAGTTGGCGGTGGCGGTTGTCGGGCCCGGAGCAGCGGGACATGGAGCAGCCGTGGCCGCCGCCGGGCCCCTGGAGCTTCCCGAGGACTGACGGGCAGGCCGAGGAGGAGAGCGACTTGGACGTGTCTCCCTCTTCGTCCCACTACCCGCCGGTGCCTGGCGGCGGCGCCCAGGTGAGAGCAGCCTGCATTCTTGGGGGGGAGGGGAACCGTCCACGGGCATCGCGGGGGGGGGGCCCGATGGCCACCCCCAGCTGTGGCAGCATCTTCCGCGGGAGAGGAGGTGGCCACGCGCTCATCCCCCGACCCCCACGTCAGCGCACACTCGTCCCCTCACCTTTGCTAGAAGTTCCTCCTCTCGCTCGCGTGTCGGTGCGGAGATGGGGGGCGGCTCCAGCTGTAGAAGATTGACCCTTTGTCCCCTGGTGCGTGCTTCCACCGAGCCTTTATTACCAGCCCCAGCGACTTTGTGCAGTTGATGGGGACAGTGAGTGATTGTACTTCTATGAGAGTACACCGAGTCCCGACATAAACATCTCACGTGCTCTTTCCCACGCTGGCATCTCCGCAGATTCTGTAAACCTCACTTTGGACGCTGGCACACACCTCCCTTTCGCGCAGTCATTGGTCCCCTCCTGGAAAAATAGTTTCACTCGGCTTCAGTCTCCAGTGAAAACATAACAGCCATAGGTTGGCTGTTCTTTCAGACTTCTATCCCAGGTTCCTGATGTTCCTTGTGGTTTTCATCACTGCTTTTCTGCCTTAGAAAACATGTCATTTATAGTTTTTCTGGGAGTGCTTACACCCATCACCTTGCCCTGACATCTCTCCTCACCTGGGTGTGTTTTGAACTAGATTTCGAGGGCACAGACAAAACACGAATCTGTTGAATGAAATTGATTGTAGGATGTTTTTTCCCCCTAGGCGTTTTTTTGCAAAAAACGCAGTGCAGTGTTGTAACAGAATTAATAGCGGTTTTGAAAATAAAGATGACCGGTTTAAACTGTCTGCCAGCAAGTGTAGGATACTGACGTTATGTCAGCCAGCTGAGTTAACGGGGCTCACGCAACAATATGCTGTTTCATAACCACAGACTATGTTCATCCAGCTAGCCACAGGGAAAGTGAGGCAAGATGAGTGATGGGTCAGTAGTCACCTACTAATTATGGCTCGCTGGTGTCATCTGTGTATACATAGTATGACAGAGGGAGAAAGTGAACAATTGCTAGTGTCGGTTTGAACAGATGTGGCGAGGGAAAAATGATCTCAGGAATTTCAGCGCACTGTGGTTGGATCGAAGAAGTAACCCAAGAAATGCAATATTTTAAAACACATTTTACCAGTGCATTTGTCTAGGTGGTGGGGGCTTAAAAGTAAGGAGGCTTTTATTTCCCTCATTAAAAGAGATCCCTGAGGTCTTCCGGTTAGTTAAGTGGCAGACTCCCGATTTGAACTCCTAACTTCTAGTCCAGTGTTTTTTCCAGCCTACTTCTGCACATCATGTCTGGAGAAGTACTGTGAAATTTTATTTGTATGAGAAGGCCTTTAAATGGTGACAAAATCTGCCAAGTCATTATTCCTAAGGACATAGAGTAATTGCAAGCCTACTTATATTTTTTGTTAGCTTTAGGACTTAATATGGGAGTTAGAATATTTAAAAACAAAATGTTTAATCAATCAACAGGCTTTTAAAATCCATATGAAATGACTGGCTTAGTTGTTGGGTTTTTTTTTTTTTTTTTTTTTTTTTTTTTTTTTTTTTTTTTTTTTTTTTTTTTTTTTATCAAATATGAGAGAGAGAGGTCCTATTTGAGAACTTTAAAAAAAAGAATGTATCTTTTACTGAATTAATACATGTTTTGATCATATTTTTCCACTTCTCCCAGATCCTCCCCACCTCACTATCCACCCACCTTTATGTTCTTTCTCTTAAGAACAAAAACAAAAAACAAAACCACCACCCGTGAAAATCAAAATAAACAAAAGACCAGTAAGAATAAATAAATACATAAAATTATTTTAAAATGCTAAAATGAAACAAAATGTCCACAAAACTTGTTTTGGTCAACCACTCCTTAGCATAGGGCCTGCCCTGGAGTATGGTTGGTGGTACCCAGTGATTGTCTCTTCTCCAGCAGTTACCAGTTGTACGGTGCTTCTTGATTAAGGTGGAGCCCATGCCCACTTACTCCTCTCAGTGCTGGGGCCCTGTCTGACATGTGATTTGAGAGCTTTTGATGTAAAGGCGCACTGGTAGACTCTAATAATAACAGTCCCCTTGCAGAGTTTTTGTGCATTAAATTATGTCCTCCTAAAATTTTATTTGATAACTGATTAAAATAAGACCTAATATGGGCTGGGAATGTAGCTCAGCAGAGAGTTCTTGACCTAACTTGGGTTAAATTTTCTGTATTGCATTCTCTTTTAAATACTCTATATTATACTTAGCCATCTCAATGCACGTTGGGTAGTATAACCAAATGATATATGGGTAGTCTGTGATAATGTAAATATAAATCGTTCTTGTGTTTGGTTTGATTTGAGAAATATTTGTTTCTGTGTAATTAGAAAGTGAAGATACCCCATTTATTCATAATTGCTTTTATTTGTATAGCTTTGTCTTTTACAGTTAAGTTTTACAGCTTCGTTTTCCTTCTTTTTGGGCTCCATGTTAAAGTATAGTTTTATTTATATATATATATATATATTTTCTTTTTAAAAAATTATTTTATTATTTCATGTATGTAAGTGTTTTTGCTTGCATGAGTGTGTGTGTACCCCACGCATTCTGGATGCCTGCCAAGGTCAGAAGAGGGTGCAGGATGCTCTGGAGTTACAGATAGTTGGGAGTCATAGTAGGAGAAATCGAACCCAGGTCCTGTGCTCTTAACCACCAAGCCAACTCTCTAACCCCATAATTTTTCTAGTGAATCAAAAAGTAAAAATAAGTGTTTTACTTGGTTGTTTAGAGACATGCTGTTATCTGGGCTTTAAGCCTTGATGACTAAATAAGGAACCAGGATAACAAGTGTCCACATAAACAGCCACAATCCACATACACATACGGTAGAAGTCGTGACTGTGCCGGAGAACTCAGGAAGTAGGACAGCCTTGTTTCTACCTGCCTCAGAACAGTTTGTCCAAGAAATAAAGATTAGATTATTCATCCAGCAGTTATTAAATTCTGACTCCTTAACTGGTAGTCATGGAGAAGAAATAAGTATATATCATGTTAAAAATAAAATAAATACCACTGCTGGACAGTGGTGGGACACGTTTTTAATTCCAGCACTCAGGAGGCAGAGGCTGTTGGATCTGTGAGTTTGAGGCCAGCCTGATCTACAAGGTGGGTTTCAGCATAGCCAGGGCTACACAGAGAAACCCTGTCTCAAAAAAACCAAAAGCCAAACCAAAACAAAAAGCCTATTATGGAAATGTATATAACTTGGGTTTGGAGAGAATGGATAAGAAATGGCTTAAGAATTGGGCAGGTGCGGACAGAGGGTTGTCAGTGGAAAGGAAAACAGGGTCCAGAGGGTAGGAAGAAAAAGCCAGGAGGTAAAGGTAACTGGAACTGAGGAGTCTTTAATTAATAATAATAATAGCTCTTAAATAATGGACTCTGGTAAATAACCTGTGCCCCCCCCCCTTTGAAGGATGACCCTGGTAGAGAATGGCTGGTGAAGACTTAAAGAGTAGGATTATGTTTGCACATATAAAGTTATAAAGGCTTGAATACTGAAACACGTGTGGGAACAGATTGAGAACAGTGCTTTTCAGTAATATAAAGTTGTGCTTTTAGCCTAGAAATCCTAAAAGAAAAAAAAAGCCCTCATCTTCTGTTGTTGAAACAAGGGATATAAACACCTATTGCATTTACTTAAGTGATTATGCAAATATTAAAAGTAATTATTCCTGATAGATCAGAGTTAGCAGGATAGATTAGTTGCACTTCCTAATTTACTCTTTTCCTTTTTGATTTGGATTAAGTTAATGTATGTCTATATGATGTAATCATTTATAAGTAGAATTTTCTATTACAAACTCTCACATCACAAATTGTGATAACACAGAAATAAAGTAGTGATTGCTTTGAAGTAGAAGGATGCTCATTGCAGGAAGAACCTGCAGGTTAAAGCTCTAAAGGTCTGGTTTTCAAGATGAGGAATCATAAGTAACTGATGAACTTGGACATGAGCTTTGCTTTCCTTCTGGTGAAGGATTCTGGAGCCTGCACATCTGATGCTTGCTGTGGGCCAGCTGTATGCAAGTTACAGACAGTTGCCAGGCTTTGTGTTGTTAGTTGTCAGGGGAGGGGCGTAGATGAACAAAGAAGCTCAGAGTCTAATTGATGAATGTAAAATGTAATTGTAGACAAAGAATACAGATATGCTGTGCTCCAGAAACACCATTCACAGATCCTTTGGGTTGAAAAACCATGCACTGTGTCATTGCTGCCACCTTCATTCCTCACTAATACTGCTGTTGTTACTTTTTATTTAGATGTATAGCGATGGGATTGAGCTGGCTTGCCAAAGGCAGAAAGAATTTGTGAAGAGCTCTGTGGCGTGCAAATGGAATCTTGCTGAAGCCCAGCAGAAACTTGGCAGCTTAGCACTGCATAACTCTGAGTCCTTGGATCAGGAACATGCCACAGCACAGACCGCAGTGTCAGAACTGAGGCAGCGAGAAGAAGAATGGCGACAGAAAGAGGAGGCTCTGGTCCAAAGAGAGAGGAACATGGATGCCGTTAGCAAAGATGTTTTTAATAAGGTATGAACTTTTGTTGGACCACAAAAAAAAGAAGAAGAAAAGGAGCTGGGTATGTAGCTCATAGGTAACACATACAAGAGGCCCTGGGTTCCATTCCCAGCTCCACAGATAATGCAGAAGAAAAATCAGATAGTTCTGTAAATAACTGTTAGCAAAGCAGCAGAGTTCATTAAACAGCAAACATCTCCAAGCCTTGCTTTCCTCAACATGTAGGGTAGCTGGGAAGACTCGTCAGGTAATGTCTCCCTAACGTGGGCACTCCTGCTGTTGCTTACTGTCAGCTTCCGTCAGTTCTGTAACACACATAGTTCCTGGACTTAGAGAGAAAGCCATTCAGCTTACCAGCACAGGTTTAGTAAGCTCGAGTAATCTCTCAGTTTCTGTTATTTTAATTTAAATTTCATTATGCTGGGTTACATAAAGCCATTTTCATGCCGGTATACAGTGCACTTTGGCATACCCAGCTCTCTACCCTTCCGTTCTCCCTTTTCTCACCCATTGCCATTCCTGTAGTTGCCTTTGTGCCCCTAAATGGTTTCACATTGTTTGTACTTTAGGGATTTTGTGCATTTATAGAAAATCTAGGGCCCACACAGGAGAGAAAACAGGCAATATGATTATATCCAGGTGCAATATATTTTCCTGCAAATCACATAACCTCATTCTTTTTCTATGGCTATAAAGTAATGTGTTTATATGTGTGTGTACGTTTGGTGTATGTTTAATCTCATTTTATTTATTCAGCTGTTAGACACCCTTGTTAGTCCCATACTTAGCTATTGTCCTTACTAATAAAATAATGCTGCAGCAAAGTTTGATGTGCAAGTATCTCTGGTATGTTGACACTCTTTCAGTAAATATACAAGAGTAATATAGCTGGGCCGTATGGCAGAAGTATATTTAGTTTCTTGAGAAGCCTACTTTCTAACTTCCATAGTAGCTGGGCTCTAATACATTCCTATTGTGTGTAAATGCTCCTTTTTGTCTGTAACCTTGCCAGCATTTGTTGTTACTTGCTTTTGTAATGACTACTATTTTGGTTGGGGTGAGACAGACTCTCAATATAGTTTTGATTGGCATTTCTTGGATGACTGGTGGTGTTGAAATTTTTTCATATATTAGCCATTTGTGTTTTATCTTTTGAGAATTGTGTACTCATTTCATTAGCCCATTAATTGATTGGGCTGTTTGATTTCTTGTTATTTAGTATTTTGGTTCTTTGTCTACTCTAACAAAAGACACTAGGGACTGGGAGATGGTTCCGCAGGTAAGCATACTTGCCACCAAGTCTAATGACCCGAGTCTGAGCTTTAGGACCACATGGTGAAGGGAGAAACACTTGGAAATAGTCTTATGATGGCCCCACATATTCTGTTGTGAGGCACCATGTGGTCGTTGGGAATTGAACCCAGGACCTCTGGACGAGCAGCAGTCCTCCTAAGTGCTGAGCCATTTCTCTAGTCCCCGCTTTGTTTTTCTACATAGAAACTCAGTAAGTCTCTGGTTAATTGCTGGTGTTATTTCTTGAGTGACTGAAGTCCTATTCAGAGTCTTGCCTGTTCTCTTAAAGTTTCTGGTCTCACATTAAGGTCTTTTATCCATTTGGATGAGAGAGAAGGATCTAGATTCTTCCATGTGGATATCCCATTTTGCCATCATCACTTGAAGAGTCTGCCTTTTCTCTGATATGTTAATTTATTTTTGCAATTTCCACCTGTGGCTGCACGGTAGCAAGCTGATTTGCTACCGTGGCTCTAGTACAGCTGAAGTCGAGCACAGTGAAACCTCTAGTGCTTTCTTTTAGCAGTGTTTAAGCTGTCTGTGGTCTTTCGTGCTTTCATTTGATTTTTTTTTTTTTTTTGGATTTTTTTTCCCCTCTTACTGTGAAGAAACACATTGAGATTTTGATGGAGGTTGCATTGAATCTGTAAATGCTTTTGGTATGATAGCCATTTTCATAATATTAAATCTTCTAATCCATCAAAATAGGACCTTTCCATTTTTTTCAAATTTCTTTCCTCAGTGTTTTAGGTTTTCACCATAGATGCTTTCTTTTAGAATTAGATTTATTTCAGCTGGGCGGTGGTGGCGCACGCCTTTAATCCCAGCACTCGGGAGGCAGAGGCAGGCAGATCTCTGTGAGTTCGAGGCCAGCCTGCTCTACAAGGGGTAGTTCCAGGACAAGCACCAAAAACTACAGAGAAACCCTGTCTTGAAAATCCAAAAAAAAAAAAAAAAAGAGAGAGAGAATTAGATTTATTCCAAGGTCTTTTATTTTTGTCTGTATTTAATGCAATTGTGAATACGATTTTTTTTCTGGTTTATTTTTTAGCTTGTTATTAGTCTATAAGCTACTGATTTTTATGTTAGTTTTGTATCCTACCATTTTACTGAAAGTATATCAAATTAAAGACAGTTCTGATGTAGTCATTAGGGTCTCTGACCAATAGAACTATATTATTTACAAATAAGATCACATTTATTTCTTCCTTTCCTAGTCTTTTATCTTACTGCTGTAAGTCATCAAGCACCATATTGAATAAGAGTCGAAGAATTAGGCACCCTGTCTTGTTTTAGGTGCCAGTGTTGACTTATCTTAAGTATTAGTATTGAAACATTGAAACAGTCCTTTAAAATTAATCTAGATAGTTCAGTCTCTTAAATAGAATAGTATTTTGGCTAAATTAATAAGGTTTTTGTTTTGTTTTTTAGGCATAATCAGTTTGTTTTGTTTTGTATTACTTTTTTTTAGGCAGGGTCTCATTTTCAGACCCTAGCCCATCAAAAACTTGGTCTGTACCCCAGGCAGGCCTTAAACTCAGAGATCTACCTGCCTTGGCTTCTCCCCACCCTCCAAAAAGACATGTGGTACTATACCCAGTCTTGAGACTGGATCTTCCATGGATCTATGTCTCATTCCAAACTCAATCAGCAGGGCATTGTGCTACATGCCTGCAAACCCAGCCAGAGGCAGGTGGGCGTCTATAATTTGCGACCAGTGTGGTTCACAACTTCCAGGACAGTTTTGTCTCCATAGAGTGACCCTGTCTCAAAAAACAAAGCAAAATAAAAAATAGCATAACAAAATAAACAAACCCTCTTTCTTAGCTTGTGAGTGATGGGGCCACTAACTGGCAAAGTTAGTAGTTTTTGTTTCATTTTTAGGTTGCTTTTTTTAAGTGTGTGTGTGTGTGTGTGTGTGTGTAACGGGGATGGGGAGAGAACAGGTGTGTGCACAAGAGCAGGCTTACCAGGGGGTGTGTGTGAGGGTCAGAGGATAAGTTACTGGAGTTGATCTTCTCTTTCCATAATGTGAAGTTAGTCCCTTGACCTGCCTGGCCACCTCACCAGCTCTAAGCATTTGAAATGTGGTTCATCCAAATTGGGATGTGCTCTAATTGTAAAATATACATCAGATTCTATTACTAAATACCAAAACACCAGAAGTGAAATACTTTGTTAATAACTTTTTGGTGTTTCTTCCATGTTGAAATGATAATATGTTGAGTACATTAGGTTATGAATGTTTGTTTATTTCTGCTTTTTAATAGAGCTAGTAGAAAATTTTAAGGTGTATTTGTGACTAGGACAGTATTGGTCTAGATAACAAAACATTAAAAGGTGCTTTTATTTTGAAATACAAGCTGGCACGGAGCTAACTTGTGCTTTTCAATTTGCAGTGATAGTATCAGGGCATAAGGTATATCACAGAATACTCTGGGAAACTGTTGTGCTAGTTTTGCTGGTAAGATGAGAAACGTGTTCTGTTCCATGCCTTACTTAACAAATATAAATGCTTCCTCAGTAGAAGTGTGTACTTAAAGAGTTAAACTATTTATAGAAATGCAGTCGAGGTTTATTCTTTGTTCTGCCTCCTCTCCAAGAATTTATAGTAAGTATCTTTGACTCTGCGCTTTGGATTGCTGAGTTTACTTCTAGCAAGAAACCCAAAGATTGGACTGGAGTTGCAAATATTTATTGGAAATGAATAACACATATAAAGAATCTTTCCATTCATGTCTTTGATAGGGTAATCTGTATAATGAAAAGACTCAACTTTTCTCCTGTGTGATCACTAGATAAATTTATAACTTAAAACAAAGCAAATGGAACTACCATATGAGACTTTAATTTTTGAATGACAAGTTTAACAAATTAGTTTAATGATGTATATAGTATTATCCATATTTTTTTTATTACATCATGTCTTTACGAAAGTTTGCTAAGCATTTAGCATCTGAAGAGATTTAGTTACAATACTGATTTTAATTACTATTTTTTCAGAGTTTTATTAATCAAGATAAAAGAAAAACAGAAGATGAAGATAAATCGCAATCATTTATGCAGAAATATGAGCAAAAAATTCGACATTTTGGTGAGTCTACTACTTAAGCTTCCTTCTTTATTGTGTTTGATATCATTGGTGTGTATAAAATTGAGCTTCTGAAAATAAGGTCTGAAAAACTATGGCCAAGTCCACTCGTGTTGTTGCTTATGGCAGGGTCATCAGAGCTGCTTCACCTTGCTTGTGTCTTAAACCGTTGTAAAGAGAAGCCCAGTTCAGTCCGCTACTGCTGCTTTCTGTGATGGTGCCACTGCTTTGCATTTCTTGACTGCTAGGATGTTTTTCTTTTTCTTTTTTCTTTTGATAGTTTTTCTTAACATTAAAAGATTAGCATTCATTTAAACATTTTGTGTATTTTTTTCATAGACTTGTAGGGAGGGGTCGGGGCATGCCACAGCGCATGCGAAGAGGTCAGAGTCCAACTTAACAGAATCAGTTCTTTTCCACTGTGTGAGTTCTGAGGGATTGACCTTTGGTCATTAGATTTGGTGGCAAGTACTCTTCCTCACTGAGTCATCCCACCAGCTCCAACACTTTTTTTCTTTCTGCATGTTTGGATATGATGTTATGTAAGTCATAGTTCCTTGACATGTTGCTCAGATAATAGGATAAAAATGCATTCCTGTGTGTGCGCGCGCACACACACACACACACACACACACACACAGATTTAGGGTACAACTATTTTTTAATCTTTATTTATGTGTATGTGTTTGTGTCTATGTAAGTATATGCCACATGTGTCGGGAGCCGATGGAGACTGCAAGAGAACATCAGATCCCCTGGAGCAGAAGCTATGGGTGGTTGTGAGCCACCAACATGGGTGCTGGCATCTGAACTCAGGTTCTAGAAAAGCAGGAATCAGTCCTAATGGTTGAAGTCTCTCTAGTCCCAGAACTGGCATTTTCTATTGCAGTTGGGGGTGAAGTAAATGAAGGGCTCCTGGAGGAGGTATCATCTGGGTTTCTTAAGGAAGGGAGATAAGGATTTCCCATGGAGATCAGGCCACAGCATTAGAAATGCAGAAAATAAGTGTGGTGTGCTCTGAGACTTAGAGCAGTGTGAAGATGCTAGCCTGAAAATGCTGCTGGGAACTGGGAGGAGTTGAGTTTCAGACTATATTTTCAGTGAGTATTGTGTGAATTAACAGACATGGTTCTTGTTTGTGTTTTGGCGTGTGTTGAAATCTTTTTTCATTTGTACCCCCTTAAAGTATTACTTGTGCTTCAGAAATAAAAAACTGCATTAATATAAGAATAGTTAGTACCTGAAGACAGCTGGGCATGACGACACATGCTTGTAATCCCAGCACTGAAGAGGCTGGAGCGGGCGATAACAAGTTCCGGGCTAGCCTGGACTATGAGATCGTCACAAATAGCCAAAAACAAACAAAAACAAGAAAGAAAAGGCTAGTATCTGAGGAGCTAAACACAAGTTCACTTTTCTACATATATTATTGTGCCATTTCATATAATAGGAATAAGCAGCCCTCTCTCGGATAGGTATTAACATCTTTAAACTAACAGGGTCTTGAATCACAGGGATAGAAGACAGGAACTTGCAAAGGAGTCCTGTGTGGTCGTTGTCATCCTACCTACAGTCCTTGCTACCAGGACCCATGTGCTCTGCTGCAGGAAAACACGTGCTTCTTTCGGGAAACACATGGCTGCTGCTTTAAAGCCATGTCACCTAGTAAGTGAGAGATAGTGCCTCCTTTGTTGTAGATTGAGTGCCTCAGTTCAATGCAGTTCTGAGTGGGAAAACATCCAGTTTCACAAGGTGTTGTAATCGCCTGACACTGAGACTCCATCTTCAGTAGACCCTTTCCTCCCTGTATAAAACGGGCTGTTTCTGACTAGTCCATGGTAAGACCAGTGAACTTCATGAGTTCATGTTCATCATTTATTTTGGCAGAAAATGAATCAAAAATAATGTCGTATAGTAACCAGTCCATCTAGCACACTCCCAAATGTAATTCCTGTTGAAGTATAATAAAGAGAGGCTATTTCCAGTTCTAGAACAGGCATATTCATATGAGGGATTATTGATCCCTTCAAGAAGAAATTGGATCAAAAACTCAAGCTCCTACTTTATTACTGGATAATTAATTCTATAGAATATGGTGCCATATTGTGGGTTTTGTATGAATTTTTGCTCCTGAAAAGTTTGGTATTCATTGATTCTACTGGGCTAGGTTACTGAAACATCCTTGATGAGAAGAATCCGTGCTCTTGAGTGTCTGCATTACCTCCCCCTATGCCCACCTAAGACATGACCCCCCCCTTAGTTTATGTAACTACTGTGTGTTTAATAAGAGGGACAGGAGAAAAGGCTGGCGTGGCCTCCGCAGATGATTAATAAGCATTTGTTTTACCATTGCATGTTGTGAGCTTCCAGCATCTCATCTTGTAATACTAACCAGACCCTTGCTGTCTTCAAATCCAACCAGACTGATAGCCACTCCCAGATTCACACTGTACTCGTTTCTTAGTGGAAATGCACATTGGCTTTTCACTTGGAGGAGATCTCCTACTTGCTGCAGCACATTGGATCCACAGAAATGTTCCTAAGGTAGTAGGCTCCCAAACTTTCCATGTGTTTAACTGTCCACTCTCTGGCATCTGTGTATCTTATATATAAATAGGCATCTTGGGCATCTGCTCCTTCTGCTCACCAAGTTCCATCAGCATAGAATGGATTAAATTTACAGTTACATGAGGTGACGAGATAACAAAGTCCACATTTACAAAGTGATAGCACAGTTGATAGAGGCCTGAGACAGGAGTTGGAGGGCTTGATGCTGTTCACCTTGAGAAAGTGAGTACTTGCTAGTGCATGCTTATTAGTAAAGAAAAAAGCATTTGCCTGGCTGATAGTCAGGTGTGGTGATTGTGCTTTAACAGATAAACTTTCCTGAAGATCAGAGTTCAGAGCTAGCCTCAGTAGTTAGCTATAGAGGCCAGGCAGTGGCTGCACACGCCTTTAATCCCAGCTCTTGGGAGACAAAGACAGACAAATCTCTGTGAGATTAAAGCCACACTGGTCTACACAAGACTGAATCGGTCTTAAAGAGAAACAGCCAAGTGGTGGTGGCTCACACCTTTAATCCGAACACTAAGAGGTGGAGATGGGAAGTGATATATCTAGGCAGGCAGAGTAATATAAGGCAGGAAGAGACAGGAGTTCAGGATTCAGTCTGAGATTTCGCAGACAGCATTCAGTATGAGGATTCATAGAGACAGGTTCTTGCCCCCTTGGTTCTGAGGTTTTCGTAGAGTTAAGAACTAGTGGCTACTCTGCTTCTCTGATCTTTCAGCTTTCACCCCCTTATATCTGACTCCAGGTTTTTATTACTAAAACCAGTTAGATTTATGCTACAGATAAGTATATTGATGAACTCCAGAGAGAGAGAGAGAGAGAGAGAGAGAGAGAGGGAGGAAGAAAAACCAATCTGGAATGGTAGCTGTAATTAAAGCTTCCAAGTGAAGGCTTTCCAAAGTTGGATTCCATTGTAGACTCTTGAAAAAGAGGGTCTGGTGAATCCGGGAGCTGTCTGTGTGGGACAGCAGGGACTTCTTCCCACCTGTGTTCTTTTCTCATTTGTGCTGTGTTCTTCAGAGTTCTTCCTGAGTCTCCTTTATGCTGTTTGATGACTCTCGTTCTCCTGTTGCTTTTACCCTTATACTTAAGTACAATTTACCAAGTAGTGGTAAATGGTACCATTATTGTAGTGTTACAGATGATTGAAATCTGATTTTCCTTTACATTTTTATTTATTGGTTGACTTGTGCTTTAGAAATACAAAATGCTGACATAGATACAGAGCTCGTCTACTCTTCAAATTCACAGCAGTTTCCAGTTGTTTGGACCTTTAACTTCACTGCCTTTGTTGTCCTCAGAGACACATTTTGGATTGTGCAGTAGTTTTTCAGAGCACACCATTTTCCTTCCAGGCATAGTTAGCTTCAATTCAGCGTTTTCTGAATCTGTGTAGAATGTGGTCACTGGAAATTTTATCAAAAATCATAAATATTTATATAAAACCTTTTTTCATTTATAATATCTTCATTGTATTTACTTGTGGTTTACTTTTAAAAATATGTTAATATCCTGTTTTTGAAAAACATGCTATGAGGTACTTGAATAAAATATAAGTGAAATTAATTAAAATCATAATTATTAAAGGATTTAAATTGTCTCTGTAATACAGTTGCATACAATTTTTTTAATTTGGGGACTTTTCAAACTTTTTACAACAAATATACTTCATTTTTATTGCCTGAAATATATTTTAAGGTCTTATTCTAAAATTTTGGTATGGTTTAATATTTTTAAAAATGTATTGAGCATCTAATAGTATAACTGCTTATCTTCATGGTCAGTTTGATGCTAGAGAAATTAAAAGTCAGAGGAGTTTGTAGAATACCTGAGGGGATAACCTGGAACCTCAGAGTATTGTAGGGTGGCAGAGAGAAGGATGGATTTGGTTTTAACTACCATGACTGTGCATAGGCATGGAAGTGAAAAACCGTTGTCTGGTGATAGATGATGAAAAACACAGGGAGGGTTCAGGCAGTAAAAGCAGTCATAATCTCAAGGGGCTTGCCTCTTAGCTAGGGGAGTTTATCAAGCAGTTACGATAAATGGTATAAAGTGTTAAGTGTATCCTGTAAATAGAATGCAGGGTGTCTCTATTGGGAGCAGTTTTAAGAATCAAATGACTACTGAGAACTGATCACATTTAGATGTTCATCAGAAGACATATGGTTTGAAATGTGTAATTAGCTTGTTTTAATTTGCCAAAGTAAGCTATTCTAAGAATTCAGAGAAATTGACTGGTTAGTTTGAGTGGCTGGCTTATCCTTAACCAAAAGATTGTCTTAATAAATATTTGCTATGTGAGTGAATTAGTCACTATTGTGTTAATACTTCCTATTGAGTATTTACAATCTGAGGCACTGTTCTAAGTGCTTTTTATTAATTAACAGCTTTAATTCATAAAAAAATCCTTCATGTCAGGTACTGTTTTAGCCCCCACTCTACATGGGAAGATATAGAGGTATATAAAGGACCTTGCCCAAGGTGAAGCCGAGGTTCAAAACAAAAGTTGTTTAGCTCTAACATCTGTTTCCTTGTCCATCATCCTAGATTGTGTTACTGTTTACAGATTTCAAAATAACAGTAACTTTAGATATGTTCTGTTCCTGTAACTATGGATTCTCTTTAAATTGTTATAAATTCCACACCTTTTTTCTTTAAGACCTGTATGGACTACTTGTAACATCTCAATTTCATACTAATTCAAGTTCTGATTTACTTACATACAGAAAATCTTTGTTCAGTCTCAATTGTCTTAGGTATTAAAAAAATAAAAACTTCAGCATGTAACAGATTGGTAACAAATGTTGCCAGTCCTTTTCATACTGTCTTTAATTCAGAATCCAAACAGACAGGGTTTTGTTAATAAAGTCATAATGCTGCCATGTTGAGGAAATTGAAGATGATTGTAGATAAAATAGAAAGTATTACTTCTGTAGAAGTATAAGCAGGCTAGCAAAGGGACTGGGAATTTAGCTCATTTGGTAGAGTGCATGACCAATATGTCTGGAGCCCTAGGTTTCAGGAGAGAGGAAGAGAAGCATGGTGGCAAGTTCAAAGTCAGCTGGGTTCCGTGAGACTCTCTCAAAAGAGAGCATGGGGGGAGGGGGAGGGCAGACACTGCCATAGGATCCCTTTACGTCTTTGGGTATAAGAAATAAGGATTGTGCTTTCGCCAGCCCAGCATTAATTCCTGGGGAAGTGGTTTTAAGTAAATTCGCAGATTCATTCTGTGTCTCAGAATCGTAAATGACCCAGTTGTCAGTAATCCTGGCACTGGGGGCAGAGGCAAACAGCTTAAAGGTTGAGAGATTCTTGAGTTATGTAGAAGACCCTGATCTTCCCCTCACCCCTTTTTCCTCAACCAAACAAACAAAATGCTGAATTGCCCCTAACTTGGTTCTAAGATAGTGTAGTTTCAGTTGGTTCCCCACATTTTGCTGTGTAAGGTGTTTGCCTTTGGTTTCAATCTTATGTTCTCATGTGAAATTTAGTGTGTAGGAATTCATTCTGTTCAGAGCGAAAGTTCGTTGTCATACTCTCCAGACAGTCCCGTGAGACTTTGATGATAGCTTAGTGATAGCCACACTGCTTTTGCTGCTCTGTATGGATCTCAAGTCTACGGTTTCTGACATTGTGATACTCAGTTCATTCAAGTGTAACCCTAACTAGCACATTCCAGGTTCCGTGTTACTTGGTCATAGTGACTTTGTTAAGTTAGGTAAAGATGCAGGTGCATGCTAAGTACTACTTTGGATTCGTTTAATATATTGAAATGAAATGGTAGCCTTTCATATATGTTCAACTGATTTTTTTAAAAAAAGTAATTGTTTTCTGTATACACTGAACAGACAGCTTTAGTAATTGGCTAATGTGACTAAAATAATTGTAGTATATTAGTTAGTGCTATACTGACTTACTTGTTAACCAGTTGATAAAAGTTTCCTAAATTGATAAATGTCTCCATTTTACCATATCCTGAACATTCTAAAAATAAATTGGAAATAGTAGAGTATTCTGAATTTTTAGTAAGCTCTTAAATTTGCTAAATACAGTGTTTTTGAAGTCTTGGTTTTTGAAAAATTTTTGGACTAGAAATTGAGCCTCAGGCCTCATGCATCATTAATAGTCAAATACTTTTGTCATTGAACCATGCCACCCTGCCTCTCTCTTTTTTGAGACAAGGTCTTGCAAAGTTGCTCAGGCTGTCCTTGAACAGGCTCTGTGACCATTTGTTGCAGCCACTCAGTAACAAATTTTTAACCATCTTTCTAAGAAAAAGTATTCTGTTCTCTTAGTAAATGATACTGAGTATCTCAATCATTTGCTCTCTCTTGAACCTTAAGGGAAGACCAAGTGTTGCAAGTGTATATGGGATTTCAGGCATTCCCATAAGCAGGGGACTTCACCTGGTCACTCTTCTTAAATCAGACTCATTATCTGAAATGAAACTTGCTGAGATTCCAGCCTACTAGATATTATTGAGGGGTATCAGTGCTCTTGGCTTGCCCTATCACATAACACACTTCTCTGGTACTGGGAACTGTCTTTAAAGAGAAACATTTAAAATCCACTTCTGGCCTCACAGGAAGAAAGGAGATAATTGACATCTGTGGTTCAATTCTCTTTTACAGGTATGTTGAGTCGGTGGGACGATAGTCAGAGATTTCTGTCTGACCACCCATACCTTGTATGCGAAGAAACTGCTAAATATCTTATTTTATGGTGTTTTCACCTGGAAGCTGAGCAGGTATTTATGAACCTTCAGTGGCTAGAAACCTTACTAGAATTATAAGTTTTTACTCTTTCTTTTTTTCATTATTTACTTTAAACGAAAGAAGGGGATTGGGCAGTGTAGGCGCACACCTTTAATCCTAGCACTCCAGAGGCAGAGGCAGAGGCAGAGGCAGATAGATCTCTGAGTTCAAGGCCAGCCTGGTCTACAAAGTGAGTTCCAGAACAGGCAGGGCTGTACAGAGAAACCCTGCCTGGAAGAAGAAAAGAAAGCAGGAAGGTTACTCAAAGGGATTATAACGTGTTGTTCCTGTGGTGTCCAGTGTGCTGGCTCTGCTGCCCTCTGCTCACTCCCATGCACTGCAGTCGCTCTTCCTTTTCTCCCGAGTGGAAAGTCATCTTAATGTGACCCGGACAAACGCATATAGTTATTCTGGCCCACGTAACGGCAGTAAGACAGTTTATGTTTGTGTAGTGCTTTATTTAACCATAAGGAATAAAATCAGAAGTACTCTCAAATTCAAAATTTGCCTTGTACCAGTTCATTATCTTTCCAGAAGTATTTTCTTTAACCCTGGTGTATGTCTTTTTCAGAAAGGTGCTTTAATGGAACAAATAGCACATCAAGCTGTGGTAATGCAGTTTATCATGGAAATGGCCAAAAACTGTAATGTGGATCCAAGAGGCTGTTTTCGTTTGTTTTTCCAGAAAGCCAAAGTAAGTAGTTATTTGGTGTTGTTAATAGAAGATTGGACTGTAGCTGAGCTCTCTTTGTCCTGTGCAGATCAGGAAGCTGTCTAGGCAATAGGTACAGCTGCTAAGTGCTGTAGGTTTTCTAGTGACAAGAAATGTATGGTGTCTGTACTAGTATATATAAACTAGTCTAGTGGTTATACAGTATAAGTTAGCGTTTATAGTACAATACAGTATTTCAATTTTTGTGCTGATTGAGACTTAAAAAATGAGTAAGAGGCTGCAGTAGACCATATATTTAAAACTCATTTTTGAAACCCCTGCAAATTAATGTGACTCTTCTGAGTACTTCAGCATTTACCCACATAGTGTATGGAGTATTTACTGATGGAAAGCAAAGCCGTTTCAAATGCAGTGTAAGCAAAAAAGATAGAGCATCCTCCACATGTAGAACTCGCTGTTCAAGAAACCAAATTTGTAATGAAAAATATACACTTGGGAAGCTGAGGCAAGAGAATTATGATTTGGCAGTCAGCACAGGCTGAACTAGTAATATCCTGTTGAGAGACAGTAGAGGAGACAGGAAAGGGAGGAAGAAGGAAGCAGGCCAGCTACCTAAGCACGTCACATTTAAGGACAACTTTCAGAAAGTACAGTGTACATAGAATATTCGGCAGCTATTACATATATATGGAACATTGTTAATAATCTAAGAAAATGTTTAAAGAGTTGGTTTATGGAAACATAATGTTGGCCCTACTAAAGAAAATAGGTATTTACAGGAAGATTACTGGTTTGTGTTTACTGGATCAGTAATTACAAGTTTCCTAAGAAACAAAGCAGTGAGAACTGAGTTGACTGCTAGTAGCAGTGGGAAGTGTCCATTAGCACAGCCCCTTTGAAGTACGGCTGGTGGAACTGAGCAGGGGCACATCTGAATAGCAAAGCCATTCTGAGGAGTGCACCATCGAGAGCAGGTTCTCAGCATGTGTCAGGGGCCCTGACCGTCAGGAGGCCCCCGGGAACAGTGGTTTCCATAAGGCTGCTGTGTGTTAGTGACTGCTTTCACTCTTGTTCACTCATGAGCGTGCACTCGGTGCTGAAGCAGATGATAGAGCCAGACATGAGAGACTTGAGAAGATGAAAAGCAGATTTTACTATTCTTACTTTGAGGGGAGGGTGCTTTACAGACAGTTTTTGTCTTTAGCTATTACATATTGGGTGTGTGCAAGTTTACTCTGCACAGTGTGGGGGCCGGAAGTCACAACATGTTATCTTCCTCTGTCAGCTCCATCCCATTTTCCAAGACAAGCTTGCCATTTTGGCTAGGCCAGCAAATCCTCAGGATCTGCTTGTCTTTGTCAGCTCCCCTTCCCCCTCTTCAGTGCTGGGTTCCAAATGTGTGCCATCATGCCGGGATTTTGCATGGGAGTTGAGTATCCAAACTTAGGTTCCCATGCTTTAGAGTAGATGTCACGCTGCCCAAACTTGTCACCCTTTCCTAGTCTCAAGTAGAAATACATGGTCATCATCATACATTTAGCTCTTGAAAAACACAGTTGGGTAAAATAAAAGTGCACTGCTAGTGGCAGCATGTAATAAGTTTGTTCCTGGGTCTTCTAAGTACTGACTGATGTAAACACAAGGAGAAGCCGTGCGTTTTTAGTGTAGGAGAGCTGTGAGGTTGAGAATGACTGTCCCAGTGCTGTGCTGCTTCTAGATCTGCTTAGGACAGCAAAAGCCTGGCCACTTTTGCTCATAATCCTAAGAATAAATTGGGTGTATTGATTAATAGAATTCCTTATCAGTATAGATGGAAATGACAAACGATAGGAATGAATGAAACAAGCTAGTTGTGTAGCCAGTGTCAGTTTTGAAGACATAGTTTGTAAAGCTCGTAGTTTTAAGTATTTTATACAGTGCTTATAAAGGCAGAACTAAATGGTATGTTTTTGAGAGCCCCATGTGTGAACAGGAAAAGTAAAGCAAAGAAATGACTGAGGCACGGGGGAGGAGGAGAACCGTGGGAACTGCTTTCTGAGGTACTGATGATGATCTGGTTCCGAATTTCTGTGGGTACATGGTGGGATTTTTGCCCAGTAAACTGCACATGCATGTTTTGTGGGCACCACACATATGTTTATATGGTTTTTTGCATATTTCATTATCTGTAGTTAGAAGTTAAAAGGAAATATACCAGAAGTTTAACTTTGATTATGCCTAAGAGATAGAATTATTATTTTCATTTTCTTTATGATCTACTGCTATGAACACTTCCTGTTAGAAACAAACAACAAAACTAATTGTATTTTTAAATGTGAAAAAAAAAAAAAAACACCAAATGACAATAGTCCTACCTTAAGTGCTATAAACTCTGAAGTGCAGTGTATGCCTGCGGTTTCCTATGATCTTAAAGCATCTTACAGTAGACTTAATGACCAGATGACGACTAGGTTGGAATCTTAGCTAGGCTTATGGTAAATAAATTTTTACTTGACTCACAGAAGAAGCTTTAATAAAAACCATACTTTTTGGTGATACCTTAATATGTTTCAACTGATACTTAATTTCGTCATGGGACATTGTCACACTACTTATAAATTTTCTTCTTTGATAAAACAGAACTGAAAACTCAAATCTTCAGCCTTACCAGTTTTAATATTAAAAACTAGGCAGTAAGTACTTACAAAGTGAGTCATGACAGGCACTGTTTTAAGCATTTTGCATGTGTTAACTTATTATATCCTTCTGCATTTTATGAAGATTCTTACTCATATTTTGTAAGGGAGGAGACTGACATAAAGAAAATAGACAATGTCTTATAGCTTACTTCATTAAACAGAGTCGGGTTTCTTGATTTAAGCTCTGAGCCTTAGGATTACAGGAGAGTCAGCGGATATTCTGTTTGCCTTTAATAGCAGTTACCTTTGGATACAAGCATTGGACAGCATAGGTCTGCTCAAGTTCTGTCTAGCTGTTACTACAGTAAGATGTTAAGTTTAACTAAGGAAATTATTTAAAAAGACAGGATATCCTCCCAGAACATAATTTCCATTATTTAACCCGGAACTAATGTACAATCTCAACCAAATTCTGCAGTCTAAACTCCATTGACAAAGTCTTCTACCCCTTGAACTTAAAGGCAGCATGTTGTTAGCCTGGGGCACACACCCTGCCAGGTACACATAGAAGAAATGTTTAAAAAGAGGCCTCTGTCAGTAGAAAGGGGCTTTTCATGGAGAACGCCTATATCATTGGATGCCACAGCGAGTCCCTTCCCTCAGCCTGTTACCGTGCTTGTTTATTTCCAGATGCCAAACAGACTCTTGCTAAGCTACAAAACTTAAAATATCCTTACAATAATTAAGTTGACTGCTGAGTCTGTCTTCTATAACGTTTACAAATAGAGACTTGCCAGGATAGAGATGTACTAGAGAGGTTACGGGGTCTCTCCCCAGTGAAGTGAGGAGAAAGTGAACATGAGAGGTTGATACAGTTTGTTTGCAGTTGTAGGGATTGAGCCTAGAGCTCTGTGCATGCCAAGCAAGTGCCAAGCAAGTGCCCCTCCCTATCTCAAAATAAAAGCTATAAAAAATAACTTATTTTTGCTTTTTCTTTTTTTTGAGACAGGGTTTCTGTGTAGCTCTGGCTGTAGACCAGGCTGGCCTTGAACTCATAGAGATCTGCCTGAGGTTCTCACTAAGTTACTCTGTTCATGGTAAATTCACTCTTTTGCCTACCAGATCTTGAACTTGCCATCCTCCTGCCTTAGCCTCCTGAGGAGCTGGTCTTAAAAGCTGCACCACCAGGCCACTCCTACTCCATGTATATGTGTAGGAGTGTTGTCTGCTGTTAGTTAATTTTGCTGATGCAAAATTAAACATAGAGCAGACCAACTATTTGTAAATGTGCCTATAAAAGAAACTGCTCACAAATATGCCAGGAGACTGTGCTGGTTTCTGCATTTTGACATATTTTTTCTTTACTGCCTCTACTCTAACTCTATTATGTGCTTTTGAAATTTACTCTGTGGTTTAGTCATTCAGAAACAGCCTTTTTGGTTTGTTTGTGTTTATGTTGTAGGCAGAGGAAGAAGGTTATTTTGAAGCATTCAAAAATGAACTTGAAGCTTTCAAGTCAAGAGTAAGACTTTATGCCCAATCACAGAGCTTTCAATCTACGACAGTTCAGAATCATGTTCCCCATTCTAGTGTTGGATGCGTAGGCTCCTTAGACTCCTTATCACAGGTAAGCAGGGAAAGGGAACACTCATTTCATAATGTCCATAATTTTGTTCTTTAGCACACGCATGCATAATGTAGGTATGACCACTTAAAATTCTCTTGCCTCAAACAATAACCCTTAGTGTTGCTGTAGTAGTTCCTGCCTTTAATTCAAGCCCTCAGGAAGCAGAGGCGGGTGTATCTCTCTGAGTGTGAAGCCTGATGGTCGTGTTGAGCTCCAGGCCAGTGAGGGGTATGTTGAGAGACCTTGTCTCCGAAATGAATGAGTGAATGAATGAATGAACGAACGAACAAACAACAACCCCTAGTCTCATTTCATTCCATGCTTTGGCATTGAGTTTCTTCTGCCTCTTAGAGATACCAATTTCTGTCTCATTTTAATGTGGAAAAGATGAGCTGTGGCTAAACATTTTTATGCCCATTGTCACTGCCTGTTGGTTATCTCAGTCATAAACTCAGGCTCCTCACAACATCTTCTGAGTAAAATACACTCTTACAATTTTTTAAAGGATGAAATTAGGTTGAAAGCAGACATGTGAGTGGAAGCTACAGCTATTTTTTACATGGCTTTATGTGATTAATGCCGTGTTTAGTAGCACTTTTTGTATGTTATATACCCAGTAATAGTATACGACTGTTTGACCCTTCAGAGTCTGGTGTTAGATAGAGATAAAGGCTAGGCTGTCAACGTGACAAAGTCATCAGTGGAGAGAGGAGAGCAGATCACTGGTAAAGTTGATAGAGCCCTAAGGTAGTGTCAGACAGCCCCTGCCCATGGTGATTTTAGAGTTAGCAGCTTAATAGAGCCGAGTTATCTCTCATTTCCAGGCTCCAAGATTTTAAGACCAGCTTTAGCCAGTTTATTCTGTTGTCTGCATGGGGACATGGAAAGTGTCATTCAGAAGACAATATGAGGAGAGTCCTGTATTTATCTCTAAGCCTCATATAATGGTAAAAATTGAGATTTTCCATTTCTTGACCTTATGGCACTATAATTTTACCATTTTAGTAACATGTATTTTAAAGAGCTGTTAAATTTCACATTAGCACTTTAACCTAATGTAAGGAAAGCAATTGGTTATACTTATTTCAACCAAAACCATTTTCAATGTAATGTAATATGTCAATATTGGCATTCTGACTTTAAATAATCACTAGTGTTCTCCTTTAATTAGACATGTCAGGAGTAGGCCCCTAAAGAATGCCTACAGATCATTTCTTTATTTTTAATTTCTTAAGATTTGCTTTATTTTATATGTATGAAAATATTTTACCTGCTTGTATATATGTGTACAACACATGTGCCTGGTGCCCAAACAGGGAGGCCGAAGAGGACTTTGAATCTCTTGGAACTGTTTGTTACACATGGTTGTGAGCCACTTCATGGGTACTGGGAAGTGAACCCTGAACCTCTGCAAGGGGGGAAGTGCTCTAAACTGCTGAGCCATCTCCAGCCCCCAGATCACTTCTTTAATGTCACTTACAATATTGAGAAGTAGCACGTGAGAAAGCAGGTTTTTTCCAAGGGGTTTTATGATGTCAAAGGCAGTAGATAAACTTAGTCACCTAATGCATGCAGAGGAAAAAGAGACTTAAAGGATGTCGTTGGTTCTTTACACATATTAAAATCTAAGCAATCTGTATTACCAAGAAGATGCGCCCGGTTGGAGAGAAGTAAGTCATTCTCATACGTAGCAGTTACAGCTGATACCAGTGGCTAGGCCTCCACTGTCACTTGTGTAGAAAAGGCTGGAGCTGTGTAATTTTATCATTTGAATTCTTATCAGGAACCTTCATACTTAAATACTCTGGGTTAATAGACTAGTTGCTCCTTACAGGGTGAGAATTTAGGCACCCTGACCTAGACAGCCTCAGGGAGAGGAGTACTGCCCAAATTGTTGTTAGTCGCATAAGATGCTGGATAAGGGGCTGGATGAAGGAAATGGAAGAAGGAGGCACCCAAGGGACCAAGCTGACAATCTTGAAGTCTGAAAAGAATCTTGCTGTAATAATGGTTTACCATTTTTATGTCACTTCATGGGTTGTACAATATGTTGAAATGTATTATTTAATCTTAAAAATGCTGTAATTATTTAAAATCATTTTGCACATAAGTAAATTGAAAACTACAGAGGTTAATTAGTTTGCCTAAAGTCAGCAGAGTACGTGGTAGGGCTGATGCGTCCTTCCCCAGTTAGGAGTCCTGCACTGCACGGAGTCCTGTGCTCTTGGGAGGATGAGTGCTGAGACAAGTGAAAATGCTGACAGACTGACCCAGGGGCAATAGTGGGATTCCAGTGTTGCTTAGCTTAGGGATATTGATGGCTTTAATCCTGAGTATCAAGCTAGAGTTACTGTAAGTTTGGTCTTGAAGGGCTCTGGAATCTGAAGTGGATGTCTGCAAAAACCTAGCACTACTTTGTGGAAATATGGTAATATAACAAGAATATCGATTTTTATATTAAAGGCATGTGCCACCACTTTCTGACTTAAAAACTTTATTTTAACAGAATAAAAAATTTTATTATTTTATATATATATGGATGTTTTCCCTAAATACATGTGTGTGCACCATGTGTGTGCAGTGTCCACAGAGTCAGAAAAGGGCATTGGAACCTCTGGAACTAGAGCTTCAAGTGGTTGTGAGCTACCATGTAGATGCTGGGAACCAAACCCTGGTCCTATGGAAGAACAGGTGCTCTTAACTATTGAGTCATCTCTCCAAACCCCTAGAAGCCATATTTATGAAAATATATGCTTATGGGGAAATTTGTCCTTGTATGGTTAAAGAATTACACTTAGTTTTGTTGAAAGGGCTAAAAAGGTAGCATTACATTTTGTTCGCATATGTCCACTCTGTCTTTATCACATCTCTTTGGATTAAATAATATTATCCTACCCTTAGTTCCTTGGGTTTCAGCCCAAGTAGACTCAATAAATCCATTTTCTTTCCTATCTGCTGAGCTGCAGCAGACTAGAGAACGTGAACCCAGATGCAGAGGCAATGCGCAGGTGTGGAGCTGCTCACCAGGTGTCCTCCTTCTCCTTTCTCCCCAGAATCCAGATTATCTTGAGTGTTCTGTCAGCACAGCCCTCTGCAGTTTAACCTCAGAGGCACAGAAAGAAGACGAGGACAGAATGATGGACACTGTGTGATTCAGTTAGGACTGCTGAGGCCAAGGACTATTTTGTTACAAGAAGGAAGAGCTTGGCTATTTTCTTGACACTTTTATGGGTGCTGCACTTTATTTTTGTTCAATTTTTGATGGGAGGGAAAAGAATACTGAAATGTTTTGCGACTTTTTTTATGTGCTGCTAGGATTTTTGTTGTTTTGTTTTGTTTCTGAAGGGAGGAGCGGTACCGTATGTTGCAGGAAGTCAAACTGGACTCTTCCCCCACCCCTCAGTTACTAAATTTGCCTTTAACTGTTGTTAATTTTGGAATCAAAGTATGAAAATCTGCACAATGCAATGTTTACAAGACTGGTTGACCGAGGAGGCATCTGCTACGGAGTTGTAACGCGGATACGAGAATTAAAGAGAACAGTGTGCTTGTGTCCCACTGCAAAGTTCAGCTGTCACATCTGGTGTTCATCACATTAAAAGCAATAAATCGGTAGTGGTAACCTACTTTACTAATCAGTAAACTGGATGACACAAATTATTGTTTTAAGGTAATATTTACATTTGTATTTTCGACACCACCAGTTAACTCCTTGACTATAAATTCGATATTAAAAACATGACATTTATCCCTCAAATAGTTTCAGAACTGTTGAGAAGTGAGTTGACTTTGTCCTAATGACTGTTAACTATTAAGGAGTGTAGCATGTGTAGAGAGCGATACAGTTTTCTGTTTTCCAACAAGATGAACTGCAAGCTTTCTCTGACTTCTTTACTTGACATAGTCTGGGACCTCTCAGGGAGTAAGTTTTGAAGAATAGTAACGGCCTGTGAGAACAAACAGGAGTAAGGTCATTGTTAAGTCACCGTTATTGGTGTGTTTCCCTCTGGTGAAGCCTGGAGAAATGGAGCTAAGCTGCCTTGAGCAGCCGACCATGTCTGAGAATTTGGTAACAGTCACCCTCGGTGTGGTGGGTGTCACTCCAGCTGTTACTCGCTTCTAGCTCAGTTCCGATGCTTCTGAGCTTTACTTCTTCCTATGTAAGTCACTGCAGATCCACCAGGATGTTTGATGATTCTTTTTATTTAGAATTAGATGACAGTGCCAATTATGATATCCTTATTATTTGAGGATTAATCTTCCGACTTACAGGAGCATTATAGTTGAGTGTAATCTTTGGCTCAGTACCCACTTCAATTTGTAGCAAATATTTGGAAAGTGGGTGTTTGGGGTTGGGAATGCAGGTCTCAGTTTGAGTAAGGAAATCATGCTGAGCTGCTGCAGGGGTCACAGCTGTGACCTCAGCTCCATCTGCCTTTTCAGCCAGTGAGGCTGACTTAGGTGATGGGGCGCCCAGTACTTGTGGAAATGGACTGGAATCGTTGAATCATATTCCTGTAATGTCAATCTTCCTGGTTCCCAGAATAAAAGTCTTTTTGTGCTTTTGATATAAAAATATATACTCTATAATAAAATGTTTGACTAATTTATATGGTAGTGCTCACTGGGCTTGTAATTTTTTTAATCAGTGACCTAATCATGGAAGATTTTTTTGTTTCTGTTGTATTTTGATGTTGTATTCTCTTCTTTTTTCTTCTTGTCTGAGCATGGTCTCAGCTACCCTCTTCACACCAAACGGACAGACAGACAGAACGAATCCAAGTGCTACCGGGCTGACAGGTTTCCACGTCGACTTCACTTCTGCCCGCCCACACTTGTCTGCCTCTCTGTGTTCAGTCAAATGGTTGTGACTTTCATTTCTGCCTTCTATAATTTAAACTCTTAATGCCCAAAACAGGTGACAAAACAGTAATAACAAAGTGAGTATATAGTTAAAGTTTATTCTGGATTTGTTTTTTAAGACAAAAATTGGTTAAGAAAAAAAAAACTTTTCACATTTGACTAGAATTTTTTTTTTCCCAAAGGAAAAAAGTGTGATTGGTTTGTTTGGGGGAACCACCAATGAGTGTCATAATTTTCACTTAAGGATGGTAACTTAGTCATTGGCAGGTCTTTAGTATTACAGCAGTATATTGGGCTGGGTGTGGTAGCACATGCCTTTAATCCCAGCACTTGGGAGGCAGAGGGGAGTGGATCTCTGAGTTAGAGGACAGTCTAGTCTACATAGAGAGTCCCTGTCTCAAAAAAAAAAAAACCAAAACAAAATGACAGTATTTTTGAGTCCTTTTATTTCCTTCACTTTGAAAATGTCCTTAGTATTGAGAGCTGGCTATCTCTTACCAAAATAATTGGTACAAATTTTTACAAAAAATACAAATTCCTCTCTTGTTTTCTTAAGTAGTAGTAAAGAATAGTAATATTTAGCAAATAGATAATTCATATTTAGGTTAGAAAATTTTTCCCTAATCTATGGAATCTATGTTCAAACTGAGCAGCAGAAAAATACTTGACATCAAAATAATCAACAAAGACTATTGTTTTACTTAGTAAATTTTATGTGTTATTTAATAAAATATTTTAATGAAACATCTGTGACTTAAGATGTCACAGGGTGCATGAAGCCCTCGATTGTATCCCCAGTGCCACATAAACTTAGGATATAATTTCTCTTCAGAAATATTAGGCTTTTTTCAGACTAGCATTCATATTATTTTAAAGTGAGTAAAGGCGGTTAAAATGGCTCACTTGAGTAAAAGATTTTGCTGCAAAGCCCGAGTACCTGAGTTGAGTATCTGGGACTAAATGGTGGCAGGAGAACCAACTCCTTAAGTTCATCAGACCGTCATACATGGACAGAAGAACACATACGCACACAATTACTGTAAATTTTAAGTTTATTTTTAAAATTTTTAAGTGAATTAACATGCTTCCCAATGAGCACACATATCTCCATTACTAAGTGGTTTTCATGACAGTATAGAAGTATAGGCAAGGTGATTCTCAAGTTAATCCTGGGGTATTTCAGAGAAAAACAAAAACCACCTTACTATTCTCAGAACAAGTCAGATTTCAGTTCTTAAATTGATGTGGAAATGGTGGTGCTTGTCCGAGTTGGGTTTCCCATTCCCATTTCCCAGCATACCATTCATTTAGCCAGAAGAGCCTTAGATCCTGCAGCCTGCAGTACCCACATGCGTGGGGATGTTTGTACTATTTCATAGGTTGTCCAGGAAGCTGATTCACCTGGTATGGGTTTGCGACACTTGGAATCCCTTGGGGAAATAGGAAGCTGCTGGGCCAATCTACACTTGGCATGACATGACACTATTTGATGCTGTACATAGAAAAACTTACGGTTTTTAGAGACCTTTAAAAACTGGGGCTAGGGGGGCTGGAGAGATGGCTCAGTGGTTAAGAGCACTGCCCGCTCTTCCAAAGGTCCTGAGTTCAATTCCCAGCAACCACATGGTGGCTCACAACCATCTGTAGTGAGATCTGGTGCCTTCTTCTGGACTGTAGGCATACATGCAGACAGAATACTGAGAATACTGTATACATAATAAATAAAAAAAAAAAAAACTGGGGCTAGAGGGGTGAGTTTTTGGTTAAGAGCACTTGCTTTTGCAAAGGGCCAGTTTGACTTCCAACACCCATGTCTGGCGCTCCACAAGCTCCTGTGACTCCAGTTCAGGAAGATCTGACATCCTCTTGTAGCCTCTGCAGGTACCCGCACACATATGCACATACACACTAAATGAAATCTTTAAGAAAATATTGCAGGAGAATGCCACAGATTCAGAAACCTTACTGGCTTTTTACCAGTGCTTTTGAGCCCAGTTAGACTATTCTGTTAAAAAAAGCCTGGGTTAAAACAGGTCTCGCTGAACATAACGGACAATGAGGACTACTGAGACCGCAAGAACAATGGCAATGGGTTTTTGATCCTACTGTACCTATTGGTTTCGTGGGAGCCTAGGCAGTTTCGTGGATGCTCACCTTACTAGACCTGGATGGAGGTGGGTGGTCCTTGGACTTCCCACAGGGCAGGGAACCCTGATTGCTCTTTGGGCTGACGAGGGAGNNNNCCCTGATTGCTCTTTAGGCTGACGAGGGAGGGGGACTTGATTGGGGGAGCAGGAGGGAAAGGGGAGGCGGTGATGGGGAAGAGACAGAAATCTTTAATAAATAAATAAATTAAAAAAAAAGGAAAAGGAAAAAAAAAACGGACTCACTGAACATAGTGGATAATGAGGACTGCTGAGAAGTCAAGAACAATGGCACTGGGTCTTGATCCTATTGCACGTACTAGCCTATGCTGTTTGGATGTTCACCCTACTATACCTGGAAGGAGGTGGGAGGTCCTTGGACTCCCCACAGGCCAGAGAATCCTGACTGCTCTTCGGGCTGATGAGAGGGGGAGTTGATTGGGGGAGGGGGAGGGAAATGGGAAACGGTGACAGGGAGGAGACAGAAATCTTTAATAAAAGAAACTCATCTTAAAAAAAATTAATCCTAACTTACAGATTGAAAATCTTTAGGTGCCAGCTCTAGTTATTAATGAAGAGATTCTAAGAACGAGAAGACACAGTGCTCTTGCCCAGGGCATTCAGCTCCATGCCTGTTCCATGTGGCACAAAAGTAGAAGCTCCTGCACTGGACATCACAGCATTTTTAGCAGGATGTATTCAGTAATGATTTTTTTCTTTTTATGTGTATGGGTGTTTACCTGTATGTATGTTTGTGCAATGTGTGTGTGTGTGATGCCCTTGCAGGCCAGAAGAGGGCATTGGATGCCCTGGAACTGGAGTTATATGATCTGCCATGTGGATGCTGGGAATCAAACTCAGGTCCTCTGGTAGAGTAGCCATTGTACCTAACTGCTGAGCCATTTGTCCAGCCCCAGCAATGATAGCTTTATCAGTTGTCTGACATTAACCTATCCAGCAGAAAACTGGTCTTTGCCTGTTCCAATAGAAGCCACACGGTTCCCAAATGGATGTACATACAAAATCTTGGTTGTTCTGGTCAAAGGAAGAAAAAGTTTGTCACTTCATGTTCTCCAACCTCTTGACCTCAGCATCTCCAGTCATGGAAACTAGTGGGACTGTATTAATACAGCAGGAGATAATGTCATAAAATGCATTGTGTGAAGACTTTATTAGAGAGAAGCCAGTGAGAAGCCACAGCAGCAGACAGGAGAGGGGTTGGGGGCCCGAGCAGCCAAGGGCAACACCACAGTGCTGAAATCACCACGTGTAACAGGACCTGCTGATCATTCCCAAGTTAAGGAAGTTCACAACATTGTTAGAACCCAGTTAACCAACATTCAGATAAGGCATATAGAAACACAAAAGACAAGATGTTCGTTGTAATCCTATTTAAAGGTGTGTCCATTTTGAAAATTCAACAATGAAATTTAGAAATCAAAAGATCCCTTCCCCACTCCCAGATGTATAAGAACCACTGGTGGCATTTGTACTTAAGTTTCTGAAATAAAATAGGCCAAAGTTTCAAAGGCTTGTACAAGGGCTTGATTCTTTGATTTAGCACCAAGTAAAATACAGAGTACATCTTTCTCGAAGGTAGAGTTGTTTTTTCTTCCATTTCTCATATCTTCTTACATTTGGCCACAATATTAAGGACATGTCCTTGCCCCACTAAGGAATCTAAAGTGGCTGAAGTTTTAAAATGGTTGGTTTCTCAGGCTTGGCTTAGTGGTATATACCTGTAATTTAAGTACTCAGGAGGTTGAAACAGGATCATGAACATGAGGCCGGCTTGGACTACATCATTTCAAGTTAGCCTGTGCTACATAGTGAGACCCTGTCTCAAAAAGTAAGGGCTGGGGTCAGGTGTCCATACCTTTAATCCCAACACTTGGAAGGCAGAGGCAGGCGGATCTCTGTGAGTTTGAAGCCAGCCTTGTCTACATAGTTCTGCGACAGCCAGAACTACATAATGAGATCCTGTCTCAAAAAAAAAAAAAAAAAAAAAGACTAAGGGCTGGAGATGCGGCAGTGGCAAGGTGCTCGCCCAGCACACAAGGCTGAGTTGGAGCCACAGTGCTGCAGGTGGAAGAGGAGGTTGCTTAGATGGAACCAGAAGTGTTCCCAGGGAAGTCGGGTGACAACTGGTAGCACTTGAGAGGCTGAGCCATGAGGCTCTTGAAATCAAGGACTTTGATAGCCATATACACGTCCTTGAGGGAACTCAGTTACGGTGCCTTTGAACCCCTGCTGCAAATGCCTTTTGTTGCTGTATGTGTTGGCTAGCTAGTTGATTGGTCTTTCTGTCAAGGGGCTGTCCCAGCATACGATCTACTTAAGTGGCAAACTGCCATGGGTGTTCTCTTACCCCTCTCTCTATATCACTGCTCATCCAGGCAGACAGTCCATTTGTATGAAAGAAAGAAACCAACAGGTAGGTCCTGAGTGACGTGTGAGATTGTCGCTTGCCAGTGCTCCTTCGAGAACTTCAACACATATCCCTCGGTACATACAAGTTTGGAAAAGAAAACAAGCCATATCAAAGTCATGTTCTTAACTGCCATGGCTGCTTCTGTACAGCAAATTGGAGGACACTGCAGGGTAACCTATGCCCTTGCTTTTCCTGCAAAGGCAGCAGAGTTTGCATCTGGCAACATGTGTAAATAAAGACAGATGCTTTCTTTCTGGAATCTATAGACAGTCCCCCCAAACACCACATCCCATGGGGCTAGAAGACATTGGGGGGGGGGTTGGCTTATGCAAAAGCCTTTAATGAGATATTTATCTGCCTCAAGTGATTTGTAAATTTTTAAACTTTTCCAGAAAAACATGAAAATGATCAGCCACTGACTTAACAGGGGGCGGACAATTACCAGTTGCTCTTTTTTGATTTTCTTTTTTGAGTTTCAGCATCTCTGATGTTTTCTAATTGCACATCCACAGAAGACAACTAGATTAAACACACGAGGTTATTTTAACAGATCAGTCTTAGTGTCTGACTCATTTGGCACAGCCTTAGTAACATCCAAAAGAAAGCCATTAGGAGTAAGTCATAATTTTCAGAGAAGTCTTAGGAAAAGAGCTTCGAAAAACAGGCCAGGCGAGGAGGCCCTGCTTCCCCTGCTAATTAACGCCCTCCTCAGGGAGTAACTGAGGCTTTCTGGGTAGTTTCTGGAACTTTCGTCTGTAGGAAAGAATATACATGGGGCCAGATCTTGTTGGTTTCCGTTCCAGAGAATGTTTCCAGGACCCCCTTTTTCCTAAAGATGAAAAACAAAATAAATAGGTAGGTAGATAGGTAATGAGCCTTTTCAGAGGAATTTGTAAAATTCATGTGAGTTTAGAAGTCTGTGAGGTTAGGTTCTAGTTTGGGTTTTGTCCTCTGGCATAAAGGAAGGGGCTCTTTAAAGAGATGTCAGCCGTCAGACTGAGCCTGGATGGCTGGGTAAGCCTACACTTGGGCTTCACTGTTGTGAAGCCCAGACTACCCTACTTACAGATGCCTTCTGGGAAGGGACTCGGGCCTCAGTCCTCGGGTTGGCAGGTTAGAAACGGACACCATCCCAGCATTCAGTACCGCTTTGCCCACTGAAGTCTGAAACTTTTCTAACAGTCCTCTCTCCTTTCTGCCAAGTTCCTTTCCCTTCTAGTCTACCTTTCTGAATCTTCCTTGCAGGTTTATCCCTGCAGGTTGTCTGGCTTGTCATGATGACACACCAGCCATCGAAGAGTGACTTTACTCCAATGTTGAGGAGGGGAGAGAGAGGATGAAGTGTGGGCTCAGAATCCTGGGGTTTGCTTCTCACACCACGCGGACCACCGTAAGCTTCTGAACTCCCAGACCCACACACGTTTCTTGGGTGTGCACATTGGTTTGCACCCCAGAGCAGATATATAACTTGATCTGTTACTTTCCAGAAACAGCTGCTATAGCTCTGCAGCTGACCTCACTAGGCTGTCGCTGGGACGAAATGACCCCTTGTTGACAACTCACATTTGTTGTGGTTAACTTAAATAACGGCAGCTGTTTTCTGGGTGAAAGCGTCTGCTACGAAGACACTGATGCAAAGGGAGTATGTGCACAGGAGAAGCCCTTAAGCATCTATATCCTTGGGCAGGTAGAGCACTCAGGAGAGCAAGCTTTGGACGGGAAAGCTTCCTGGAGACACGTCAGTATCAGCTGCGGTGCCAGGAGTGACGTTATTACTGGGGCAGAACTACAGGAACCCATTCCTCCTACGCTGTACTGTACGTGAACATTTGCCATTGTAATTTCTCTGTAATGAGATGGTTCTGGCTACAAAAATCAGTCTTCCGAAGAGTAAGAACACCGCGTTTCTAGGCAGATGAGCATTCCCCGGGAATAAAGAGCGTGTAAGCCATAAGTCCACGCTTTGATCTTAGGCGGAAAAGCGTGAATTTATGTCAAGAAGCATTAGGAGCCCAGGAAGAAAGACCTCCAAATCACTAATTTCTGTAGCGTTCCCCAACCTCCACCCTGTATCAGAACTAATCCTTCTAGGCATTCCTCCACCCGGCCTCTTGGGAGTTTTACTGTCTGCCCAGGCACAAGGCCTTCTTTCTCTATTGTGAGTCCTGCGGACAGACAGTCAAGAGCTCATACTCAGTACTCGTGAGATTGCTCCCACACCCTCTCTTTAACAAGGCATGGCTGAAGCCAATTGCCATCAATCATACGAATTTAGCTGGGGTGGGAGGGGGCGATGGTTCTTTTCTGCTGAGTTAGCAGAGCTGGCAGGAGCTGAGCTAAAGTCAGAAGACACTGCGGCCACCTGGACTGAAGCCAGCACAGAAAATGGAGCTGGAAGGGCCGAGTTTTGATGACATTCCTTAAGCCTCTGGGCCGGCCATCTGTACTGGGACTTCTTGAGTATAGGACTAACCCCCCCCCACACACACACCCTGGTTTGCTTAAGCCAGGGTGGATGATATCTGATGATAAGCCGCGTTGTATCTCATTGCACAATACATGGTGTTTGCACACTTTTCCTGTCTTTCCAATCAAGGTGACTTTCTAGAAGGCTTGTAGGAACTGGGTCTAATTGTCGGCTTAGACAAGGGCCGGGCACAGTGCCAGCAGAGTCCTCAACAGTGACTGACTCCATAGCTGAGGACCACACTAAGCCTCTGCAGCAATTCTCTCGCTCCAGTCCCCTTTATGAGAATTCTATAAAGCCGGTATTTAACACTGACTGACCGTAAACATGGAGTCAGTGGCGCAGAGGAGAAATGCCTTACCAGGGTAATAGAGCCAGGCTCAGTATACAAACACAAGCTTAAAGTAATGGCTGCTGTAAAAAGGGAATCGCCAACTCTCGTAATTTCGCCCTCCGGAAATTAATTATCAGAAATCCCGAGACTGGTTCCGGTTTCCCTGCACACTTATGTAGCACTAATGTAGCAGCAGTGGCCACCACAGTAGCAGCTGATGCATGTCCAGCGCTTCCTGTGCGTCCGGGACAGTGTGATGAGGTCTGCATGTTAACTCCTTTTCAAGCCTCTAACCTCATCCACGTTTTGCGGAAGAGAAACCAGGACTTTAAGCGAGAGGTGAGGGCCATGTTAACTGAATAGCGAGCTGGGCTTTGAACTTGGGCCTTCTGACTCTGGGACATGTACTGCTTTGGCCCCGATCATTCACAGGACGCAGTGAAAGCAAAGAGCAGCACTCATCCCCGGAAGACGGAAGGAAGGGCTGAGGAAGGAAGCCAGACTGCTTCTTGGCCTGCGACGGGTAATTCTCATATTCCGTGTATGATACTGACTCGAAGAACACATAAAAACGTGTGAGAGGGAGCTTTCAAATACTGTTGACCACATATGATTCTGACAGTTGGCGGTCATTTGATATGCTATGCTTAAGTGGCCTCTCTTGGCACACTTGGTGGGCTCTCCAGGGCTCATTGCCCCAGCACTGGTTCCTGCCCTCCACTACCCGGCAGAATGTGGACTGAAAGGAGCCTGCAAACCTTGGATGTGGACTAGCCTGTGTCAGCCCTCCAGAGCCCAATTACTGATTCTGGAGCTGGCAGTAACCCAGGCTTCCCACAGTAAGGATGAAGTTTCCTGACCAGGGGCTGTAGTGTTTCATCTGAGTGATGCTTGGAGCTTTGGTTCACTAAATAAAGGTTTGCTCCTCAGCCTTTCGGGAAAGAGGAAGGCGTGGCCTTTCTGGCAAATACCAGCAACCATGCAGGAGGGACAAAGCAAAGTCAGAACACAGAAGCCGGAGAAACTAAGAGAAGGGCAAAACAGAGGAAAGCTGGAGGCTGAGGCCCCGCCTACTTTGTTTCAACCGCCTAGAAATCTCTTCATTGCTCAAGCCAGCTGGAATTGAGGCTTCTGGGAGCTTAATATTGCAGCTGTAACATATGGAAAATCAAAGCTGATTGTACGAGAGAAGCTGAGAAAAGCAGGAACTCACTGGTAATACTGCAGGACTGGCTCTGTCTGGGCTTCATACGCCTTTAGTCTCTTGATCACCGTCTCTGGTTTGTCGTCCTCACGCTGAATCAGAGGCTCTCCTGTCAGGTCATCGATGCCCTAAGACAGCGTTGGAAGGACGTCAGCTCAGCAATATGGTATCTCTGAGCAGACAGCCTCTGTATTCTAGCACCAATCACAAAAATGGGCTAACATTTTAGTAAACTGGATCCAAACTAGGGCAGAAGCCCTAGTGCAGCTGTGAGAAGCCCTAGGGTGCTGTACGGTTTGGATGTGGAAGCCCCGCCTCTCTATCCTCAGGCCCAGGTCCTCAAGTCTTGGTTCCCAGGTGTGGGCTACTGGGAGGTGGGAGAAATTCCAGCTGTAAGCCAGCGTTGCAAATCCCCACTGCCTCTGCCCTTCACTCACACCCTGGCACGGAGTAAGAAGATCAATAGTTTTTTTTCGGTGTCAGGTTTCTCATTGCTGTAACTAACACCTGAGAAAAACAAGTGGAAGGGACGAGCTGTTTATTTGGGCACATAGTTTCCAGAGGGTTCAGATCTTCACTGCTCGGACTTCAGAATATCACGGTGTGTGTGCGCACGCGCGTGTGTCTGTGTGTCTGTGTGTCTGTGTTTTTGTGACTATGTGTGTATGTCTGCATATAAGTGTGTGTGTGTATATGTCTCTGTGTCTATATGTGTCTGCATATACATGTGTGCATGTGTGTGTGTCTGTGTTTCTGTATGTCTATATGTGTATGTGGGGGGTGTGGGTGTGTATGTGGCTTCCTTCATAGGATGCACAAGAAGCAGAGAGGGGGAAGGGACACAGATCAGGCATGATCTGCGAGGCACTGCCCCAGTGACCTACTTCTTCCGAGTGTGCTCCACCTCAAAACTTACACCACCAGTTGGGGACCAAGCAGTCAGCACAGTGAGCCCATAGGGGACATTTCATGGTTAAAGTACAGGACTTCTAAGTGGGTAGCCGATCCGCTGCAGAGGAATGCGTCTTTACTACCAGGCTTGAGTGGAGTAGACTCATCTAGTAATACCCTGCAGTAGTCCTGGTCCAGGTTTACAGAGCCATGCCTGCCAGGGTAGGAGAGCTCGGGGGGACATTCGGCTGTGTGTCAGCCCCCACTGCAGTTACTCACCACAGTTTTGGGAGGGTTGAATTCAATGTTGTACACTCGGCCACTGGCAGGATGAATCCAGCGAGCAGTGAGGCGTTGTTTAATGACCTCAAAGGGCACGTTGAGGTTGATCACTGTGTCTATCTGGTAAGCTTTATCCAGGGCTTCTGCCTGTGGAAGCGTCCTTGGAAAACCTTTAGGTGAGGAGGGAGGAGGAGAAGAAGAAAAAAAAAAAACACTAGTTTTAGGCAAACTGAATCCAAGGAATGAAACCAGGCAGGTAGGTGGGCCAGAACTGTAACACAACTGTGATTGAATTTTGTGGTGTCTGCTTGACTGTAGCGTGCACGTTCTGAGTGTGCCTGTGATGGTGTTTCTGTGTAACATGGCACATTGTCCTTCCGGGGTGGGTAAGCCTTGGTGAAACAGCTGGAAGCCGGTGCAGAGAAAAGTAATGGAGAACTGGCTGCCTGCCACCGTGCTTACCAGCGACACTGGATCCGTCAGGTGTGACGGCACGCCTGTCATCCCAGCTCTTGGGGAGTGGAGGCAGGAGGATCTGGAGTTCAAAGTCTTGGCTACATGGACTCTGTCTTAAAAGTAAACAAGGGACTGGAGAGGTGGCTCAGTGGTTTAAAGCACTTGCTGCTGTTGTGCAGGACCCAGGTTCAGTCCCCAGCACCCACATGGTAGCTCAAAGCCATCCATGACTCCAGCCGTAGGGGTTTGAATTTTAGTCTCTGGCCTCCATGGGCACCAGGCATGCACATGGTACACATACATGACATGCAAGCAGAACACTCTCAAATGATCTTAAACGAAACAAGTGTAAGTCACCACGGTTCTCTAAACTAAACAGAAATTAAAAAAAGACAAAGCAAAAGACCTCCAAAAAAAAAAAAAAAACAGCCAAACACAAAGTACTCTCATCCAGTGGCTCACACCACCTTGTAACTCCAGCTCCAAAGAATCTGACAGCTTCAGGCTACCACCACCACCACACACACACACACACACACACACACACACACACACACACACTTTTAAAAATAAGACAGAAATGGAGAGAGGAAGGCTGAATTCAAGGCCAGCCTGGTCTACATAGTGAACTCCAAGCTAACCAGGGCTACACTGTGAGACTCTATCTTAAGAAAAAGGGGGGGGGGGGACTTATCTTCACTCAAAAATCTCAGAAAGCTGTGTTTGGAATATGACAGAAAGCAAAACAGAGGCACAAACCCTCACATGAAAAACAATTTTTGTAGTCTGAACATCCCTGTTGCAGAAATCTAGATCCAGTAATGAAAGTGTCCAGTTTGGGACTTAGTGTGTTCAGGAATGCTCAGCTGTAGTCTACACAGCTGAAAGTACAAAACTCTGAAATAGGAAACATGTGGCCTCAGGCATCTGAAAAACGGGATACGCAGCCAGTGCAACTAAAATAGTTTAAACAATGTGGTTCAAAAATACAGAGAAAGCAACCAGCACTGATTACTGAGTCCCAGAATAGACACGAGTACACTGGGGAATTTGAAATAGTATTCTGATCCCAAGTGGTTTACTTTACAATGTTATGACGAGGAACATTCTGTCCAGAACACATGGGGAAGCTAAAATTGATAGAAATAATAAATTTCCCAAAGGTGACAAAGGCTAAAATGCATATGCAATGATTTGCTAGAGCTAAAAACACATCTCGCTAATGCTGGGACATGGAAAATGTTGCTTATGACTTAGTCCTTCCTTACACTGCGATAAAATGACTGTTGAGGAACCTGGATCGAGGGAAAACAGCCTCCAAAGAAAGCTAATGGCGGGGCTGGAGAGATGGCTGCTCTTCCAGAGGTCCTGAGTTCAATTCCCAGCAACCATGTGGTGGCTCACAACCATCTGTAATGAGATCTGGTGCCCTCTTCTGGTGTGCAGGCATACATGCAGGCAGAATGCTGTATACATAATAAATCGTTTTTATAAAAAAGAAGAAGAAAGCTAATGGCAAAAAGTTCAACCCGTAACACTTTATAAAGCCCCAAGCTGGAAAAAAAAACAAGCATTTACTATAAAATTTGTAATGAAGAAAGTCATCCTGAGAGAAGCAATTGTAATATCTTTAATGAGACTAATAGAGTATAACGGCTCATTCCACGGAAGGCTCTGTTGGTCTCTGCTGTTGGCAGATCTGGCCCTCAGTACCAGCTGTAGCCAGGGCAGTCTTGGTGAGTAGCAGTCCATTTGTGGAACCCATGCATAACCTTCATTTCTGCCACCATGGCCACTTTATGTGTCACTGGGCAATGACAGGGAAGGTGTGGCAAAGAGGCTGACTGTCCACAGAATAGGTCATCCTATATATTAGGTTACTGAGCTCCTCCTCTGCCGAAGTCATCCCCTGATGAGCATTTACACGGGACACCAGTATCTTCACATCCTTCTCCCATTGGCGGAGATCTCTCTACATAATCTTCCCCAGTCGTCTTTCTCATCAATCTTCCAATCATGCTCTTTCCGGGCCCTGACCATCCAGCCAACCCATTGGCTACAGCCCATAAATCAGTGAACAGTCACATGTTTGGCCCACGCCTCCCAAATAAAATGTATGACCATGTGCACTGCCCTAAGTTCTGCGGGCTGTGATGATTTCCCTTTGGCAGTATCTTTCAGGGTTGTCCCAGAAACAGGTTGTAAGAAGTGGTGCCGGTATAATGTGCAGAACCATCAGGAAACCAGGTCCTAGTCTTCTCTTCCTCAGTCACCCAGTCACAGGGAGCACCACATGAGGCTGCAGGTGCATGCTTGGCAGAAGATGGCATTGTAATGGGAGTAGAAACCATAGGCAACGTCTCCATGTAACTTGCTTGTGCCTTTGGGACCTACTTAGACCTGGTCACATATATACCACTTCCATTTGACAATGGATCGCTGCTATGCACACCTTACTTTCTGACTTGCTGGGTCAGATAACACCCAGCTCACGGTGGGCAGTTCAGGTCAAATGTTCAATTTCCACTAAGGCCCAATAGCAGGCCAAGAGCTGTCTCTCAAAGGGAGAACAGTTGTCTGCAAATGATGGTAGAACCTTGCTCCAAAACCCAAAGGCATCTTCTGTGATTCATCTATCAGGGCACCTGCCAAAGGCTCCAAACAGCACCCATATCTGCCACCGACAGCTCAAGTACCATCAGTTCTGCTGGATCCTATGATAAACCAGCCTGCACAGCAGCCTAGACTTGTTGAAGAGCCTTCTCCTGCTCCAGGGCCCACATAAACCTAGCAGCTTTCTGAGTCACTTGGGATATGGGCCAGAGTAACACACCCATGTAGGGAATGTTCTGTCTCCTGAATCCAAATGGGCCCACTAAATGTTGTGCTTCGTTCTTGGTGGTGGGAGGGGCCAGGCGCAATAACTTATCCTTCACCTTAGAAGGAATATCTCTGCGTGCCCCGCACCACTGGACTCATAAGAATTCACTGAGGTAGAAGACCCTTGAATCTTGGTTGGATTTATTTCCCATCCCCTGGTATACACATATGTTACCAATGAGTTCAAAGTGGTTGCTACCTTCTGCTCACTTGGTCCAATCAGCATGTCATCAATATAGTGTACCTGTGTGATATTTTATGGAAGAGGCATCTGATCAAGATACCTTCTAAGTTATAATACAGGACTGGAGAGTTCATACACCCTCAAGGTAAAACTGTAAAGGTGGGTACTGCTGGCCTCAGCAAATGTCTTCTAGGAGCCCTTAGGAACAGATACCAGGAAAAAGGCATTTGCTAGATCAATAGCTGCAGACCGTGTACCAAATGTGTTGACCTGCTTAGGTAAGGACACCACATCTGGTACAACAGCTGCAGTTGGAGTCACTATTGACTGAGTTTTTGATAGTCCACTGTCATTCTCCACGCCCATCTGCCTTCTGCACTGGCCGGACAGAAGGGTTAAAGGGAGATGTGTTAGGAGCCTCCACCCCTGCATCCTTCAAGTCCCTGGTGGTGGCACTAATGTCTGCAGTTCCTCCAGGGATGTGACGCTGTTTTTGATTCACTATTTCCCCTGGCGGAGGCAACTCGAAAGACTTCGTTTACCCTTTCCAACCAGAATATTCCTCAGTCCACAGGTGGGAACCAGTGTGAGAATTCTGTTAACTTCTAAGTACGTGTGTCCCAGTTATATATTCTGGAACCGGGGAAAATAACTGCAGGATGAATTCAGGAACCCACTGGACCTACTGTTGAGTTGGACATCAATCAAAACTCCACTAATCACCTCACCTCCATAAGCCCCTTCTTTAACTGGAGGGCCACGTGTTATTTGGGATCTCCCCAAATCACCGTTAATTCAGAACCAGTATCCAATAGACCCTGGAATGCCTGACTGTTTCCTTTCTCCCAGTTAACCTTGTAACAGGCCTCAGGTCCCTTGGGGGGAAGAACTGGAGAAAGGCTAACAATAATACTCGTGTTTTGTCAAGGTCCTCTCTCAGGAGAACTTGGCCCATCCTTTCATTCGAGTGGCTCTGAGTCTGCAAACTGCCTCAAGTCTGGAAATTGGTTCATGGGCCAAGATTCCCTTTTGTCACAATCTAATGTAGATTTTTCATTCGCTTGAGAATTTTTCCACTTATACAGATCAAACAAAAAGGCAGTAGGCTTCTTATCTGTTTCATGCCTGGAAACATTGTGACTGATTAGCCAGTACCAAAGGTCCATATGAGTCGTGCCACCAGAAAAATCACTTTGCCTGTGCTGCCCATGAAGGTCAGGTCATCATGGGCATTGCTTTGCCTATGCTCCTCATTACGATAACTGCGATCACCTTACCTTTGGTGATTCAGTACTACCACCTGGCCCCTGCTACTCTGGGGCCCAACTAAACCCACTGCATTAATCCATCCACGAGAGAAGCAGCATCTCCAGCCCTAAGGTCTGGCACAAGGAAAGGGGTGAAACAAGGGTCTTCAAATGTGCTGGTGCCCCCTTACCATTTTGTGTCTTAGAGGATTAATAATGATGTATTCCGGGCCTTCCCATTGTGGATTAGGTTTTACACAGTGTACCCACTCTTAACACTGCAGTTTCCCTGAGCCCTAAAATCCGTTCATCAACACTAAGCCAAGGGACACCAAGCACCTCTAACTCCTTTCAGTAGGCCATCTTTTCAAACACTTCAGCCAACCTTTCAAACAAACTTTTAGGACCCTTTTCAACTGTGTGAGCTTCCATATTTAACCTAGAATCTCCACACAGAGGGCCTATATCAATAAATGCAGCCAGTTCCTTCCACCATTATCCCACACCCTTAAAATCCTTCTTCCATGCCTTTTACGCCTTTTACACAGGCTGCCAGCAGAAGGCATGGCCCAGATTAAAGGTGGATCTTCCAACCTCAAAAGATCTGGTGGGTCTTCCCACATTAAATGATTTAAGGGAGAAAAAAATCCTTCCCAGGTGTACACAGCTGCTTGGGTTTCAGCTAATTCCAAATGTAGTCAAGCTGACAACCAAGAACAGCCACCACAGCGCGTATCCCTGTGTGGATGCTACAGTTTGGATAATAAGTTGTATGCCTCAAAAGCTTATGTGTTGAAGTCTTGGTCCCCAGCCGGCTGACCCAATCACTGGGAGATGGCTGTGCACCACCGATGATAGGTACAGCCAATGACGCCGTGAAGAGAGCCTCAATTCAGTCACGCTTTCCACACGGCCCCAAAACAGCATGGCCAGCAGCATGGACCGAAACCTCCGAAACCAGAAGCCCAAATAAATGTGGACTTTTTTATTATTATTATTACTGGAGAGAATGCCTGTTTGAACTAAAGAATGTAGTTGCTGTGTGTGTGTAGTAGGGTGATCACTGAGGACTCTGTTCCTCTTACACATTTTTAATCTGCTTTAGTTTTTGTAAAGGAAAAGGCATCGCTACAGGACAACAGTAAAGAAATAAAAACAAATATTCCACATCCCAAGCCCTTCTGCTGTTGCCCTGTCTTGAGCCTAATCCCAAGATGTGCTCCACTGACGGCCACGCGCAGGTCTCTTGGGAAATGTGCCACTTCCCTGTGCGGGGCAACATCTACGCTCAACCTTCACGTGCCCCATTCCGTCAGCTAAAGAGACCCGCATAGGCTGTCTGTCGCCAGGACTTCTAAATCCCAGCATCTCACAGAAGCAAGGCGTCGTGAAACCTGGGAATAAAACGTTGACTCAAGTGTCCATATTTCCTGTCAGGAAGCAAGCATCCGCCTGCTCTGGGCTCTCCACTCACAGCAACGCAGAATCTGGGCTCATCCAAACTTTTTTACAAGAAGATATACTGTCCACGAAGGCAAGGATTTTGTTCTTGTTTAGGTTCGGTGCCCAGAACAGCTTTGTGTACCTAGAAGGCACTCAGTCAACATTTATGTCATTAATAAATATACGCAGCCTGATATACACAGCCACTGGTCTTCAGCATGGTGGCTACACACCAAAGCCCTTCTATACATGTTTCAAAAAAAATTTAAGTCCTCAAGATTCTGTGCACATATTGGCAGACTTATAAGCAAGCGTAAGTTGTTTTTTTTTTTTTCCTTGATACTAACTCTAATAAACCAGAGTAAGGAATTCTACCCTGCCTCTTCCTTTGTTCATTCTCTACCTCACCTTTCTGAATCTTCTAGAACCTTTTTACAGTTAGGGATTAGGATACTTTCTCTGGCTGCTAGCAAGCCAGGCGAAGACAAGCCGGGCGACGGCAAGCTGGGCTGCAGGGCTCAGTGAGCAGCACTGAGGACTTGGGTGTGAAGGTGGAGGACGGGGCTAAGTAGAAGAGAGGTTAGCATATCCCTTCCAAGACGGCAATTAGAACTTGGATCTTGAAGGCAAGTGTCCCATGTTTAAAGGCCTGTCTTGTGTGTCGTGTCCTTCTTACAAGTAAGCAGAGTATACAAGCCACCCTGCCCTGAGACTCTGCCTGGGTTCTGGCTGGGAAAAGTCTACAGTGTAATGGAAGTCACTCTTCAGTCTAACTGGCGTTCTTGCAGATCCTTAGCACAAAATATTCTCAGCTGGGTGTGGTGCTGCAGGCCTGGAATTGTGAGGCAGGGGGTTCACAGTTCAAGGCCAGCCTGGGGTGTGTTGTAAGACCTTGTCTCAAAAAGCCAAACAACAGAAGTTTAAAAAGTCAAAGGATATTCTTTAGTGTGGGGAAGGAACTAAAGTTGCATCGAAAGCAGACTAGAAACCATGCTGCCCACACCCGCTTTCCTTTCAAATAAAAAACCAGACACCTGAGCTTGGGATATAGCTCAGCTGGTAGCATACCGGCCTAGCATGCCGGCAGCCCTGAGTTTGATCATCCTTGACCACCCATTCCTGTAACCCTAGCAACTGGGAGGCAAAGACAAGAGGATCAAAAGTTGTAGCTCATAGAAAACTGGAGGCCAGTAAGGGATACATAAGACTTTGTCCCAAAACAAGTTAATCAGTTCACTAATTAAATTTTAAAATTAGACTCAAAGGTGACTGACTGCCCTCCTGATGATGGTCCCTAGTCCCAGATGCTCATTCTGCCGGAACTCATTACTTCAGGGGGCAGAGATACTCTGGGCCCTGAGTATTTGCACTTACCGTCCAACAGCCAGCTACACTGGGTGAGGTTTTTCAGCTCGTGAAGGGCCAGCCGTGTCATGACATCATCCGGGATGAGCTTCCCTTGGTCAATGAAAGTCTTGGCCAACACACCAATTTCTACGGCAGAGGGAAAAGGCGGTAAGTGTATTTGCTTTATCCTATTCCAGATCTCAGGAATTCGTTTTCTACAGGATACTTCCAGACGTCAGGCCCGTAAGACAGTGCATTATCAACAGCTTCTCTGCTACAAGCAGAGGTGATACTTTACACATTGGCACACACTTGTAGTACCAACAGGAAGGAGGATGCCGAGTTCAAGGCCAGCCCCAAGTACTTACGCGGGCTCAAAGCCAGTTTGTGCTACAGAGTGCCCTGTCTAAAAACAAGCAACCAAAGGGAAGCGAAGCCACTGAGACTTCCCCAAGTTCAGCCCCAACCTAGTCTATCAGAGGATGGTAGCTCAGTCAGTAAATGTTCCTTTGGAAGTGTGAGGACCTCAGTTCAGTCACCAGAATGTGCACAAGACACAAGCTGCTGTGGGCTTGGAATATGGCAGGGAGGTAGCAGAAACAGGCGGCTCCCTGGGTCTGCCGGCCAGAGAGCCTACGGTACTTGGCAGGTTCCAGGCTAGTGAGAGGCCTTGTCCCACAGAAAAAGGTGGATAATACCTAACCCATGAATTCTAACCAAGAGATTATCATTACTAAACAAGCTGCCATTGGACAAGCAAACCACCAAGTTTACAATGTCCAGGAGAAGACCTGGGTTCTGCGAGAGTGTTTGCCAAACTCATTAAAGTAGTTTTGGAGGAGCTGGAGGTGTGGATCTGCTGTTCAGAGCACCTGCTGCTCTTTCAGAGTAGTGAGTTTTGTTCCCAGCACCCACACTGAGTGGCAGAAAGAAAAAAAAAACCCTCTAACTCCAGCTCCAGGGGATTCAACGCCCTCTTCTGGCCCCCATTAGCACTGCACCAGCATGTACATACACACACACACACACACACACACACACTCTAATAAAAACAAAAGAATGTGTAAAAGTAACTAAATAAAATAGCAGTTGGAAAGTCCCATGTACTTAATATATGTAGACTTCATTTGTTTCTTTTGACCACTTCTTTTTTAAAAATGATGCGTGAGGGTGTTTTTGTCTACATATATGTCTGGTTCCCAAAAAGGCCAGAAGAAGGCATCAGATCCCCTGGGAGTGGAGTTAAAGATGGTTGTGAGCTGCCATGTGGGTGCTGGGAATCAAACCTGGTCCTCTGGTACACAGCAGTTCTCTTACCGACTGAGCCGTCTCTCCAGCCCCTGAACAGTCTTTTAATTCTTCTTCTACCCTACAGAGTTAAAACTTTCAGGTACTGAATATTTCACAAGAACTACATTTTAAAACAAAAACATTGGCCGGGCGGTGGTGGCGCACGCCTTTAATCCCAGCACTGGGGAGGCAGAGGCAGGCGGATCTCTGTGAGTTCGAGGCCAGCCCGGTCTACAAGAGCTAGTTCCAGGACAGGAACCAAAAAGCTACAGAGAAACCCTGTCTCGAAAAATAAAAAAAAAAAAAAAAAAAAACATTGAACACCAAAATCTCCCTCAGCCATCGTCTCTCCCTCCAGCTACTCTGTGCCCTCGCCCCTCTCCAGCAAAACAGCTTGAAAGGCTTCTTCTTCCAGACCTGTCTCCTGCTCCCTCCCTCCTCATCGTGGGACAGAATTTCAGGCCAGTTCCACAGGTCTGGCAGGGGCACATCGCTTGCCTAGCATGCACGTGGTCCTTGCTGTCTGCCTTCACCCTTCCTCTTCCCTTCCCCACTTGCCCTTTTCCCTCCGGGCACACCCCTACTTTCCGGGCACACCCCTACTTTCCGGGCACACCCCTACTTTCCGGGCACACCCCTACTTTCCGGGCACACCCCTACTTTCCGGGCACACCCCTACTGGGAGACCTCCTAGCTTCGGCAGAAGCTTCTTGCTCCTTCTTTTGATAGATCATCGGACTCAGGTTTTGGATGTGGCTTACCAAAATAAGCGAATCAGAAGATAGAGATATGTGTTAGGGTGGCCAGACACTCATGAGCCAGAACTCGTTATAAAGTCTGGTGCCCAGAGAAACACTGTTGAGAGGTGACTCTTTGAGAGGCATTTGGGTCCGGAGTCCACCCTCATGAAGAGATGACGATGCTCTGGGAGTGGGTCCTGGGCAAGTGCTCACTGTGGTTTCCCTCTTCTTCAAGCACCCACTCGCTCTTCCGCTCACCTGCATGGGATATCCCAACACAGCCCTTGCCAGCTGCAGCCACCAGATCTTGGCACCTCCGATCCCAGTAACTGAAGCCACCTGACTAATCCTGCTATGGACTGAGCAGTCCCAAGTCCATATACTAAAACCCTAACCTAAACCCTACTGTGACTATATTTACACCGTATTTACTTTTAAGATGGTAATTGAGGTTGAATGAGGTCATAGGGGTTGGGCCTCACTCTGATATAAAGTGTAAACACTGAGGGGGAGACGGCGGGAATGCCTGGGCACAGAAGAAAGGCCACAAAGTGAGAAGGTGGCTGGTTACCTGCCAGAACGGCAAGCCACACCGGAAACCAGCCCTTCTAGGGTCTTGATCTTGGACCTCTAGGCTCCAAGAACAGTTCTGCCATCTGAGCCACCAGTCTGTGGTGTGCTATTACGGCAGCGTCTATGACTAATACACACATCTGTGTGCCCGCCTGACCCCAAACCCACACCCTGGCTGTGAGCACCTTCAGTGACATAAATCCCCACACTCCTAATGGACCCGCAGCTCTCTGGGTAGATGGATCGGCATGTGGGCACAGACGAGGGTGAGGATTCTTCCGAGTTCCTAGCTATGGTGTTTTATTAAATAATTAATCTATGAATTCAGGCAGGGGAACAAATGAGAACAAAATACAACAACACTTATGCATGAGAGCATCAACAAAAATGAAAAAAAAAATTGAGCAGTTTATAATCCTAAACCAATGTCTCTTTTTTTAAGATTGCTCTGAATTACTTAGATACAAAATAATGAAGAAAAGAAAGCTAATTCAAATTATCGACTAAACAAAACGTAAAACATCCATATAATACAATAAAAAGTAACCAAGTCCTAATATTATAGCATGAGGGGATCTTTAAACGCCCAAGTCAAGCTGGGCAGTGGTGGCGCACGCCTTTGATCCCAGCACTTGGGAGGCAGAGGCAGGCAGATCTCTGTGAGTTCTAGGTCAGCCTGGCAGCTTGGTCTACAAGAGCTAGTTCCACGACAGTCTCCAAAGCTACACAGAGAAAAAAAAAAAAAAAGAAAAAGCCCAGGTGAAGCTGGGTACAGTGCACCCTGAGTTTCAGCTACCCAAGAGGCTGAGATAAGAAGGTCACTTGAGCACGGAGTTCATACCTCTAGCCTGGGCAACACAGCAAGACAGTCTCAAACCAGCAGGCACAGCTCAGAGGTCAAAGAAGCTTGCCACTGAGCCTTACACCCTGAGCTGGATTCCTGGACCCAAATGACAGCAAGTGACAGTCCACCCACTCCCATGTTGTCCTCTGACCTCCACACACAGACCATGGCACACACATACACAAGTACACTACACTCTAAGTGAAAGAAATACAATTAAGAAAAACAATACGCTAAGTGAAAGAAGCCATGAAGAAAAGCCCACAGACACCATTTCACTTCTGGGACGTGCCCCAAACATGAGATTTGAAAGATACAGTCGTGTTGCCAGAAGCCTGGGTGGGGTGGGTGCGGATGGGAGTGACTCATAGGTATAAGGGTTTCTTTTTTGTGGGTAATAAAAATGTTCTGAAACCTGTTGTGGTGACAGCCAACTCTATGACATACTAAGGCCACTGGATTTTACATGCACATGTTTTAAATGCTGAAGTTACATGGCAGTGGTACACACATACACTTTAAATGCTGAAGTTACATGGCAGTGATACACACTTTAAATGCTGAAGTTGGGTGGCAGGGAATCAGCTCAGTGAGGCAATGCTGGGGGGGGGGGGGGGGTATGAAACACTCCTGGGAAGCTCACTGTTGACTGCTGAAGGCCCTATACCTTATGGACCCATGCTCCCACTCACGGGCAACAAAAACACTGACGAAGACAGGCTGGCGTCAAGTCACGTGTGGGTGAAATACCTCACAAGGCTCTCATCGCTACATATTTGTTCAGATGTTTTTTGTTTTGTTTTGGAATGCCAAACCATGTAAATGTATTGACTATTCCAAATTACCATTATAAAAATAACCTGTTCTACCACCAGTCTAAGTCTAGTTATGCACAGTATGTTTCATGGGTCTACACAACGATGCTTGGCCATGTGGACACTTGGGGGCCTGAGATTCTCTACTGAGTTAGAGTCTTCCAACCTACAGATGATAGCAGATGAGATTTAAAGGGTCAGCCCTCTAGCCCGGCACCAGAGATGAAGCACCCATCAGTGAGCCAGGCCAGACTCTGCCACTCACATACTCAATGTCTTACCTTACAATGCCTGCCACATCCAAATCATTACTGTGTCCTTTAAAACCGCACACGTTTTAAATCAGCTAAAACGTTCACAGTAATAAGTTCTTTTTTGCAAATACACCTTGAAATAAATAAATAAAGTCTATCTAAAATGATTTCATGAACCTCAGTTTGGGAAGAACTGCATTGTTGGCCTGGGTTTCCACCCTGGGACCCCAGAAAAGGCTGATTATTTTCATTTGAAGGTTAGTTCATGAATGGGAATCTCACCCTTATCTTGGCCCTGTACTAATGGATTCCGTATCCTAGCAACCTGGATAAGTGGTGCTGCCCAGGTGAGTACAGAAAGGCTGTTTATCACTGAGGGAATTCTCCAACGTCGGTGGCACTCAGTTTTCTCAGGAAAGGAATGAGAGGATAACAGCAACGGTGTAAGTCTCAGCCCCAAACCTTCCGAGTTCGCTGTCCCGGCTGGTGCGCTGGGGTCTCACCAGGTCACCTCGTGTTTCCGGAGCCATGACTGTCTCTCTTGAGCCGTTTCTCTCACATGCACCTTTTTGCTTTAACGAATACTATCCCCAGTGTGTATTTAAGTTAAACAGAGCCGAGGAAGGGGTCTAGGTCCGAAAATGGGTAAGGGTGAAGTGATTACTGCTGGAAGGACCAGATCCTCCCACCGCCACCAAACGCATTTCAGATTATATAGTCGGATGTTACAAAGCAGCACTTCCGTGAAACGATGGCGAGTTCCTAGAAATGCCACCCTGGGAATTTACTCAAAGGAAAGTAAGCAAAGCTGCAGCCAACTGTTCAGGTACCCGGCGGCATTTATTACATCAGAAAATGGCTAACAACACAGATGTCCAGTCAACAGGGGTCTGGAGACCCCGCTCTGGGGCAAAGTGCTAGCTTAGCATGCAGATTCCGTTTCTGGCACCGAAAAAGAATCAATAGCTAATAACCAGGGACAAAGGTTAAATTAATTGTCCAATCTTCCTGAAATTAAGGCTGAGACTTGATACTGTATGAACATGCTCACAACAAATGAGAATACAAAGCATCTAATAACAACTGTCCAGCTGCACACAAATGCAACAAGAAAAGAAGGAGAAAACACAAACACACCACAGGGCCAATCAATCCCGTCTCCTGGGGAGGCCAACTTACAGGATGTCAGTTTCCTCTTCTGAATTCTCAGGCCCTTGCTACATTTATTTTTTTTAAGATTACTTCTCCTTTGGTTGTGTCTGTGGGAAATATTCAATCCTTTCACAAATATTTATTGGGAATATATCCTCAGTCCTGACCTACGGAACCTGCTGGATACCATTCAGAGTGAAAAATGTTCTGTATAACAAAGTATTAACTATTAACATCTGTGAAAACAATCTCATGCCACCTCCCGAGCTCCGTCTTCTATTCTTGCTATGGAGTTGTCTATACTTCTTTGCAGAGCAGTGACCCAGCCAGTTCTGAATTTCAGGCATCGGCTAGATGAGCCAGACTCCAGGAAACCATCCGAAGGGCCTGGCCCAGGCTTCCCTCTGAGATCTGTAACTTTTCCCAACTGAACAGAGACCAACCCCGTGTGTACCTTGAACTTTGACCTGCAAAGACTTCTCTCACAAACCTTAATTCTTCCAGCTGAGTCTGGTGAGTCTGCAATCCCCACACTCATGAAATTGAGGCAGGAGGATTGCTACAAGTTCGAGACCAGCCAGAGCTACTGTATGGGACCCTGTAAAAAAAAAAAAAAAAAAAAAAAAAACCTACTTCTGATGATGAATCTTCAAGATTTTAAGAAAGTATTTGTCCTTCTGTGTCTTTAAAAAGAAAAAAAAAACTGCCTACAGAATGAGGTGCTGAACATCTCTGTGCCCTTCTTCCATGGTACAGAGTTGCAATACCTGACTCTCACAGGTATCAAAGTGAAGCAAGGAGTGTTGTTTCTTTATTCAAATACCCTTTCATATCATGTGTGTGTGTATACATACATATACTACAAAAATGGATATACATTATATATGTATTATATATTATTATAATGTACGTATATATTTTTTATTTATTTATATTTTATGTGCATTGGTGTTCTGCCTGCATGTATGTCTCTGTGACGGTTTCAGATCTTGGAGTTAGACAGTTGTGGGCTTCCTGTGGGTGCTGGGAACTAAACCCAGGTCCACTGTGTTCTTTAACTGCTGAGTCTTCTCTCCAACCCTCGAATTCCCTTTCATTCACCCTTAAAATGGTCTGTGTTTTCCTAGTCGGTGAGCACTCTTTGCCACCCAGTCAGCTGAGCGCTGAGTCGGCCTGCAGATCATCCCCAAAGCCTTCTGCTGTACTTTGGATAGCAACAAACCAAAGGACTCAGGACTGTTTGCTCTAAATAAAACCGCAATCTGTTGCACTAAGAAACATTTAGCAAGAGTCAAACAACCTTTTGATAAAGTTTAATTCACTGCAACCTTTATTATTTCTTAAGGTCAACATTAGAAGAGAGCGAAAACACGCTCCGGGGGTGCTGAGGAGCCAACCAAAGAAACTGAAACAGTGGGGTGATTTTTTTTCTCCCCTAGTTGAATGTCAGGGTCTTTTAAACAACAACAACAAAAAGCGGCCTTTCCAGGAAATTAGTTATAGACCCATTGGAGGGGAGGGGAGAGCTTAAGTAAATCGTGGTAGATTCAGCAAATCTACCAAGGCTAACAAACGTGGCTAAACAAACAGGGTAACAGACGTACGGGAGGTCAGACTAGATCAGAGTGTGAAACCACGGAGTCTGAATAAAACTATGGTAACAGGATACACAGAGGGTATACACAGGCGCGCTTGTGCATAAAGAGACACTTCCAGAAGGAAATGCATTGTTTCTCTCTGAAGAACAGGGTAGGGGCAGGACTAAGAAAACTTTGTTTTTTACTTTGTTCCTTTCTGTCACCCCCCCCCCCCCTTCTCTCCAGAAGCTTTACTTACTTCTTCCATTTTTTTCTTTCACCTTGAACAGGTACTATTTCTATGTAAATAAGTTCAAATGAATTTCAAAATAGGCACTAGTTTGGAATTGAAGGTCAACACTGTCGTGAAGAAAACACCTGGAGTTAACTTTTAAAAACAGCCTGCAGCAGTTAGTTGGCTGGAATTTGTAATCCCAGCACTCACTAGAGAGGCTGAGACAGGAGGATCTCAAATTTAAGCTAAAGTTGACCTTGGCTACGTCAAATGACGTCTCAAAAAAAAGTTAAAATGCGTTCTTAAAATAGAATTAACCCATCCATTGTAAAGAGTAGTTTGCTGACTAGATTTGTGCTGAGTTGGAAGAATTTGGCAAGTGAAACACAACAATTGTTTATGTAACCGTACACCGGGATAACTTTCGTGCCTTAGAAATGTTTGGGGGCATCAAAATCTAAGCCAATTTTGCGACTGCCAAGAGAACAAGTAATACTTGACCTTGAAGAGAGAAAGGTCAGAACTACAAGATCCCACGGAGTACCAAGGGTGGGAGGGGAGAGGGGAAAGTAGAAAAGAAAGCTAACCCTGACAGAGGGAGACAAGCCTGCCTTCCGTGTACAGGGACACGTGGAGAGCGGGGTACAGTTCCTCAGGCTGAACCCCTGCAGTTGCTGCCAGCCGAGTCGGATGTTGTGCCTCGAACAAAGCCGAGGACTTTCCTTCGGTCTTTGAACTTCCTAGACCCACCCCCACCCCCACAATTTACCCGAAGCGGCCCACGGAGGCCAGAGGCTCTTTCCCCAGGCGAGGTCGGGGGCGCTGCACCCGCTTCGCAGGACCCTCGACCCCTGCCCGCAAAGCCCCTCCGGGACGATCGCACGCTGCCAGCCCTCGGTCTCAGCTCCCACCTGTGCCCTGCAGCATGTTCTGGCGGAGCAGGTCCCCGCTGGAGAGGTGCTTCAGCTCGAAATGTTTGGTGATGCGCGACGACACGGTGCCCTTGCCGGAGCCCGGGGCCCCCATGATCACGGCGCGCAGCAGCCTCCCCGAGGCCCCCATGGTGACGGACGGTGGACCGAGCTGCGCAGACGCCGAGCAGCGGCCTGGCCTGCGCGCTCACAGGCTCAGCGGCTCCAGCGAGCTGGCAGCTGCGAGCGGGCGGTGGCCAGGGCGCTCGGCTCTCCCGGAAGTGAGCGCTGGCCACCGGGCCGCCCCGCCTGCTGCTGCACCGCCCCTCGCGCCCCTGCACCCCACTCCCCTCGGCTCCACCCCACGCCTCTGGGGCCAGACCCCTCTTGCCCTGTGCTGCCTGGTCCCAACCTGTAGGCTGCGCCTGACTGCATTCTCCCCAGTGGGCAACTTCTGAGCGCCCTCCCCCGCCCGCGCCACTTCTAATTCTAGTCTCCCCTTGGCACCTCTGGGTGGCTGGATTTCATTTTCTCTGTGTGCATTTTTTTTTAACCCTTAGTCAGGCCGTGCCCTGCTCAGTCCCAACAGGAAGCAAGGTGCCCTGTTTTGCATCTCCTCTGCTCCCCTGGCTTCCGAAAACCGCCCCCCACCTTTTCATGGTAGTCCTCCCTCACCTCCTCCCTCTCTTCACCCTACTTCTTTTTCCTCCCAGAAGTGACCTTGAACCCTTGTACTCAGCAAGCAAAGAACAGGTGGTGAAAGGTGTGTCTTATCTCCCAGAACCTCTTTCAGAACCAAAAGTAACTGCTAAGCTGGTTACTTTGCAGAGGTCAAAAGTCCTAGTTCCTTCAGAAGTGTGTTCATTTCTGGAGTATTTACCCAGTACCTATTGTTTGCCACCGTTCTTAAGGGCCTCCCAGAAAGCTGTGCTGAACAAAACTGAGTTTCTGCTGCTGGTGTTTTTAAAACCTCAGTGGCCTAGCAAATGAGTGAGACCATTGAAAACAGTGCTGTGGAGGGAAAACAAAACAAAAAAAACAGCAGGCGGCACTCGTCTTTAATCCCTAGGGAGGAAGATGCAGAGGCAGGCAGATCTCTGTGAGTTCGAGGCCAGCTTGGTCTACAGCGGTCAGGGACAGCCAGGACAACACAATGAAACCCTATCATGAAACCAACAGCAAAAAAACCAAACCAAAGAACAACAACAACAGAAGGTGTAGGCGGGCGGGAGAGCAGGAGGGAGCTGCTTCTGAACAAGTTGCAGCGATGCTGTGAGGAACTTGCCTTGGCTGAATATACAAAAACAGATTCGATCACACAGGGAGAGTGGCACAGGCCTGGCAAGGCCCAGCGGCCCAGGCTGGCATGCTAAGAGAAGGGACCGAGTAGTATTTCCTCTATAAAATGGACACAGATTAGTGTGGAGTAGTCAAAATGTGTATGAGTTGCCTGTGCAATGAGGGGTACCCAGCAAGTGCTCAGTGAAGGTTGCCCGCTGTCCATGTTGTATGGTTTCTTTATGCGAGGCACAGGGGAGACAGAAAGGAGTCGCTAAAAGGAAACTGTGTGTCCCCCTCAGAGGCTGCCAAAGGGCTGCTTCAGTTTCCAAGTAGAAATTACTTCTGGGGGAAAAAGTGGCAAGGGAGGTTTACTTGCTCAGAGAGAGGACATGGTCTGGGGGCAAGGGGAGGCAGGCCGCCCTGTACTTCGAAAGAGCGTGAGTGTAATAACTTCCCCGGCTATTACTGCAGAGAAAGAACAAAGATAAAGAAACAGCCAGTGCCTGTGTGTGGGGTTAGGAAAGGAGCCTGCGAGCCGCCCAAGGAAAGCAAAGGAAGGGAGTGGGGAATAACAGGCAAGAACGGGAAGGTCCTGGCGGGAGCAGGTTATGCAACACCAGACCCAGGAATCCTGACGATGGAGGAAAGCATTTCTAATCTCCAAAGTTGGGAACATTTGTGGTGTCAGCCCTCGGAGACACTTGAAAATAAATCTTTGGAAATTTGGGTTACAAGGGGGAAAGTGTTCAAACAATCGGGGTGGACAGCCAAGGGTCACCCAGCACCACAACGAACACACAAACCTGAACAAAAGTCATATGTTACTTCTCTTGGAGCTAGCATTCTACTGGGGGTAGATGGAAGCAAACACGGGACGATATAAGATGTCAGGTGTTTGGAGATAGAGAGCAGAGTCTGCGCTCCCGTTAAGAGGCCCACAGAAGCCTGCCAGTTTGGGCTTCGCTCAAGGCTGTTGATTACAGGGGAGTAAGAGGCTGCCAAACTGGGAAGTCTCCTGGCAACCAGGCACAGGGCAGTCATTTCGCCACACACAGGCATTTGTTTATGGGAGGCTTTGTCTCCCTGTTTAACTCATACCACTGGTAACGAAAGAATTAAAAATTAATATGGGTCCTAATGTAAATTTAAAATCTAGCAAGGGTGCCCAAACCACATGTGGCCAAATGGTCATACAGATTCATTTGTATTGAAGGAAGCTCAGGTGAGCATCCTGCGTGTCGTAGGCATTCGATACATGTCTGCTGAAGAAATGCTAAGGATTACTGCTTTGTCCCATCAAGGACTGGGAGATTTTAAAGCTCTAGAATGTACAGAGTGGAGCAGGGACTACAGGTATGTGTCATAGGCGCAACTCTATGTCCCCAAATGTGGAAGTGTGGTTGGTACTGTGTCCCAGTACCTTAGAATGTGGCCTGTTTGGATCAGAGCTATAAGAGAATAGTTAGGGAGATCACATCGGGTGCTCAGTCATTTTCTTTACCAGACAGCATGGGGTAACAGGCAGGAGACTAGAGTTAAGGGCTGCAAGCCAAGGAACACCAAAGAGCATTGGCAACACCAGTGCCTAGAGGAAGACGTGGGACTGTTTCCTTAGAGGCCTTGCGAGAACTCCCAACCCCTGCTGATACTTTGCTTTTGGCTCAAAATCTCCCAAACTGTGAGAGAAAGCATCGCTTTCCTGTAAACTCCACAGTTCCCGGCAATTTGCTCTGGCAGACCTAGGAAATGGATCTGTTTGTTCCAGAAATATGAGCGCATTGTCCCAGCATGAGTTAGGTGAGTGACAATGGAGGATAGACAGGTTCAGTGTCTGGGAAGCCACAACTGAGACGGAAAAGAAGCTGGAAGAGACGGGTGTGTCTGGCTCCTATCGTGATGGAAGCCACCCCAGCCTTTGCAGGCTTAGCACAGCATGGTTTAGGTTTTCACACTGGTTCCTCGTGACTTTCCCACTGGGCTGGAAAAGCCTGAAGTGTTTGTCCATCTGCTGATCAGTTTCCTGGTCTGCAGAGCCTATGGAGTCTGGGTTCCTGGCAGGGGAGTGTGCTGATGAAATCTTCTTAAATCTCTTGCTGCCTCAGTCTTCATTGGCCAAAGTAAGTCCCATGGCCAAGTCAGTGTGTGTGTGTGTGTGTGTGTGTGTGTGTGTGTGTGTGTGCGTGCGCGCGCACACACACACGCGGAGAACAGAAACCATTCATGAGAAAATAATCTGGCTCAGAGACTCTAATTATTTATTACAACTTAACCAATTATCTCAAAACTTAGTAACTTAAAGCAATGATGGCTAGCTGGGCAGTGGTGGTGCATGCCTATAATCCCAGCACTTGGGAGGCAGAGGCAGGGGGATCTCTGAGTTTGAGGTTAGCCTGGTCTGCAGAGCGAATTTCACGACAGCCAGGACTACACAGCGAAATTCTGTCTCGGAAAAACTAAAACAAAACAAAACAAAACAAAAAACAGAAAACAAATAAACATCAACAAAAAAAAAACAATGCTAACGATCGTCTCATAGCTGCCACACGTCAGGGATGCTAACACAGGCACTGCACAGGTGCCTCTGGCTTAGGGTCTCATAAAATGCTAGAGCTACAATACTGACTGGGGCCGTCTTCTCCAGCCGTAATCCAGGAAGGATTCGCCTCCAAGCCCCCTGATGTTGCTATTGGTAAATCTCAGTCTTCGGTGACCAATGGCCAGAGAGAGGCGTTTCCATACTGTAAAAAGGGGTGGGGAGTGATAGAGAGCTTCCCTGATGAGGATAAAGACCTGGCCAGGACTCCCAGCAACACGACAGACAAACACACAAACCTGAGCAAGGGAAGTACATTTTCTTGTTCTCTTGAGCTAACATTCCACTGGGGAGAGAAGACGGACACAAACCCAAAAATATATACAGTGGCAGGCGTTTTGAGATGCAACAAGGAAGACTATAGAAGGAAAAGGAGAGCAGAGTTAGGATAGAGCTGCAGCTGCTATATAAAGAGAATAGGGCTGGGCAGCTGAGGCACGTGCCTTTAATCCCAGCTCTTGGGAAACAGGGGCTGGCAGATCTCCGTGAGTTCCAGCCCAGCCAGGACTACACAATGAGATCCTGCCAGACAAGATGCACTCATGGGGCAATAATGGAATGATTGTTATGGGAGTAACCAACTACTTCCTGCTTGGGTTTGAGACCAACTCCATAAGAAGTGATTCATGCTTGGTACTATAAACCTGGTGAAAAGCCTATGGCTGGGGAGGTTATAGGCCCTATTGGAGAGGAAGCTACTGCTGTTGTTCTGATAAGTGGACATGTCCTCAAACTGCCTTCTAAGTATGTTTGCACTCACAGATCAATGGTGCTCTCCACCTTGGTCAAAGAGGCTTCTTTGTGCCGTGGGCAACAGTTCATGCCGAGACTCATAACTAGTTAACAGTGCTTGAGGAAAGGTGAGTTGTGTGTTCAGCTCTAAATGGGACATCTCTATCAGCCTCCCCAAGTCTCAAGAAACATGGTGGAAGAGGGGGAAGAAAGAATGTAGAGCTGGAGGATGGGGAGCGGTGCTGTGCAGTGTCCTCTGGACATGAAATGACCACTGCACTCATGAATTCATAGAAGCTGTGGTTATTTGCACAAGACCTGTGCAAGAATAAGCCAGCCAATGAGCATGAGCTGGGAGGAGAGGTCATAAATCTCCAACCCAACTAAGGAGCTATGGACAGTTAGTGGCATCTGAGGGAAGGAGTGTCCTGGGCAAGGGTGGAGGGTATTCTGGTAGGTTGTCCATACTCTCGTGGATGACCCAACACCCAGGTACATTTGGGCAGCACTGATCAGACTTAGTAGGTTATTTTGTTTTTTTAAAGAAGACATAAAAGTAGGAAGGGAACACGGATAAATAAGGAAAACTATATAGGCAATCCTAAACTATAAAAAAGTGAAAGGGAGTTATGAACATTAGAAATTCTATAAAATAAGGCAATATTGACACATCTGGCCCCATTTTGTGCTGCTATAACATACTTCTTGAAACTAGGTTGTTGATAATGAGAAGGTGTTTGTTGTCTCACAGTTCTGGAGTTTGGGAGCTTCAAAAGCAAGATGTTAGCGTCTGGCAAGTGCCTTCCTTTTATGCCTTGCTCTGGTAGAGGACTGCTGGCCCACACACCACCTGCCCTTTTGTAAGGCTTTACATTTGCCTGGGGAGGGGGGGAGTCCCACAACCGAATCAATTCCCAACACCATGACAGTGGAAATTAAATTTCAACATGAGTTTGGGAGAACTGTTCAAACCATAGAACTCTGCCCCTGCACCCTTTTGAAAATTCCTGTCTCTCTTAAATGCAAAACACATTCATCCCACCTAAGTAGCTTCAAAAGTCTTAACTCATTTCCACTTTGACTTTCCCTCCATCTTCAAACCTGTGAAATCAGACAAGTTACATGCTTTCAAAGTGATGTGTTGAGACAGGGGTGAGTAAGACATTCTCATTTCAGAAGGAAAAACAGAAAGCAAGAAAGGGGTAACAGGTCCCAAGCAAACCCAAAGCCCCCCAGGACAAGCCACATGAGATCTCAAGGCCTAAGAATAAACATTGACTCCAGGTCCCACTGTCCCACCATGAGACAATGCTGTTTTGGGGTACAGCTCACCTCAAATAGGTGGAGTCCCGACTTGGCTGTTTTGGGCAGTCCTTGCCCACTGGTGGTTCTGGAGTTCTGGGATCTTCGAGGTAGTCTAATTCCATGATTCCACTAAGAGTTCTCCTAATCGAGGCAAGAAGGAAAGACAAAAAGGAATTATGGGGCCATGAGAAGGACCCAAAGCTCCTCCCTCTAGAATCTGGTCTACTTTTCTCACCGGCCAAGAGTCAAGAACATCCACACAGCTGATAAAATCAGGGAAGATTGCCCACAGAGACAGCCAGGCTTTTTCTCAGCGAAATCTCCAAGAACGTTCAGCAAAACAAACGCCCCCATCATGGTCTAAAGCCTAGACTGTCCGTGACCTTGAAGTTTAACTTTATCAGCACTCCTCTCTGATCCTTAAACCTGGGAGTACACCCCCTTAGGAGTGCACGTACTTGAGGGATTCTTTAAACCTGGGAGTACACCACCTTAGGAGTGCATGTACATGAGGGATTCTTTAAACCTGGGAGTACACCCCGTACACCGCCTTAGGAGTGCATGTACATGAGGGATTCTTTAAACCTGGGAGTACACCCCATACACCACCTTAGGAGTGCATGTACATGAGGGATTCTTTAAAATACAGAAATGCATAAGGCAGTTCATTTCCTACCTTAATTTTAAAGCTGCGCTAAATTTTAATACTGCTAAATCTTTGAACCTTGTTGTAAACTGTTTATAAATTGCATCTTTTGAGCAATGTCACTTCAAAAGCCACTAGATCATATTCATGTACATCTATACATACACATACTTAGTTAGACACCTAGACGTTTCTCACTAAATGCCGATACTTTAAAGTGTATGCTATCGTTGCTTAAGAAATCCAACTCTGCTTCATGCTGACTCATATTGAAATTCTTTTTTGGGGGTGGGGGCAGCAAGGTGGCTCAGCAGGTAAAGGTTCTTACTGCCGAGTTTGACAAGCTGAGTTCAGTCCCTGAGACCCACGTGGTGAAAGGAGAGAAACAAGTCCCACTCTAAAGAGTGGGAAATGGGAGAAAGCCTTCACAGCCCTTGAAACCTGTGAGTTTGCAGAAGTGGCGCCAAGTGGCCACAGAAGTTTGTCATGTGCACCTTCCTCAGTTGTGGCTAGGGCTACACTAGCCCCAGCTGATCCAGGAGACCCAGAGCAGAATCCTGGCACTGCCTTTAGCTGGGAACCCGTCATTCTGCCCACAAGAGTTTGGGCACGGTGAATGTAGGGGGCTGATAATCTCTGAGATACTGTGTGTGTTGGAGGTGGAGGTGTCAATTCTCCCAGTGCACGGGACATACATAGTACCCGGCTTTCTTCTAGCCTTAGTAGAGCTCTCGGTCACCCTTGTAACAGGGCCCCAGATTTTAGCAATGTTTCTTTCTGGACAACCTGGACCCAAGTTCTTGACCTGTGGCTACTCCCATTTGGCTCCAGAATAGACTATCTATTCTGTATGTAGCAAGAACTGTGTTTTATAACAACAGGAGCGTGAGGTAGGAAGTTTCTCCATGCCGCTTAGGGACTAACAGCGGACATCCAGAAGAAGTCTGTTCATGGGGCTGGAGAGATGGCTCAGAGGTTAAGAGCACTGGCTGCTCTTCCAGACGTCCTGAGTTCAATTCCCAGCAACCACATGGTGGCTCACAACCATCTGTACTGAGATCTGGCGCCCTCCTCTGGCGTGCAGGCATACATCGAGGCAGAATGTTGTATACATAATAAATAAATACATCTTTAAAAAAAATTAAAAAAAAAAAAGAAGTCTGTTCATGACCCCCAACAGCAGTGGAGGACATACATCTGTGGAGACCATCACACAGAAGTAAAAGCAATTCCAGATCAGATGTGGGCAGAGTAAGGTCACACAAAGAAATGCTGGGGCTGGGGCTCAGTGGGAGAGCTCTTGCTTAGTGTGGGTGCATTCCCAGCAGTACAAAACCAAATCAAATACAAAAGGAAAGGACTTAGAGGGCCAGAGACGTGGGTGGCGAGTGGATTAAGGAGCTTGAGGCCAGCACTGGTGACCGGGGCTCAATCCCCAGGACCCACTTGGTAGAAGGAGAGAACCGACTACACACAGGCTATGATACTCTCCACCCCAATAAGTAAAAGGGCAAATGTTATTATAAAAATCTTAAAAGCACTTAAGTGATTGCTTGAATTGATGCTCCGTGAAGCACTCAAGATTGGGATAATTTGTTTGCCCTTTGCTTCTCATTGCGGCTAGCACTCCGTGGCTTATTTATAAACATGATTAGGTGCACAATCACATTTGGTCTCATTTTCATAGCCTAGGTATCTGCTATTACTTTATAAGAATATTTAGAGGGATGGGATCATATTCCTAGGATCCTGGCACTTGGGAAACTGAGAGAGGAGGATCATTATGAATTTGAGGTCATCCTGGAATACAGAATGAGACCATGTATCAAAAAAGGAAAGTGGTTTTTGGGTTATTTGGGGGATTGCTGTGGGAACTCCTTCAGCCAATGACTTTTGAGATGCTGGACCACTTTGGGTGTGGTCTTGGGTACTATGAAAACAGATGTAGAAACGTGAGCACCCTTTCTTGGCTGCTGGATTCCGCTCCTGTTCTCCGGTCACGCAGAGGACTGTGATCTGTGAGTCTATCCCTAAATAAAGAACCTTTTATTATACTCCATTCTGAGCTAGTGTGGGACTACTGTTTTGAAATTCTCTACATCTGGTCCCCAAGGTAAGTGAAACAGGGTGAAGCACGAATCACGTGGGGTGGAGGAGGTACCCCTGTCCGCTTGACTGGGAAACTCTCCGCAGCTGAGCTGCATCTGGGGGTTGTTGGTTTGTTTTGTGTTTTGGTGTGTGTGTGTGTGTGTGTGTGTGTGTGTGTGTGTGTGATGTGTGTGATGTGCATATGGTGCATGTCTGAAAGGGAGCACATGCACTTGTGTGGAGGGCAGAATTAACCTCGAGGGTTGTTCTTAGGGATCCATCTACTTTGTTCTTTGAAACAGGGTTCTCAAAGGCCTGGAGCTAACCAGGTAAGTTGGTCGGCTGGGCTCAACCGGTCCTTTGCTCGGTGCTCAGATTACAGTGCTTGCCACCACACCCTGTTTTTTAAAATGTGGGTTCTGGTTATGTGAACTCAGGTCTCCATGCCCCAAGAGCAGCCCTTAATCAACTGAGCTATCCCTGTAAATTATCATTTTAAAAGTAGGGTTAGATGGTGGGAACAGAGCTCAAGAACAGAGCAAATGCCTAGCCTGTGTGAGGCCCTAGGTTCAATCTCCAGGACCAAAGTTAAAGTGAAATAGGAGCTGGATGGATAGGAGACAGAACGGAGAGCACTGGCTGCTCTTTTGGGTTCAATTCCCAGCACCCAAATGGTGGCTCAAAGACAAATGTAACTCCAGTTCCGGGGGTCTTTGGCCCCCGGGCACACAAGTAGAACACAGACATACATGCATGTAAAGCACTTATACACATAAGATAAAAAAATAAACAAATCTTTAAAAATAAAAATAGGACAAAATTAGAGCTTGGTGCCTGGGAGTGTGGGGACCCACAGATGTGAGCCTGTTCCACCTTGACTGGAGGTCAGAGACTCTGAGCTTGTTTTTGCTCTCTGGAAGTTGCTGACAATAGGGGTGTGGCTAAAACTAGAAACCCTGACCTAGGGTGTGGTGACTTGGTGTTTTGGTCATTAAGATGGCCACAGAGGTGGATCCACTCTATTCCTGATCCTTCTTTTAAGATAGGAGGTTTGACATAGGGAGTGGCTGCCTACAGGAGACTTGGTCTAGGGAGTGTTCACTGCATATTCCTACCCCCAACTTCAAATACCTTTACTCAGGAAACGATGGCTTGGTGTCTCAAGTACTGAAGCAAGTAACTGTTCTGATTATCCTTTGGGTCACGTTAAAGCAGTCTTTTGCCTTCTCACCCCCCTTTTGTATTGGGGTATAAAAGCGTATGGAAATTAAACACAGGTGAATTCAGTATTCAGTATACACTGAGTTGCCCTCCTGGTTCTATCCTATGTCTCTGTGTTTCTTTCACGTCTCTGTTTCTCATAACTAACGCTTCTAATCCTCAGGCTCCTACCCTGGAATGTGTGAACCTGTCGTGGCTGGACCACGACAGAAGTCACCCCCGAAACGTGGCTTAGGACAGGAGAGGAGAGAACAGAAATGAGGCACAGGTTTGAACCTAACTTCCTTGATCTCTTTGCCTGAGTGTGCGTGCGTGCGTGTGTGTGTGTGTGTGTGTGTGTGTGTGTGTGTGTGTGTGTGTGTTTCTGAGAAGGAGTATGTTTACATGAAGGCCAGAAGACAACCTCAGGTGTTCTTCAGGAACTACCCAGGTTTTGGAGGGAGGGACAGGGTCTCTCGTTGGCCTGAAACTCCCTAAGTTGGAAGCTAGCAGACCCCAGGGATCCACCCATCTCCACTTTCCCAGCACTGGCACTGGGATTGCAACCATGCACCGCCATGGTCGCTTTTCTTACGTGGGTTGTGGGGATAAAAACTAGGGTCTTTACACTGATGGACAGAATCATCTCACCAGCCCTATGTTTTGATCTTTAAGTAAGTTTGGTTAATCGTACAATATTTTATTTCTTAAAATGTTCCAAACATAACCTCAAGGTCCTGATTCCCAAGAGGGGATCCCATGTATTCCTCTGAGGGAATGTTTTTTGAAATTCAAATTCCTAGATCATTGAGGACGAGCCGGGAGGCCTGGAGCAGGACAAGGCCGCTCTTTGAGCTTCAGTCTTCAGGTCTATGCAGCGAAGTGGGGTAAGGGCTGATGGAGCCATTGGGAGGCTTGCACAGGGCTTGTATGTAAAATGCTAAACATATACCAGGCACCCCTTCTGTCCTAGGTCCTGGAGTCCTTCTCGTCCCTCCCTTTCCTTACCTTCTTCTCCTTCAGTGAAATAATGAGGGCTATGAGAAAGGAAATGGGGGGGGGGTGTGAGATGGAAAATAAACTCCGTGGGCAGGTATTTCAAATACCAGCAACTCTTTTAAGCCCCATAATTCCAGCCTCCACTACATCCAAGATTCCCTCAAGCTACGTGAGGTGCAAAGACACAGTGCAAAACGAAAAGGCTGAGTCTGGCAAGTCCTGGTTCAATGAATAACTTGCTTGTCAGGCGGGGCAAGCGCTGACCACATCTGGGCCTCCATTCTCTCAAGAGTAAGTCAGAGACCGTGGCTGTCCAGCCGCATCACACGGACACTCCTGCCACTCTGTGACTGGGGGACCGCTCGGACGGACCTCAGGCAAATGTGCGCTCCACTGAGAATTCTTCCCCCTCCGCCCTCCATTCCTCTCTTGACCTTTGAATCAGGGGTTAAAGATGATCATTTAGAGAACTCTCCGTCAGCACTTTCAGAGATTAACACCTCGAGATAACCTGGTAGGGTTAGCCTAATTAGCTCCAGCAGCAACATCTGAACACTTGGAGCAATAGAGGAGCTCGGAATGAAATGAGACAGAAGGGAGGCCAGGTTCAGGCTAGCCTGGACTACATAAAGAGTTCTGGATGAGCGGAGGCTACATAGTGAGAACCTATCCCAAATAAACAAAGCAAAACAACAGCAGAAAGCAAATCCCTGTTCGGGAGGGAGGGAGAGAACCACTGCCCCGGCGCACAGAGGACCTAAGTGGGAACCTTCTGGAGCTCTCTTCACGCGATAGCTGCCGTTCTTCAGGAAGCCACTCCCTGACTTGGTGGGGGGGGGGGGGCGGCGACTGCATCTCCCACCTAGACGTCCTAATAAGAACACCTCGTTTGGCCCTGGGGCTAGGCTCCCGTCTGTGTTTCTGGACCTGAACACCAGCAACTGTCAGGAGTGCTGTGCGGCAGCAACCCTTATCTTAGCAGCACACAACCAAACGTCTGTTTCCAGGCGACCGAGCCTAGGCGTCCGGAGGGGCCCTCTCTGCGCCCAGGCCGCAGGTCCAGCTAGGCTTGCTTTGCAGACCTGTTCAGTCTAGGCCTAGACAAGGGCATCACTGATGAACGTCACGCGCAAAAGCACCTTAGCCACGCCTTCTTGGCACGCTCAAGGCCTCATCCCACGTCACCTCCACGAACATGATTCTGGCCAGCAGCAGCCATGGAGTGTTCCTGTGTTAAGGAAGGTATTCTGGCTGTGCTAGGGCAAGGCTTGGGAGAGAGTCATGGGAGCAACAGTCCATAACATGTAGGGGGTGAAAGAGTTGGATGGTGACGTATGCAGCTAGTGAAAGAAACGTCAATTAATAGCTTTATAAATAATGTATTATAAAGGTAGGCCCTATAATTATAGATCATGTAATATATAGCGTGCGGTTATATAATCATTACATTATGCCTAATTATTCAGAGTTTAAAAGTATATTTCTAATTTATTATAAATAATATAACGAAGTAATGAAATGGCAACTAATATTTATGTGCCAGGCTCTTTAAAAACATACTTGGAATAAATGAACTCATTTAATTCTCAGAGCAATACTGTGAGGGGGATAATATTGCAGTTTGATGATAACCAAGGCACAGCAGGTGAAAGGAAAATCCCAAATCACGCAGTAAACGACACAGGACAGCATTGGCAATTATAAAGTCGCATTATGGACTTTCACTTTTCTTTTGTGTCCCTCCTCCTCCTGTCCTGTCCCCTCCCACTGTCCTCTAGCCGCACAAGCCAGGTCACCTGTAGCCGTGCTCTGAGGTCGCTGACCCGTTTACCCGTCACTGACTTCTGCCTGCTTCTCCTCACAGGTCGCCCTCACTCCACTCAGGACGCTGACCCTTCTTTCTCCTGCTGTAGGCCTTGCTGCCCGTGGAATCTTGGTTGAGTCACTCTCTTGTGTAAAAAGTTTCTATGATCACCGGTGCTTTGGAGACAGAGTTAGTTAGTCTTTGTATTCCAGGCCCTCTGTCTCGAGAGTGGGTACCGCTGCGTCCTCACGCTACCGGCAGAGACAGTCCCCGTCGCCTTTGCAGCTTTTCCAGCTTTCCTTGACTTTTACTTTCCCCCTCAAACTGTCCCTCGTGGAGTTCCTGTTTCCCCAGAATCACCTAGCTCCCAGGATCTACGCTAATCCATTAACTACAGGCTTTGCAGAGCAGAGCCTGGAAGTCTGAATTTCATCCCGAGATGACTCCAACTTGTGCCGAGTCTAAGAAGTACGACGGTAGACAAGGTAGTGATATTTCTTGTACGGCACCACCGAGGACAGTGCCTGGCACTTGATCAACGCGTTCAGAATGAATGGGTGAAATGAGCCGCCCCGCCCCGCCCCACCCCACCCCCATCACACCCCACCCCATCCTGGTGGCGGCGCCAAGCCAAGGAACACTCAGTTGCTAGGATTCCGATGGCCGGCAGGTGGCGCTGAGTAAATGTAAATGCTTTCCCAGGAACCGCTTTACTGGAATTGAAGTCTCAAATGCAGCAGGATAGAATTTTAATTTTTTCGTACTTATTTTTGTCTACGACTCTCACTCGTATGAATAAAGCTGGTTTCTGAGAGGCCTGAGCAGGTAAGGAAGGGGCTGACAGACATTCCTAATTGTCCCCGCTTCCATCGTCCGTGAGCAAGCAGTGCCTGTTGTGAAATTACTCAAAGACACAAATGAATCTGCCATTTCAGCAAGAGAGGGCAGCTAGCCTGTAATTTCTGTTAGTCATCTACTGTTTCCTTTATGGGCGTTAAATTTGACTACCCTTTTAAAAACCATTTTCGTCCCAAAGCCTTCTGAAGGCCTGTCTTGGCTGAGCGCTGTCTTTGGAGATGTTGTAAGGCACCGCGGAGTGAAGGGCTGGGGCCTCAAGCCAACGCCTCCTTCCCTTCCCCCAAAGGGCATCTGCGTGCAATGGACTGATAGGGCCGCTCTGGGCCAAGAGCCACTATCAGGCAAGGCCATGGCCGCAGCTGAACGTTTTCTTCTGCAAGCAAACCTTCAGCGGGACGCTCAAGGAGGAACCATCCTGAGGCACTTGCGGTCTTCCCAGGCTCCAAGCCAAAGGCAGAAATAGCGATGACTTGAAGGTGGAAGCCAGGAGTCTAAAGCACAGACCCAGCGTAGGGCACAGTTCAAGGGGGTCAACAGTTTAGGGGGACACACGTGGCAGAAATAACTATCAACTTCGCGATGGTCAGGAATAAACGGACAGGGAAGTTTAGAAGAGACTAGTGAGGGACTTACAAGGGAGGACCAGAACTTGCATTTTGTTGGGGGAGAGGAGAGGGAAAAGGGGGAGAAAGGGGAGGGGAGGGGAGGAGATAAGAGAAGCTATTAAAACACACTTTTTTTTAAAAAAAAAAAAAATCCTGTAATGGTAAGGCAGTGGTGGTGCACGCCTTTAATCCCAGCACTCAAGAGGCAGAGGCAGGCGGATCTCTGTGAGTTGGAGGCCAGCCTGGTCTACAAAGGGAGTGTCAGGACAGCCAGGATTGTTACACAGAGAAACCCTGTCTCAAAAAAAAAAAAAAAAAAAAAAAAAAAGCCATAATGACTACTACCTTGTATGCTAATTTTAAAAATAAACCATTTTAAATAACAGGAGAGTAGCTGCAGTTACTCTTTCCCTTCCTTGAATAATCTGATGTAGTTAGGCAGGGGTCAAGCAAGACAGGCAGCCAAGAGCCAGTGTGACTGTCCAAACTGATTCACAGGGAGGCATACATTGGGGGGCGTCTGGTATTAGCCTCAGAGCCCAGGTGGGATAAGGGTGTCCCCACAAAGAAACAGTTTCATGTGGGGTTTTACAGTCCACGTGGGGGAGAGAGGGACAGCTCTGAGGCCGTGCATACAGATGTGTTGGGGCTAATGGGAGCAAAGTTTCTTATTTACTGACAAGTTTAAGACGTAACTAGAGGGAAAACTACCACGAAAGCAGCATGGGGTTGAAATGAGACACATCAAGTACAATGTGCGTGCATGTGACAGATCTAGAGGGCCCTACGGGTACACACATGCGTGGTTGCGTGCTCACATCCGTAGGTCCCTAGTTTTGTGCACTGAGAAGGGAAGGAGAGCAGCACTGCTATGTCCTGGTTTCTAAACAGAAACGTTAAAAGGATCAAGATCCCTTAGACAGGAGTCATGACTGGCGGTAAGGCTGAGAAAAGTAGCTGCGCCTGGCTACTCAGGAACCGCGGCAGGAGGATTGCAAGGTCAAGGACTTTCAGGTCTACAGCAGGTCTCAAAAAAATAAAACAAGGGCCAGGGGTCTGGTTCAGTGGTAGAGAGGTTGTCAAGCATACATGAAGCCCTTGGTTCAAGACCCAGCATGGTAAAAATAAATAGATCACCAGTACCATAAATAAGCTATAGATGAGTCTAAAAAGTTTTATGCCAAAAAGTAAGAAAGTGCCGAGAGAAGGGCACTTAAACCAGCCTCAAATATTCCTGCTGGCCAAAGTTGGGATAATCTGAACATCAAAATAACGATTTCATAATCCATAAATCCACATTTATATGGCGACATAAATAAATACCACCTTCATGACGTAAGTGAAGTGCAAAGTTTAGTGGTCTGCCATGCGCAACTATGGGTGCCAAGGAGCACAACATGGCTATGTTAGTACTTCAGCCACAGAAAGATACAGCCCCTGAGTCTAACCGTGAGGAAACGTCAAACTGTGGTTCCAAAATGACCAAAGTCATGAAAAAAACAGAAAAAAATATCAAGGACTTTCCAGGATTGGAGGAGACGCAAAGACGCACAACAAATACATGTACTACATGCTCCTGGATACATGTACTACGTGCTCCTGCATACATGTACTACGTGCTCCTGAATACATGTACTACGTGCTCCTGCATACATGTACTATGTGCTTCTGAATACATGTACTATGTGCTCCTGGATCCATGTACTATGTGCTCCTGGATACATGTACTACGTGCTCCTGAACTGGCACCGAGCCTGTGAGGCTAGGATAAAAAGAGTGGAGGAAACCGGAACGGAACAGAACTGCATCACCGCAGTGTGTGGCTGCTATCTTCTCCATTGCAGGAGTGTTGACATCAACACAACCCTCACCTCAAAGGAAATAGAGTTTGTTCTGGTGCCAACTGTGAATGACGAGGACCTGGGAATACCGACTCAGGTCTCCCCAAATTCCTTGTTCCAACACGGAAGCAGTTTCATAATTTTTTTTTTTTTAGAGTAACAGAATAAAGAACAAAATCATATGTAAATCAAGGCCCTTTTCAAATGTCTTGGTGGGACTGCTAAGCAGGCGGTTACAGCAAGCTTGAGTAGATAGCTGTAGGCCTCAAAGGCTATCTGCCAACTCCGGGAGACTGTGGCTTCAGGGAGTCGGGATTGTCCCTTCCTTACTAAGTACAACAAAGGAGCCCTTGATTTTGGTTCCCAAGTGGCTCTTCTCTAGTTTTCCTTATCTCGGTAACTGGTGCTACTGTTTGAGCCTTTTGTAGACACTGGGAAAGCGGGCACGGTCTTTGGCCCAGCCTTTCCATTTGCCATTCAGTCTCCCGGAGTCCATCAGCGAGTCCAGTCACGTCTGCTTCGCGGCCCTACCTTCACTACGACCCTTCCCTGCTCCCAATTCCGTATAGTCCTCGTTACCAGGGGCTGCTGCCTAGACAGTTGGGACAGCCTTTTTCTGCTGCTCCCCAAGCTGTTTCTCTGCCTTTTCCGATCTACACTTCATCCAGGAGCCAAAGTAGACTTTCTCTATGATCCTAACCACAGTCCTCTGCTCCTCTTCGGGGCACTTATATATTTATTTTACTGTCATTATTCACCTAGTTCTCTGACTGCCCCAGTGGGATGTGGATTCGTAGTTGTTCACCTTTCAATCTTTCTGGCCTACCAGAATAGGTAAATAAATAAGTTTTGTTTTTTTTTTTTAAATTTTATTTTGGTTTGGTCTTTTGCATAGGATCCCTTTATGTAGTTGTATCTGCTCTGCAGCTCTCTACGTAGGCCAGGCTGGCCTTGAACTCATAGAGATCCTCCCGCCTCAGCCTCTAAATGCTAGGATTAAGTTTGTGTACCACCAACCTTAATAGATAGGTTTATTTATTTATTTTAGTTTTTGTTCTATATTAGGCTAAGGAAACTGTCACACATCGAGAAAAGGGAGGCTGAATGAACATTCATTTTGGTCTCCGTTCACTGATGACTCTCCAGGTGACATAGAGTTCTAGAAGTCAGGATGGGATCCTACAGAGGGCAGTTCAAAGAAGAATCCAGAGTTTCTACCTTTTTATACCATATGTGTGCTGCTGGACGTTGCATTTAGGGCCTCACACACATCCTTGGATCTGGGGCTTGGCCCTGGAGCCATGCCTTTGGCCCCAGACGTCCATCTTCTTGACCGTGTTGAGAAGAGAGACTGACAATGACATGATTAAGTTTGGTAGACCAGAACAGGTGCTGTGTCTTCTCTAGATAAAGACGGCACGACAAGGAGGATCCTGGCGTTTGAAGATGGGCTCCATTTTTAGACACTTTGAATTTGAGTGACTCAGGCGTTTGCTGTGGACCACTGAAAGAGGGAAGTAGAAACACTCGCAGCAGTTCGCAAGACCCTGATGATTACACATCCTATCTGTAATGTCCTTGTCCCAAAGCAAACGAGTGGAAATGAGCCCCTCAAGTTCACCAGAGAGGAGAGCCCTGAAGCTCTGAAAATTCTAAAGCCTGCTAAATAAAATTTAAGGACAGAGCCAAAGGAGTTTTGAATTACAAATTTTAAAATTAAATATGAACACTAATAGGTGTGTTATTTAAGAAGTCTTGCCATTTTAAAATTTCTGCCCCCCTCCCCTGTTTTTTTTTTTTTTTTTTTCAAAAAAGTTATT